TCGTCTGCGGTCTGATCTCCCAATACAACTCCGCCCCGTACCCCATTAAGAACATCCACAATGTCCTCGTCAAGCGTGTTACCATGCGCGGCTTCATCGTCGGTGACAAGGGTATGGGTGATATTTACGCCAAGGAGCACCAGGAGAATGTGCAGAAGTGGATCAAGGATGGCTCGTTCAAGGTGCTCATCCACGAGACTGTAGGCATTGACAACGCTGCCGAGGGCCTGGTTGGCATCTTCCACGGCAAGAACTTGGGCAAGGCTGTCCTTAAGTTCTAAGTGCTTTACGAGACTGATGAAATAACGAGATGCCTGGCGCATTGATCTTTTTGTTGAAACATTAGAGGTAGTTAAGACCTCGGTTAGGACTCTTCATCATGTAGGGATAAAATAGATATCTCTCAAAATAGTCAAATCGAACAAACGTTACACATAATAAAATATGAACAGACAATAGAACCAACATTAATCTATAATCAACAACTCCATAATAGTTAGTTATACTACAAACATACAAGTAGACAGGAAGAAGATAACCGCAGGGCTAAATGTTTCTCACCAGAGTATCGGCCAATTTCGGCTGGGCGGACAGCCATCGACCAATCAAATGGCCCGTAAAAGGATGACATACCGAGTCGGACTCCCGAGGTCTCCAAGTTCATCCGCTTGTGTTCCAACGGCGTTTCTGCTTCTTCACGATCATACTCTCCACTCACAATGGCTTCATTCGCGCGCTCAACTCTGCTGCGACAGACTCTCGCCCCCCGGGCTCCCTTCCTCCAGAAGAATGTCGGCGTGTCGCAGGTCGTCGCTTTCCATGCCTCCGCTAAGAAGCAGATCCTGCCCCCGTTGCCTCGTACGTAGAGGCCCTGCCATAAGGCTTACTGAGATACTGCCAGTGGAGAGATCTATTGGGTGTTCTTTACGGGCAGTTGCTAATGTGCTTTTCGCGACACAGAGTCTGTTCAGGGAACCAGTATGTGATTTCCGCGCCTTCCTTATCCCGACCCTCCCCTCGCTTTTCGATGGCATTGAGTATAAAACCGCCTGCAATGTGTCGAAATATACAGCCTCCGTTACTCCCGGCGCTCAAACAATCAAACAATGCTGCCCGTCGAACCGCAATACCGCCCTCCTTGAAGTCTTCGATATTAACCTATTCCGATAGTGAACGACCCTGCTCCCATTCCCGAAACCCACCCCTCTGAGGGCAGCTACCACTGGACTTTTGAGAGGTTTGTGCTCCCTTGCGTGCACTGCAAAGCCGACCTATACAACTCCTTCCGATAACCCCGACATGCGCGAAAAACCCCGACTAACATCTATTTCAGACTGGTCTGTGTCGGCCTGGTCCCTCTCAGCTTCGCTCCCTTTGCCGCTGGCTCCCTCAACCCCGTCATGGACGCCATCCTGTGCTCTTTGATCGTCGCCCACTCGCACATCGGATTCCAGTAAGAGCCTCCCCGCGCTATCCCGCCATTCCGCTCAGATATACCCCAGATCTTCAATCCGGAAATCGCAATCTAACATCTACCTACTAGGGCCGCCATTGTCGACTACTTCCCTCCTTCCCGTGTGCCCAAGTTCCGCACCACCTGCAACTGGCTCCTGCGCGCGTTCACCCTCACTACCGCCGTTGGCCTGTACGAGTTCGAGACGAACGATGTTGGTGTGACCGAGGCTCTGCGTCGTATCTGGACAGCATAGAGTGCTCTTGCGGTTCTTTTTTTCAGACATAATGTCTTTCTATTTCCTTTTTTCCCGCTGATTACCGATTTGGTTCTGGTCTATCCAGGCGTTCCGTTCCGCCTCTGTATATGTCGTTGATTATTTTTCTTTTGTCTCTCAGCCCGAATTTATTGATCGGTGCCGGATTTCTGCTGCTCGGGGTTTCCGAGCTATAGAAAAAAAACGGAATATAACCCTTGTACGAGAAGACATCCTTGGTGCCTATTGTTGCTTTCTGCATACTACGTAGATCTGCAGCCAGATTCTTTATACACTCCCTGCACGGTAGACCAAATATGTGCTAAATGGTTAGCGGTATGCAATGAGCATAGCATTTTTATTCACCGACCGGATCATTCCTTTAAACATAAATCCTGATCGTTTTAAATTCTATCTTTCAAAAAGGCATGATGATATAAAGACACAAGGCTAACAACAAACAAGAGATCCTAAAACCTCAGAAAACACCTTCCTTCCTCACTCATCATCCTCGCTCTCCTCACCATCCCCAGACAACCCCTCATCATCATCCGCCTTCTGCATAACAGTCTCAATAATCTTGAGCGTCGCCTTGAGGGGCAACCCAATAACATTGTCATAACTGCCATCAATCTTCTCAACAAGAATAGACCCAAGACCCTGCAACCCATAACCACCAGCCTTATCCGCGCCCTCGCGCGTACGCACGTAAGCCATAATCAAATCATCTGTAACATCGCCATCAAACCGCACCGATGTTTCCTCAACCATACTCTCAACGGCATACCCCGGGTCCCGCGCACTAGCCAACGGCGCCATAGCCACAAGCGCAGTGTAGACCTTGTGGTTGCGGACATCACGCAGCGAGCGCAGCATGGCCATATGGTGTGCTTCAGAGCGGGGTTTTTCGAGGATCGTGCCGGTGGACGGGTCGACGACGACCGTGTCTGCGGCTAAGATCAGGGCTGGCTCGCCCTTGATCTCGTTGTTGATTTCTTGCTCGTAGACTGCTTGGGCTTTTTTCGTAGCTGTTGCTAGCACGTACTCGAAGGGGCCTAAGCTTTTTGGTAGGTCTTCGGCGGCGTTCGAGGGGATGATTTCTATGTTCGGGAGGCCCAGGAATGAAATTATTTGCTTGCGGCGTGGTGATTGTGAGGCGAGGATTACGCGCTTGCTGCGGAGGCTGTTTAGGACTGGGAGGCTGAGGGGGGTGGGCGTGGGAGTGGTGCCCCGCGGTTGCCTTTTAGGACGGGTTTGTCGTAGGCTGGGGGTGGGTCGGATTCGGTGGTGTCAAAGTCGTCTTCCATGTGGGACAGGAGGGCTTCTTTGGGGTCTGTCATGTTGGATGATTTGGCGTTTGTCTGGTGTGTTGGATGTTGGTTTTGGATGTTGCGGGCAGCGATGCGATGCGGGGAATCAGATGCTCTCTCCGTTCACTTGTTGAGACAAATGGCCTTTGTATGCAGTTTACTGGCCTTGCAAGGGTATGTAGGGATATTCAATTGGCGATTCCGACTGTCCACGAGGTCTTGTATGTTAGGGGTTTGTGTAGAGTAGAAGTCTACGTTTGCTTCACCTTGAAGGGGCTCGGTTCCTCCGGCAGATATCAGGCGGTAAGCCGAAGCTCTCGGGGATACGTCGATGTTAAATGGCAGTTGCGACCCCTAAAACACATGTGCATATGTGCAGACCCTGGTCACCGCTGCATTGATGAATTATTTTGTCTAACTTTCCGAGCCTGTAGGATATATGTACTCTCTGTATAATCTGATTGGCTACCTCCAGGGCTAGGAAACTGCATAACTGCAATTATTCTCCGTAACCCTGTCCACGTGATGCGACCGAAGTATGGCTCGGTCAAATAATTCCGACTTTGATTGAAAATAAGGATGTCGCTGTGGGTGCTCAGTCAGAGCTGAAAAGAATTCGATTTCAGGTTAGCCGTTGGGAAAGAAAACGCCCCAGTTGCTTCGCAGCAACAGCCGTGACCATATACATTCTGGTACCCAGGAGAAGAAACAAACCAGAAAAAAAAAGGTTCAATGTACAATACTCAAAAAAAAGTAGGAAGACAAGTAGTACAAAAGGGGTGGCACCGTATTGATAGTCGTTCCACTGAATGCAGTGCAGTGGAGGATGCGTGATTGACATCAAAATCATATGGGAAGACCAGGTCTGTCAGGCAACGAGGAAGTCCCGCAATTGATCATTTCCAGGATCTCGTTCGTAATACAGGGGTTGAACTGATAGACAAGAAAAAGAGATTCGTAGTGTGGGTATAAGTCCATGCGGTCCAAGATTTGAGAAAAACCGCTCGGACCTCGGCACATGCCTGCAGCCCCAGATCCCCCGTATCGACCAGCGGAGGGGAAGAGGGGCTGTAGCATGCCGAACCCAAGCGCAATAAAATGTCGAGGGAAATAGGATCACGTCGGGCGGAAAGAGTCGTCCACGCGGCCGCCTTTGCTCTCGATCTCTGCGATGAGATCGTGGCGTTCTTGTAGCTTCACATGGATGAAGTCCACAGTCTTCTGCAGAACGATGCTCTCACTTCGGCCCTGGCCCTCCAGACCAGGCACCAGCTCTGTCAGGCGATCGAATCCTTCACGAATGGCCGCGCGTCGCTTTTGCTCGGAGGCAATGTGATTGCTCTTTTTTTCTTGATCGGTAAGGCGAGGTTTGTCCTTGTCCTGGGCAGATCCCTGCTTGGATGTCCCATTCGGCGTCGAGGACGACCGATCATGTTCATCGTCCGGATTCATCGTGGTGCTTGATGACTGGAGGATTTTGAGAGGAACTGAGGGCGTGGGGTAGATGCGCCGAGAGTATACAGGGTTCGGGGCTCGTGGTTTCGATTGGATGGGTTGGTGGTTATGGTTATCGTTCTGAGTCTCCGTCTAGGCAAGGCATAGATGAGGGAGGTGATTGTAATGGGTAGGCAATGGGAGAATGTGAAAGGTAGAGAGAGGGAGTAAAGAGAGACGGGGAAAGCGATAGGAAGCGATAAGGCCAACGGCCAATGCGGAGTAAAACTAGAACAGCCCTGGAGGGCTTGGCAACCTCTAAACGTCATAGGGTCCACTGAACACATCTTGCTTTTCCTCTTCTCCATGTCAATTTTGTTCTCGCACACTGGATACCTAGTCCAATTTACTATCAAAGGTCATATTCCCTTCGATTGGGATTTCTACCTGGCAAAACGATTATCTGGTCGCTCATCTCCAATCTACAACTCTCTGTCTAGCTCCAACATTGCGAAGTTACCAACGCCGCGGTAGTTCTTGTACCACCATGTCCTTGGATCCGCTCCGCGGCTCATGCTCTTGTGGTCGAAACGAATACCAAATTAATATCCCGGACGATGTGACAGACCATGCCGAAGTATACTTTGACAGCAGCCGAGACAATCGTGGGTAAATCCAAGCTAAGCTTGTCGATCTCCCGGCTAATATCGAACCCTAGGTCGATTTCACGGAACACCTCTTTCGGCGTGGCTTCGAGTGCCTCTGGGCTGGTATCAATCTCACACCCTCTCCTTCTTCCCAGATGAATCACACTCTTCCATTCGCCGCATTTATTCGCCCCGCCATGCACCCCAAACCCAGCGTGTCTTCTGTGGTTACTGCGGTACACCCCTGACATTCTGGACAGAGGAGCCCCTCGAAGAATCTAACTTCATGTCTGTCACGATTGGTAGTCTGCGAGCGGATGACCAGCGCGCGCTGGAAGATCTAAGATTAGTTCCTCGGGACTTTGACGAGGAAGTTCCCGGTGCCGATGTGTCGACCTCGTCTGATCTAGCACCAGCCTCACAGACCGCTTCATCTTCGGTTATTGTTCCGTCATCTACCGATTCTCTGAATATCTCAAGAAGTCTACAGCACGGTAGGACGGGGGGAATCCCTTGGTTCGAAGAGATGGTAGAAGGGAGCCGCTTGGGTCGTTTGATGCGTGCTCGGCGTGGTATGGGAGTCAGCGATGACCAAACGACTTCAGTCCAGTGGGAATTTAGCGAATGGCATGATGATGGGACCGGTGCAGGTGGGTTTTTGCAACCGGATTCGGACTCAAGCGGATACTTAAGGGGAAATAGGAAGCGGGTGAATCAGGGCGATGTTGAGATTGAGTCTCCACCGAAGCGAGCAGCGTAATATCTGCAAGTCTCTATGAATACCTCTTGAGCTTTCAATGAGTTTAATGTAATAAAAGAAAAATAATGCCAAAGCGTTTTTGTTTTATCTTTGAATATAAGGATGAAAATCAGAGGACGAAGAGTAACAGAAAGACAGTCCAATACTGTTAGGTGGAAATCTTGATATAGCCGTCTACATCACTCTCACTCGCTGCACTAACTTACATGATGACCAGAGCTCCAAATTCGACGCACTCCTGTGATTATTCAACATGTATACATATCATGGACTTGGCTATTTACTGTTTAGGGAGTACTCAGTCGCAGTTTCTGAGCATGACTCAAGGATAGGTCGCAAACCTCACTTTTGGCCGTGTTCGTGGGTTTGTATATCCAGTTCATGGGGTTTTCTGTGTGGAGACTTCTACAACATAATTAACTCAAAAGCCTACTCTTGCAGTAGTTGGGAGTCCTGGTAGGATGCAGGTACTGGGATAAATAACATGCCACCCACTTATTGCCCCGGACACAAGCCCATGGTGATTTGAGTTTTTGTATACCCCATACCATTTATTCGTTGACCATATCAGATGTTATATGATGTACCTAGGTAGCTCCAAGGCACCCGCGTTATAAAGATCGACAGTGGAAGGTTTGGGTCGCAAAGCATACCCGAAGCGGTTAAGCGCCGCCCAGACAATATGGGGCTGAGCAACATCATCTTGATGACTTCCTTTTTTGCTACCCGTGGACTATACTATGTACGATACTTTGTCAAGTGCAGACCATGGTATACTGTGGTAAACCAAGCAAAGGATGTGGCGAGTGCAGGTCCAGGAAGATTCGGTGCGACCAAGCCCAACCGGCCTGTTCGCAATGCACCAGGGCCAAGCGGGACTGCCCCGGATATCGGGATCAACTGGCGCTAATGTTCCGTGACGAAAGCAAATCAGTAGTCCGAAAGGCGGTTGCGGCCTCGACACATAAGAATAAACGTGCAGATCGATCGCGTCGCACTGCAATCCCAGAAGGGAATCCTTTGTGGTCTGAGCTCACTACCGCGGTGGTGGAGCAGGACTTTGACTTCAACCTTGATCCACAGCATGTCTATCTTATGCGACAGCTCGGGAATTGCCCATTGGAGGTCCAGCCATCACTGGAGATCGAAGCCACCAAATATGAAGCAATCTGTTATTTCCTGCGATCCAATGCTATCCCCGGCAGTTTCTGGACTAGTGAGATGATCTCCAAATTTTTGTTACAGAATGGGGGCCCTGCGAGTCAGAGAGCTATGAAGGCAAGCGTGGTTGCTACTGCCACGGCTATGCTCTCGCGAGTAAGAGGATTGCCATCGCTTAAAGATGTAGCCCACCGGGAGTATGGATCCGCTTTGAGATTACTTAACGCCGCTCTATCCGACATGGAGGAGGCGAAAACAAATCAAACCTTAGGCGCTGTCATACTGCTTGCCATATATGAAGTATGGGAGTTTGCATTCTTGACCCCTCAGATGGTTTATATTGACGCCCTGTTTATAGGTGATTACATCAAGAGCCCCGGAGAATATTGACAGTTGGACCAACCATATCAATGGGGCAACAGCCCTGCTCGAAATACGGGGCACCGATCAACTCAAGACTAACGCCGGTCTTCGCTTGTTTTTGTACCTTCGGTATCAGATTGTGAGTGTCGTCGATCACTCGTTCGATCTCAAGCTAACCCCTCAACAGACCGTCAGTTGCCTACAACGAGACGCACGAGTGCCTGATTCACTACTCGAACGAACGGACATGGCGATGTTTCTTCAGCCAGCAGAAGCTCACGGCAATCGCCTAGTCATGATAATTGGCAAACTATCGAACCTTCGCGCAGACATTCGTGCTAATCTGTACAACAACGAGCGGGAAATCATATTAGTAGCGTCGGCCATCGAAGCCGATTTAATAGCCTGGCTGGCAGCTCTCCCCCCCGAATTCAACTACACCACCCATATAAGCTCCCCTTTCGACTTTGCTTTCCAAAAGCGATTGCGAGGCATATCGCCATACGACGATCAATACCACGTGTACCCCTCCCCCTGGGTCTGCAATTCGTGGAACCAATACCGCAGCGCCCGAATCATCGTCAGCGAAATCATCCTGTCCCACGTCCGAAAAATATCCGACAGTTCCTCTCTCGCCTTACTGTCTGAAGAGTTCCGTCTCCAATGCAGGACACTGCGATCAACGATTCGGCGGTTCGCCGTGGAGATATGTCGCAGTGTTCCGTTTCACTTCAACGCCCACCAGGCAGATAGGGACTCTAGCCTCCCACCTCCTGAAAGCTACATTGGGGGTCTTGTGCTCCTCTGGCATCTGTTTGTTGCTGGAGTTGTTGAGCCCCCACAACACAGGCTGCGCCGCTGGGTGGTTCAATGTCTGGAAATGATTGGAAACACGATGGGTATCGACCAGGCGCTGGCAGTGGCGGATATCGTCGCTGCTGATCCTGGAGTTTTACATTCTGTGACTGAGGAAGAAGACCCTCATTGAAGTGTCCAGTGCGCCTGATCTGACGAGGCGACATGCAGTTCAAAATCGGCCTATAAAGGAGATACTTGCCGAGGGGTATATAGCGACTAATATAGTTGTTTCTTTCGTTCTTCCTTTTCTTTATCTCTTATTTATTACGCTGCACCAACAGCGTCAATATGTGTCTAATGATTTGTATATTTTCTTGTTATAACCTGGGGTTGGGGATTAGGGCGCCTCGTGTTTTAATTATCATTATGACTCACGAAGTGTCCAACGGACAATCAAATGAAAGATTAGAGCCTCCGCCATAGTCGATCACAGCTTCCAATAGAATTCCGGGAAAAACACTAACAATGGGTCAGTTCATCCTTGTGTGAAGTAGACTACGCTGCGCCCTGTGCACCAGGATTGCCCTATGCGGGGCTGTGTTTGCTCCGCCACCAGTCACAAAGGACCTTGTCTGTGCACTTTCCAACTCTCAGAAACTGCGCTTATATGATTGGTTAAATTCAAAAGCAACACTGAAGCCCAATGACTCTACGTTACCTAGCTGTTGCCCGGGTCTCCAAGGCGGTGGCTTATACGCGAATGAGCAACATTGCTCCTCGATACCCCTTTCAGTTACAGTAGGTAGGGCTGCAGCAAACGAAATATGCCTTATGATTTGTGCCTTACACATACTTTGGGGGCTGACTGTTAGATTAAAACTCGTGTTTTGACCATGTGTTTGGGGTAATTCCTTGTTTTGGTCAGAAGTGTGCCTTGGTCCATGTCTCTCTGCCCTACGGGGTATCCATTCTTTGTATACTGGGTTCCACAGCTGAGCCCCTGACAGATGCCAGACATGTAGATATAAAGAAGGTGTTTCCTGGGCCATATCCTTTGTCTGGAACATACCTTTTAAGGATATTTGAGCAGCCTCTAAGACATTCAAGTTTATTTGGCATATATTCCTCTCCTGCACTTCATCTAAAACATATACAATCTTCAGCCATGGGCGCTTCCGAAAAGACATCTCTATGGCACTCCTTCTCATCCAACCATCGCAAAGAGCGCAAAGCAGGGACAACCACCACAACAAGAACCACAATGACTTTACCAACGCATTTTCCATCATGGTCCCGAGGCCGCAACAATAGCTCCATTACATCAAATATCCTAAGAAAGCAATCATCAGATCTTCCACCACCTTACGAAGAAGCAGCAATCCCAACAATCAAAATCAGCGCCCCGGAAGAACCAGAATCTGATTCCCAGTACGCCTTTCTCGGCGAATTCCACACCATATTCCTGGTAGACGACAGCTCAAGCATGAGAGGCGAACTTTGGGAAGAAGCCAAAGAAGCCATCGCAGCGATCGCCCCAGTCTGCACAAAATATGATAGCGAGGGAATCGACATCTACTTCATCAACCACCGACCAAAGCACAACACCAACTCCAACTCAAGCTCCAGCTCCAGTTCCAACTACAACTACACCCACACCTACAGCCCCAGCCCCAGCCAACGCCCAAAGCTAGATGCCGGCGGATACCACAACATCAGAACCGCGCAACGAGTAAGCGAGATCTTCGCCTCTGTCAGACCCTCTGGCGGAACAGGGGTCGGCGGTCGACTGCATGATATCCTGGACCCGTACACGAAGCTGGTGGAAGCGAAGGAGGCAGAGAGGCGAGCACAGAAGGACGCATCTGGCTCGGGCTTTTTGGTCAAGCCGGATAAGCTGGTTAAGCCAATTAATATCATCACCATAACCGATGGGGTGTTTACGGATGATGCGGAGAGCATTATCATTAAGACAGCTCAGATGCTGGATGGGCCTTCTTGTCGTGCTATTCCGTGGCAAGTTGGGATTCAGTTCTTTCAGATTGGGAATGATGAGATGGCTCGGCAGTACTTGGAGGAATTGGATGAAGATCTTGGGAGTCGGTGTAATAACTTGCATATGAGGGATATTGTTGATACCGTTTCTTGGAGGAATCGGGCTGGGAAGCGGTTGGAGGGGGATGGGATTTTGAAGACTGTGCTTGGGGCTGTTCATAAGAGGTTGGATAGGAAGAAGGTTGGATAGGAAGAAGGTTGGATAGGAAGAAGGTTGGATAGGAAGAAGGTTGGATAGGAAGAAGGTTGGATAGGAAGAAGGTTGGATAGGAAGAAGGTTGGATAGGAAGAAGGTTGGATAGGAAGAAGGTTGGATAGAGTTGCATGTTTACGGGTTTAGATACTTATTATTTCTTATGCCTAATCTATTTATTTACCTTATTTTTCTTCCAATCGCGTATTTTGCCCTACAACAAAAGTGACGTATCGAGATTAATCTCTGCAACCGCCCGAGTGGAGAATTCTCGGACACATCCCTGTTAGCTCAGTTCGGTTTAATCTCCACTGAGAATATCTAACGTTTTATTTCGGTAGGATTAGAGCTCGCCCTTGCAGCTCCCTGCAAACTTGTGGTGTGGTTATTTGTTGTTTTCGAGAATAATAGTACGTGGTATATAGTCCGTACTCTCAAAGGTTGTTCAGGTATATTAGTTAAATCTCTCGATTCTTGATGTAACAATAATCAAAAACCAATCTAATTAACCTAAATAATTCAATTGTGCGTACTGCGTACCTTGTCTTGCATGTAGATCGACGAACTACAATGACGGGGCAGGATCGGAGGATCGCAAGCCACACCGTGTTCTGCTCTGAGAATCCGAGAATCTGAGATCACCTTCTTTTCTTTCTCTTTCCAAGATTCTTATAACAACGTAATTTCTCATATCCGGAGTAGATCAGCATTATTGAACACTCCTAGCTCCACCCCTCATCACCGCCAATTTTGTGATCGTCAAAGTCATCCCCGCGCCGATCACCCAAAAACCTCGAATTCGCCTCTCATTCCCCCTTCTCTCTTGATTTTCCTCACTTTCAGCCTTCAGGGCTTTATTCTACTGCTACTACACTGTTTCAACCTCAATTTCCTCCCCCTGTTTCAACATCCCAACCTGCAGCGCTAAGAGGCCTCTTAGCGCCGGACTCCCTACGCAGGAACATTACCAACCCGAGTGGTCGGCGCTTCCTCCTTCCACTCCCTCATTGGCCAGCCTTGTCGCCTTGCACTGCGTCGGGGAAATTGCACCATCGCGGTTTCTGAAGCATCTGCAGCCCATTTGATTATTTGGTTTGGGCCCTGTGTGTCCAGGCCATGGCATTGTGGTGATTGTCTGCGGCGTTGCCCCGAACACACCTGAAACGAACCATTTATTCTTAGACCTGTCACTCGATCCTGAAACAGGTACAGCTTCCAACCCCATAATTATAGAAGCGCCTTTGTGGAGTTGGCTTTGTGTGAGCTTCCAGGGATTCCAGGGTTGTGGGTTTTGTTATATAAGCTCGGGCTTTCGGCTTCCCTTTTTTTGACCTCTATAGACCACTGTCCTTTCTGTGTTGCCTTGCAATTGCGTGTATTCTACTGGGATTCTGTCTTTTAGCATTTTCTTTGGCTATTTTGCATTGTTGTGCATTCTCTTTCTCTGATTTATTCTTTTTATCTGTGCTATTACCTGCTTTGCTCATCTCTTTTTTACTCTTATCCTTCTTGTCTGATCTGGCGATGATCTCGACAACCCTCATGACTTTCCTACTGTGAGTGTGCTCAGTGCAATTGATATCTCCATGCGCTAACCGCAATTCAGTATTACCAAACCGGAGGTCCGGTCGGTCAAGTTGCTCGGATCATGGGATAACTTCTCTACGGGATATGTGATGGAAAGAGACACGCGAGTCGGGCCCGGACATTGGAGAGGATGTCATACCTTTACGGATATGATAGGCGATGGACCAGACAAGACCCAATGGCGAACAGGAGGCCTGAAGATGGGTGGTACTTACTGGTATTATGTGAGGCTTATATCAACGCATGTGAGATGAAAGAGCTAACGAGGAAACAGTATTTGCTTGATAATGACATAGAGTATTACAACGAGGCAGAGCCAACGACCACAATGTGCCCGCTGCTTCCAGGACAGCCTATGAATGTGCTAAATGTCCCTATCATTTTACCCGACAGCCGCGCACATGGACGCTCGGCGAGTGGAAGCTCCCAAAAATCCGAACATCTCCGGACCATGAACCCCGAAGACAAATTTATGAACCCGCGGAAGCCGCCGCCCCAGCCTCAGCCTGTGCATCCTCAGACATCTGCACCAGTCCGCCGTGAACCAAGCCCCGCACACCCTTCGAGTAGATCCCCGATGACTGGAATCCATCGAAGTGCATCTCAGCCGCACGGTGCCGCTCGTAAGGGCCACAAGAAAGATTCACGTTCTATGTCTCCCCCGAGAGCCCGAGCCCTTTTGGCTGCTTTAAGGCAGCCCGCTGAGACGGATAGAAAGTTCGAGCCAGTGCAGCCAGTGAATGTTTCTAAGATGGCACCGCAGCAGAAAGAGCCTGTCGAGAATCGCCGCAATATCCCTGGAATCAAGGTCAACGCTGGCATTGCGATTCCATCCTCGAGCTCTCCTGACAAACTTGGTCCGTCCACCATTCAAAGTCGTCGCGTGATGAAAGCAACCGCCGGCGAAACGGCACCGGGCCGTCTTCTCACAGTGCAAACGCGTCCGGAGCCCCGCAATCCCAGTTCTTCTCGCAGCACAGCAAACGGAAACACCGCGGAATTTGACGAAAGTCGTGCGATTAGGGAGGCTCTGAAAGATATCGCTAGCTCCGGTGACTTGCCCACTCCAACTGCCGCGTTTACCAAAGAAAAGAGGCTCCCTACACTCCCAAACACGCCGTCTTCTGTCATGGATGAAGCGGTTCGCGCCATCGACGAAAGAGACCAGGCGATGGATGGCGAGATCCCGCGCAGTTACTTCTCCAGCATGACAACAACAACAGACGACTCTACCCACTCCCGCTTTGTGCCTGAATACAGTCGGTTCTCTGAATGGAGTACCGATACCGAAACCGACTACAACCCGCACGAATCGATGGTATCGACTTCCGCATCCAACCACCACCAGGACGAGTCCTCGGCCGAAAGATGGAGAACACCAGACCTCTCGCAGTCTGGCGATGGCGCAACCAATACCGATCCAAATACCCCCCACCTCACTGTCTACTCCAAACCCTCATCTCCAAACTCGGCATCCGGGGAACTCCCTCCCTGGAGCGTCGATCTCCCCCAACTCACCGTCTCCCTCTCCACACCTGGCATCGATTGTTCCGGGCTGGGCATCGAGAACATGGATGAAGTGGAAAGCAACCCCAAGCGCCACGCTGCCCTATTTAGTGCCCTTGAATCCATGGAGGCCTTTGCGATGTCGCGCAGCCCCAATGGCTCCCCGATCCTGCTTCCCCAAGTCCCCAGAGCCTCTGACACGGAGGAAAATCTCTCTATAGCAGAGCGGAAAGTGAGCGAAACTTCCCTTGAGCGCATTCGCTCTCGGCGCAGCAATGCCTCGTTCCAGGGGAATGCTACCATGCAGGAGATGATAGATGAGCTCAGTTATCTGAAGAATCTGATCCAGGCTGACATGGATGGGGTTCCATTTTGATGAGCGGCTCCCTCTCAGAGACTCCTGTCTCGTATTCTTATTCTTATGTTTTTATTATCATACTGCTGGCGCTGGTCGTCGGTATTGGAGTTTTTGTACTCCGCAAATGTATCATTTAGCTCTAAATAGAGATGAAAAATCATATCGAAGAAAATACTTCAAAAAGAAAAACTGTTTTCCAATGTACAAATTCTACCAAACTAGTAGATAGTAAGAGCAAATCGATGTATACTCCAGAGTGACGTTGGTGAATCCCATACCAACAGACCGGACGAAACACCAAAACACGCGCGCCAAGAATCCTTTTGTATCCACCACCCGCGATCAACAGCTTCGGCCAAAAAAAGAACAGCGCCACACCTCAATTCCTGAACCCTTGATGTTCCTGAAATAAGAATGGGCTGAATGTGCTATTTGTCTCGAGAAAGAAACACCCACAATGGCAGCCGACGGCCCCCAACTGACCCCAGTCGGGGATAAGTCCCTACCAGCAAAATGCAAGGCGCGGGCCGTGGCGTACTGTCCCACGATGGACCTGATAGCGCTGGCGACCGAGGACGAGGAACTGCACGTATTCCGACTTAATGGGCAGCGAGTGTTCGGGGGTTCTTTTGGTGGAGATCCGTACCTAGGCGAAGATGAAGAAGATGGCGAGATTAGAGGGATGGCGTGGAAGGGGGATGGTAAGTTTGAATTTCCTTGTTGCTGGACTTTGTTACATGTCTTCTTTTATAATCAGACCTTATCGGCTTTGCTTGTTCATATCACGCGATCATTTACTAACTCTACCCTAGGTCGCCTCCTCGCTGTCGCGTGTGGAGATGGCTCGCTCCGCATCATCAGTTCGTACACCGGGAAGACGGTGCACCACTATCAGACCTACCAGCAAAATGAGGAACACGCCAGTTCTACTGAGAGCCCAGCGCCTAAGGCAACCTGCGTTGGGTGGGGTGCTAATTTCACTGATAGCAAAGCCGCACAGCGGCATTTGCATGAATCTGCGGGCCAGGTCTCCGTCGACGACCTTTTAGCCCCGGGAGTGTATCCCTCCAAGGCAGCTACCACGCTTAAAGCAGATTTACCTAGGGAACTTGTCTTGCTGGACATTGAAAGCTCACTACCCAAGCTAAGCACCCTACCTGCAACAGGAGGCGAGGACGATGTCTTTAGCTCGCGGGCGTCCCTCGACGCCATCTTCCATTCTTCGAAGGATACCAACGACTCAGTTGATGTGCTCTCCGTCGGATTCAACGATGGCACTGTCCACCTGCGCATCTTTGATTGCTTTGAGATTGGCTCTTTCCCTGTGGGAATCTCTCCCGGTATCCCCGACTCGTGCCGTATCTTGCGGCATGCTTCGCACCCCTTGAGCTCTACGCATGCTCTGCTGGCATCACCGGTTAAGGGAGATAATCGCGGTCCGCTTGAGCTTGTTACGATGGACCTGCGCTTTATTACCAAGTCTGGGAGATATCTGTCTCTTCTTGCCTCGAAGACTACTCAGCTTCAGAATTTGCTCCGCTATATTGGTCAGGTGCAGCGGCAGATTGAGCTTGAGTGGAAGAATGCCCAAGAGCTTCCTGCTCGGTTCTTGCGCAGTGTCAATGAGGACCTGCAGGAAAAATGCCAGTGTGATTTTATCACTGCTATCTATCACCTGGTGGTCACTGGTCATTGCTTCGAGCCCATGAAGGAGTTCCTCACGGATATTGTTGGAGAAAGAGTATGTGAACCTTGCGATTTGCGAGATGGTGTGCTAATGAACGAGATAGGGCCACAAGAGATGGGATAAGGCTGTCTCGGGCGGCTACGAGAATATTCGGCGACTGACACACGAATGTCTCCTCCCAGCGTTGGAACGCAGTCAAGTACTCCTTAGTCGACTGGTTGGATTGTCTAAATTCCACAAGCTAAGCGATGTCCTTGGGCTGGACACGACCAAGCTCAATGCCATTGTGGAGACACTTGATTGCCTCCATCTTCTTGCACACCGTGTTCTCACGCATGCCAACGAGGAACTGGGCCAATTTGCTGCTTTCTCTAGGTGGCTTCGCGAAGAAATACACGTTCTTAACAGCGATCCCTTGTCGCAAACACTGGAAGAGCTGCAGGAGAAGAGAGACTTGCTCGATGTCCCTCCTACTGTGAAGTATATTAAAGGCGCATTGACCAAAAGTGCTCTGCGGAACTTCATCCGCCAACTTCCTATGATTGGGGTTGTTCAGCCCCCTGCTCCTCCCACTGATAAGTGGCTTCCAGGTGGCCACGACCGCTCGTTCTTCGACACTTTCAAGTCCCTTCTTCAGCAGCAACGCGAGTCCCGGGACAAGGATGGTGACGGTACATCGGTCGAGACGCCTAAGCTGAATGACTTGACGAGGCGCCTAGGTATTCAGTTTGAGAAGGTCTTTGGAGAAATTGCCTTGACTCAGCGCAGGGGAATTCTTCATCGCTCGCCTTTCACACTTCACTCTGATTGCGACCAAGAGGTTACCGATCTAACGTTCTGCTACGAGGTGAGTCTGAGACTGACGGCTTCCGTCTTGTTCCAAATGCTAACTTGCGCCACAGGATGCCTTAGAAGGCCAGCCTTGCTCAGTATACGTCGCTACCCGATCGGTCACATCAAAACATCAAGGTTCGTCAAACAGTTGTTCTTCGAATTCCAGTTGCTTATACCCTCGTAACTAGTATATCTCTACCGGGTAGTCCTCAACTCAGTCGGTGGCGTCAGCTCAACAAGAAGTACATCTCTCGCAACCCTCGACCTCCAAAACGGCGAAGTCCGCCAACTCCAATTCGTCAACGATGACACACTCATGGTTCTCTGGCGCGACAGCAGTAAGTCACTCACACATCGACTTCTCATATTCCTATTCTAGGTTCTATATGCACAATCTAACAATCCATTCGAACAGAAGGATCTTCCCGTCTCTTGAACTTCCCCTTCCGGCCGGCCTCAACACACCCCCAAAGCGAAACGACCGACCCATCACCTTTGGTCCTTGACTACATTGAGTGTGACACCATGCCATCCGCTCCCAAACCTACTATCTCAGCCACGATACTAGATCTCTCGCCCGAATCCCCTCACGCGAGTGTCGTTATACACCTATTTGCTCTACATGGCCCCAAAGCGCGGCCTGTGCATGTCGATGTTAATGGACGGAAGGGACGGCGCGCTATTTGTGTTTTGTATGGGGATGCTATGCGATATGAGGTTTTGGATTTGGATGCTGCGATGGGAGAGGATGAGGAAGAAGATGAAGATTATCAAGAGGGGGATGAGGAGGAAGATGATGACGATGAGGAAGTCTTCGATAGCGATGAAGAGAATAACGAGAACTAGGACTTTGAGTCTTAATGGAATATTGACCGCATATAACTTACGTCCTACATGCCAGGTCGAGTAATCTTCTCAGCTGCACGTGCCACCAGGTAGAAAGGAAGTTGACACCCCGGTAAAAGGACAAACTACACGTAGTCAGATTGCCTCAGCCTGTGTTAGTCGATACGCAACATCGAGGTAACCTCTTTCCACTGCTGCTTGAAGTGCTGTTCGCCCAGTATAGTCACTAGCAGCAGGGGCATTAAAATCGGCGTTTGCTTTAAGTAATCGCTCAACCACCTCGAGGCTACCTCCTCCTGCTGCAATGTTGACTATGTTGTCATTGCCAGGCATTTTCACATTAATTCAGTCCGATATTCGAAGCCCAAAATAACCGCTACCTCTATACAAAAGCACAAATGGTTTGAATTCTATAGCTGAAAGAATTCTAATATTTCCGCAAAATTTGATATCCAGTTCTGCTGACAGTCATCATCTAAGGAAACCAGCTTTTCGTCCCACCCAACAGCCATCCATTCATCTTTGCTAACAGCATTCCATAAAGGAAAGTTGCTTGGCAGGGGGAACTGAAGTTCACTTGCAGTTAGCAAAGACTGTACTGCAGTAATATCCCCATGGCTTCCGTCTTTTATATTAGAGTTGCTTGCCTTCCCACAAACTTTGTACAAGGCTATATTAAATTGTTTGATTTCCTCAAGGCCAACCCAGACGAACGAAGCCAAGTCAGCTTCTTTATACCTGCCAAGAATGTTCGAATAATAGAACATGCCTAGCCTTCGACAACTTCGGACAAGAGCTTCGAGTAATCCCAAATCAGCTGGGGGAAGAGAGACCCTCAAGTCGAAATCAACAGCAGTCCGGCTGCTGATAAGAAAAGAGAAGATGATATGTAGTAGTATAGCCTGGTACATCGCAATTGGCCAGACACAGGCATTACAAGCTTCAGCTGCTTCCGAGGCATCCCATTTTTCCTACTAATAGTCTTAGTAAAGCTGGCATATCATGGGGGAAAATATTTAGTAGCGCGAACCTTTTGATCTCGAAGAGCCAAGTCGAGTTTACTATGGAGTTCCACTGCTACCGACTGCGCAGACTGTTCCCTAGTAGCCCATAGGCCTATAACAACCATTGATTGAATCAGAAAGGGCGTTTCATGGCGTATGTCGAATGATCCTTTGTGGATGAATGGCCAAGAGGGGTGGAAAGCCTCAAAATAAAGATGGATGTAGTGCTCCGTCTTCTCTGTATTTTGTAACCGTGGCTGGTCATGCTTTGGGCTCGATGCATGATGTATCGCAGATCCGGGAGATTGATTTTCTACTGTACCAGCAGGGTCGTTGAAAGAGCACCGAATGTTGCGACGTAGACACTCATCACAGGGCATACCCCCTTCGCACCGAGACTTTCCTGCATGGCAGCTTTCACAAGCTCGCTGTGCACGCTTGAGAGGTTCAATTATTCCATGACGCTGGCGGACATGGCGTCGAAGTGTGTCACTGATTTCAAGATAAGTTAGAGTGGGTGTTTGCGAAAATGAGCATACAAAGAAGCTAGATACCTTCGTCCGAATTCTCGACCACAATTGGAACATGTAAAAGCCTGCTGCTGAGAGTGTTTTCTTTCATGGCGGTGCAGGTGCTCCTTGCGCCGGTAGCTGGCGTTGCAGCCAGGAAAGTAACACCGGAAGACATGGGAACTGAACGCTGCTGGAGATCGCGGGAGATCTAATTCATTGCCTAGGCTTGCCATAAGGTAGTCAAAAACTGGACGTGATGAGTGAGATGTCGATGGAAATGACGTGTTGAATATAATTCCCGTGGACCGGACGCTATTGGCTGATTGGGTCCACTCGGGTTATAGCGTTCGCGACTATGTTGTAGATATTTCCAATCATCCTTCTAGTTACAACGAACGATAAGGGAAAAAAGAACCTAAAAATATACTCAGTATAACGTCTACAACATCATCCCAGGTCCATAAATCAGAATATAACATAGAACAGCAAAAATATACAAAGAAAAATAACAACACCAACATGCCGCTATGCCCTGCTGTACAGCGGCCTCCCACCGGCCTCCCACCGGCCTCCCACTTGCCACCTGGTGGGATGCCACTGCGAGTAGTATATCCCTTTTACTAAACTTGCCTAGGTATGATTTCAAATTGCTTCTTTCTTTAGTAATTTTGTTATTATTTAGTTCCACTACAATCTGGCAAATTACAAATTACAAATTGCCAAGGCCGGGCGCGAGTATAAGTTCACAGCAAGGCCCTCGATGGTGACGCAATTCCAACACATCTTATCTTACAATTTGTTTGAACAATATCTTTCTTGATTTAACATGGCTCCTACCATTCTCATCGTCGGTGCCACAGGCAACACCGGCCAAGCTGTTGTTGAAACCCTGCCAAAGTTGCTTCAATCAAGCAATGCTTTGTCTGAGCACCGTGTTATTGCTCTTACCCGTTCCTTGAAGAGTCCAGTGGCACAAAAGCTTGCCAAACTGCCTGGAGTTGAAGTGATTGAGCAGAACTGGGTTGAAATCACCTCTGACTGGCTCCGTGAACATCAAGTCACCAGAGCATTCATTGCCCCACACAATGACCCGAATGCCTTCGCCGAAGAGTCTACATTCCACATTGCTGCCTTGAACGCCGGGGTCAAATATGTCGTGCGAATCTCGACCACTGCCGCAAATGTCCGCCCAGATTGCGCCGCTTACTATGCACGTACGCACTGGGCGATCGAGGCTCTCCTGAGCTCGCCCGAATTCACCAACCTGCAGTGGACTTCACTCCAGCCCAACATCTTTTCGGCTCTCTACCTTTCGAGCGCTGCGGAATTTATCAAACAATACCGCAAAACTGGAAAGCAGGGAGCACTCAAATTGCTAGCATCGAAGGATGCGCCTGTCGGTGTGATCGACCCTTCCGAGGTTGGAGTTTTTGCGGCTCGTCTCTTGTCCCAAGACGACCCCGCTGTGCACAACAAGGCCAGATATGTTCTTAATGGACCAGAGGACATTACTGGGAAGCAGCTAGTGGACTTGGTCGAGCAGTACATTGGTACGCAGGTTGAGCAAGTCATCTATCAAGACACATCATTCCTTGACCTGCTTTACGAGCACAATTATGCGAAAACGAATCAATCAAAGAACGTGATTTTTTCTATCAAGCACGCCCCGGTGACAGCATGGGAAGGAAAATGTTCAGTTTCAACCACGAGCGAGGTAGTATTGGAGCTTGCTGCACCGAAGATTACGCCTGCTGAGGTGTTGAAGAGCCTCCTGCAGGAGTAAGGGACCGGGTCAATGGTACATGGGTAATTTAAACGGTGCAAAATCACCTGCTTATTCTTTTATCCTATACCACTAAGAAATCTCTGCTGCATCTTTGTTCATAACTTTTCTCAGGTCACATTAGGAACATCCTTTTAAGTATGAGAAGACCAGGCTATTCTAGTTAGTCAAAGATGAGACGTCAAATGTTCTCTCCAGGGCTATGTTGGGCCATGTGTTTTACCGTGTCTTTATGAGTGAACATGAATTTTATTAGTCCCTGTAGGAAAAGCCAATATCTACCAGGAAATTATCATCTACAGCCTTTTGCGATGCACTATCAACATTACTCGCCACTCGCATATTCTTGATACCGTCAACTCCCTGTTGTCGCACGACGTCCTCCTCTGAACCAGTCAAAGTAGCGCCGAAGCCATGCTATTTGCGCGACTCGACCAGGGACTTTTTCAGCGACTTGTTGAATACACCCTTAAAGTTTGATAATTTACGGGCATCTCTTTGATCATCCCTCGTGGCGCTTGATCGCTTGCCCTGATCGAGTAAGTTAAAGTCACAAATAAAAAATCATAAAGTATATCTATGGATCTCAGATCACAGCTATCTATTATAATACTCCAAATATCGCATGTTAAATATCGAGAAGTCGTTTTATATGAATTATCTATGCTGTTTTCGGCTATCCATTTTCAATCTTCCTTCCAGCTACAACACTTAACTAGGGGGAAAAGACCTGCAAAAGACACCCAAAAAGACTTTTAAAAAATAATATGAAGATACCAAGATCGACGGTTATTGGTATCTCAATATCAACATGGGATACATCTTAGAGACAAGGAATCAGGACCTCTTGCCGGAGGAACGTGAAGGAAGTGCGAAAGAATTTGATGGATCCAGCTATTTAATCAAATTATTCTAGGAAATCCGATACAGCAGAGAGCCAAACCCAAGCACATCAAAGCCACCCGACGTCGAGCCATAGTTTCCACCACCACCCTCAACACCGTCCGTGGAATCCACCACCACCCTCAACACCGTCCGTGGAATTCGCATTCACCAAGTCACGGTAGGCATCTGTCCAAGATGAGTTGAGGCTCTTTATCTGGCCGTAATGGGCAGAGAGCAGCTCGAGACCCGGACGAACAGTTCCCCGCGAATTGTTTGAAATAACAGTCTGATTTCCCTGGTAGCTTTCGTACGGAGTGTAAGGCACGTCGTAGCCAACATTGTACTTCCCGACATATTCGGCTCTAGATTGCTCAGTTAGTAACTGTCTTAATCCAATGGTGGGTTTTTTTTTTTGGAATACTGACGCATTGAGAATTTCGTTGCTGTATTCGGCGAAGAGGTCATCGCCCTGGTTAAACGCCTGCTGGGCTATGATACCGAGAAGCACCATATCCAGTGTCGAATGCCCCTGGTCCCGGCCAGCTTCTTGTCCCTGTGTCAAGACCTTGTCTGAGCCTGATTCCGTGTAATTGGCAATCGCAAAAACAGGCAAAGCCCCGTTTGAAGGCCCTGTGCGGACATAGTCCAACGCGTAGTCGTACATAGTCTGATTATCGGCGAAGATACCGATAGCAAGGAGAGATGCGAGGTTACATTGATCCCAATTGGCGTAGTAGTGATAATTGTCCTGACCATTATGTTCTTCCATGAACCGCATGTTCATCGAGGCGAATATATTCGTCAACATGGTCGCAGTAGCAGTCTTGTTACTGCTGTCCCAGCCAGAATAATCGGACATAAGTTCTGCTGCGTTGGCCATCTGGTACCCATAAATACCGGAGGCCAGGAATTTGTCGCTGGTGCCGTCGATGGCTGCCAGTGTGACAGCCCATGAATTCAGAATATTGACCGCGGCGTCTGCATAGCTCTTGTCGCCAGAGATTCTCCAGCGTACGGCAAGCTGGTACGCGGCTGCAGTGTCTTTGTACAGGGACGGGTAGTTTTCCCCATCGACGCCGTTGTTACCTCGATACACAGTCTCTTTGGGGCTAGGCTGGTAAGTCGACTGGGCATAGTTGCTCGTAATCAATAAATTCCAAGTGGTATTCCAAGGTTCATCTCTGTTGGTGACGTGGTTCTTGATACGCTCGAAATCTGGCGCGGTGTGAAGCGCCCCAGGGTGGATGAAGGCCGTTGCAGACCACGAGAGGGCGAGAAGAGATAGGAAAGACAGAAAAGCGGGCATCTTGCGGAAGATGAAAGACTCGTTGAGAGGAAAAGTTCGAGCAAACAACTTGATGACAGCGCGTATGGCGAAATTTATATTGCTCGTCTCTTGAATAAATGGTCGAATTCCCGGGACGAAGTCCAGCCGAATATCCCCATGGCAGGCAACCCCCTGTGTGGAATAGATTACTCAAGCGCAAAAAAGATTGGTATAGGAACCTTAACTTTGCTCCTGATAATTGAAGGCGAGGCTACATAGTGCATCAATCATTCAACGACCCCCAGAGGCGGGTGACGGGGAAAGGTCGGAGGCTGTCCGGCCTGACGCGCGTGCACAAATATTATCATCAGTATATCTAGGTGTTCATTCAGCGAACCAAAAACCCCATCGATGGGTCCGCTAAGCAGTGTCTGAGACACAAACCTAAGTGACTACATATACATAGGTTCAAAAATTTGTTAAAGAAGCGATTGTTGCAAGATCTGAAGTCGATTTGTGAGCCCAGCCAAAAGCCCGAAGACGTTGTATGTTGAAAGATTCCGGGCCGGAGTCTACTATATATTCATGCGAACAAGGGTGATACAAATAAGGACGTAGATGCGAGACATTATAGACGAGAGAAGTCAATGGATTGTCATTTCTACCGAGTGGATTGCCTACGCCAGACAGCTTTGAATATTGACGTTACCCTTGAAAAGGTCAATTCTGTATTGTATGTTTATGCCTTTTTGCCCAACATGTCTTTCTCTTCTTGGTCGAAAACTTCTTTCTGAAAACATTCGTTGTCCGAGTCATTCCAGTCAACGAATGACTTCAAATATCGGGAGATTGCATGTCGCTCATTCTTCACTGCTAACTTGACAGCTCGAATCAACTCTCTGCGGCCTTCGCCCTCGAGAAAACTCCCACCGTCCAACAGCAATTGTAGCATGTCAGTCCGGCCATGCTCTGCGGCTCCTTCAAGTGCCGTTCTACCAAAGTGGTGACCCCTGGAACCATTTATATTAGCGCCACGACCAATCAGCTTTTGGGCAATGCTAATGTAGCCTCGAATCGCCGCGAGCTGTAAAGCGGTCGCCCCGGAAGAATCAGCAGGACTCTGGTTGACATCTGCGCCTATATCCAGTAGTTTGTTTACCAGCTCGAGATTCCCCTGAAGGACGGCAGCTTGTAGAGCAGTTCTTCCACTGTCGCGCCAAGGTGCCCCATTGACGTTTGCGCCGATTTCAAGTAGCCATTGCGTGAGCTGCAGATTTTCTTTCCCGACCGCAATTTGTAAAGCTGTACCCATGTCTCTAGATGTTGCAGGCGTATTGACATCAGCGCCAGCTAGCAGGAGCATATCCATGAGCTTGTGATGGTTTTGCTTGACTGCAATTTGAAAGAAAGCTGAAACTTCTGTGGGGGCGACCATCTCATCAAGATGGACCCCAGCTCTGAGAAGTATATCCACAAGAGCCATCTGTTCATACTCAATAGCTTCACAGAGAGCCATTTTCGGAGATCCGAAGATGTAGTCAAGACTACAACCAGCTGAAATGAAATGGTTGACCGTCTGGGCATCCGCCTCTTTGGGACCAAAATTCAAAGATGAACAGAAGTGTCCTTTCTTGTAGAGTTTAGCGGCAGATGCTAGCAACCCAGGAGTGAGGTCTTTTCGGTCAAGCTGTAGACTCTTGACAATTGCTTTCCCTAGGTCTTCTGGTGTCCATGCGTCTACTTGCAGTAGAATTGAGAAAGTACATTTTTCACTTTTCTCCACTGCGTGTTCTAGTAGAGAAATCGATTGGCATCGATGTTTTGGCCCAAGCATCTTGACCAAAGTTTGAGAATCGCTTTGAGCTTGCGAAAACTGCAGATTCACATATTCGCTTGCAAACGTAGCAGGATGTGCTTTATTTTCGCCAGTCCAATTCCACCAACCTGCCAGCTTGCAACTCCGCTCGCCGCGGTGTCGAAGTCGATATAAGATTATTGGATCAACAACATCAGAAGGCACAAAATATGTTCCCACAACGCCAATTCCAGCTTCTAGAAGAGAACGTACGAGAAGTTGACCACCCGATGAGATTGCCATCTTTAGAGCTGTGGGGGCGCATGGTAAAGTGCGAGTGGTAGAAACCAGGTCCAAGAACTCGAAGGTGTGGACAAGGAGGTGACGAAAGTTGATTGCGTTCCAAACAAGCGCGTTGATCTCACGTTCTTTGACAGGTGCGCCGCGTCTTAACAGAATTTTCGCAAGTTCAAAATAGCCACGACACAGGGCTGCTTCCAGAGGCGTAACGCATAGTCTTCCAGGTTCGACAAAGTCTCCATAACTGTAGTGGTAGCTAGAACAGGATGAACTTGGGCTTTTATGGTCCCTGAGCAAAGCGTCAAGCTGCGAAAAGTTTGTCGGGGGCGAACTGGAAGAACGATCTGCTGAGTTTTCCAGAAGAAAGTCTATTAACGCCCTGTCAGCTGCCATTATTGCCGTAGTGAGGATCCATCGGCCTTTCTCTCTCAGCAAACTGTGCAACAGTCCGCGTTCTTCCAAGTACATCGCTGTTTTCAGATCACCAATAGAAAAGACATAGCGAAGCTCAAGGTGAGCCCCGGCGTTCAACAGTAATGTTATTATGTCGCGCTTTCCCTGGCCAATTGCTCTACCAAGAGTGTTCGACACACAGCAGCGCGTGGCTCCTCCGAGGGTTTTGGTTTCCAGAAGCATCTGAACTAAATTTGCCTCGTCTGTTTCAATTGCTGCAATCGGGTTAGCGAAAGAAAGGAACATAGATGGACTCTAGCCTGACTTGTAGTTACCTCTTAGTATCATCAGATCTCGTTTCATCCCATTTTCTATCACCATCGTTCGCATCGCCTCATTCTGCATCATCATCTCAATCTGGTTTGGCAGCGCATAAGAAGGCGTTGTCTCTATGAAGTCCAGCTTTCGCTCAATGTTCTCATCGGGCGCTCCCCATTTCGTGAGGAGTTCAACAGCAAAGTGCTGTTTGTAGTGGACCGCCAGCACAAGCGGAGACAAACATCCAAGTACACCGTCTGGTCTGAGATTGGCCCCGGCCTCGAGGAGTATTTTCATAAGCTGAACATTTCCCCTAGCCGCCGCAAGTCCGAGTGGAGTCGTAACCAAATTTTTGTGCCTGTGAGCTGGAGCTGGGAAGATATGCCAAGCGTCAACATTTGCACCTCGTTCGAGGAGGTGTTCGGCTATCACAGTAGCTTCAATGGTACTCCTATTCCAACAAACTACACCAAGTAGCGTGCCGGGCCCAGTTTGCCTGGTGTCTGTGCAAGTAATAGAGAGCTCAAATCCTTTGTAGATTTCATCGCAGAACTCTAAGCATGTTCTGGCAATCTTAAGATTCCCCGTCGCTTCCAGGCATCTTCCAATCAAGTCGGGTGAGACTTGACGAACTTTCTGGACCAGCAGATTGACCAGTTCCTCATTCTGATTCATGAAGGCAAGCTCAAGTGCCGAAGAGCCCCGTCCAGGCTGTCCGAGGATAGCATTGTGTAACAACAGAAGACGTGCCCATTGCACGGACTCCCTTTGACTGTAGCGAGCCGCCACAAATTCCAAAGCGGTTAGAGACATAAGCTTATGTCCTCTGACATTCCTACCCAGGAAGGTCAGTTTCGGATCCACTCCAGCTTGAAGCATCGTCACAAAAAGTTGGAAGTTCCGGGTTCTGACAGCACTAGCAAACAACTTTTCAACGATTATCTCAGCTGTTACCCCACCTAATCTCAAAAGATGTTTTATGGTCTCTGGAGAGTTCAAGCCGGAGACTTCAATGATTGCCTTGATCATGTTATCTTCCCTAAAGAAATTGCTCAGATCCCGAGGGTCATCTATGTCCTGGCCTTGCTCACCAAAAATTCTGAATGACAGGCTGTTGGACAAAAGAAAAAGTACAACGGATATCACGTCTTTCATATCCTTCATATCCGTGTTGCAGAGACTTCTCGATGTATGGAGATGCTGACCTTCATACTCCTCCGGCGTGATGATACTTAAGATTGTACTAGTTCTACCGGTGTCTGGAAGTGGACCGAAGATCCCCGCACTATTCCAAAGCAGGTTGCATGGTAGAGTAGTCAGTGAATTGTCGTTTGTTGGTAGATGACAAAAAGCACGGGTCTGATCAATATTAGTTGTTTTTGGACTGCCTGTTCCATATTAGGTCCGCTATATATAGTATCTTTCTATGGCATCTCACCTTGCACCTCCTCTAATCGAGCTATACGAGAAAATTGTAACCAGGGCAGGTTTGAAATAATGTCTACCTGTAGCGGAGATGGCGCAGGAGAGCAGACAACAATGCCAGGCGGAGTCGGAGGTGAGGGTGCTAGAAAACGTTAGACATAAAGTACCTTTGATTTGCGATGATAAGGACTACCTGAGGTAAATCTCTGAACGGTTGATCGATATGCATTTCTTCTAATTCCAAGTTTTACCTTTTCTGGTGGGTAGAGGATCCCATCGACGTAGACTTCCGGCTCTCGTTTCTTTTTGCCCAAGAATTGCGCAGATGACAACTCGTTTCGCATCTTGATCTTACTAATGCGGTGGTCGATGTATTCCCATTGCTTTGCTCCCATTCTGTATTTTCTGTAACCCCATTCCTTTATCTTCTTCTCGTATTGCCAATCCCTAGATGTTGTTAGAGTTCACCAGGCACTAGTCATGGACAAGAATGGGGAATAGAAAGTAAAAGGTCGCTGTACCGCTTAGAGAATCCATGGCTCGTCGCCATGATTTGTATGACCCTTTTGAGCGATTTCTTTTCCGTGAGATAGAGACGCTTGATCTCTGATTTATGGATATCCCATTCCGGGTCCGCCATGGTGATGAACCAAGAGTGAAGGAAGAAACTGTTGACAAGAACCAGGAATCTTCTGTTTTAGAGTAGACTAGAAGCAGCGGGCGCTTTCTGTTCTCTTAAGTGTAATAGTCGGTGTGTTGACGTGGTTCAGCTATTAGTCCTGCTGCCTGCCACTCGAGGTGCAAGATGGGGGCCAACCTCCAGACCAATCAACATTGGCCTATGGGACCACTCAAAAACAAACTTACATTGGCTGATGTCCAAATCTGATGCTCCACTAGGCTTGTGGCTGAGGCAACTCATTGGGCTTCACCCTGGGAATCGCCATGGTTGAGAAATAACGCTCGTGATTTGCTAGTGTCGAAATCAGAATCCCCACTCTTGCCGGGGTCAAGGCACCAAATTTGTGATTGGTGCTGGTCACAATCCGAAATCCACCTTTGGGTTTTGTACCTGAATGATGTTGTGCCTACAGTGATTCATTACTTCAGTTTAATCCATCTAGCCTCTCTTCTAGATTTAAATACAGATCTACAATCCACAGGATATCTTTCGGTCATGGTCAGGTTCTTCTTATACCTTCTCTTTGCTGTCTCCAAACCATTTCCCGATGGCGTGGCTACCTTCCAATAGCTTTTTAGAGAACCATCCATCGCTCAGTGAAGCTGGCCAGAGCCTCGCGGATCTGAACTATATTGCCGAAACTTTTGGATATCCACCATCGACTGTTCTCCCCGAGCCGTCCGCGCTCTTTACGGATAATTGCTTTAATGGCCCGCTCATGCATTGCCCCCAGCCCGACCGGCGTGCTCATGTGGGCCTAGTGGGGGTTGGATCGCACCAATCCAATTACAATAACCCAAATAACTCCTCTATCAAGTCCAACCGAGCGAAGGTTTGGGGGGCGGAAAATGTCACAGGCTCTAGTGCCATATGGCCTCAGTCCCTGCCGTCCCTGTCCTCAACAAATGGCATGGGGCAAATGAGCAATCATTCCCAAGTACTCGAGTACAAATCCCCCGGGTCTACTAATCCGATAGGGGAATCTGAGTAAGTCGCAGAGTTCAACACGCAAACTAGCCATCTTTTTTTGCTGACTGTGATTCTGTTATTCCAGCGTTCGCGCAACTTCTTTCTTATGTGAATGGGGGAACTGCCACCAGCGCTTCTCCTCGAAGGGATCAGTGATGCGACACCTTGAAACAAAACATGTTTCTCCTCAGTCCTTCAAATGTTCCCATAGGGGCTGCAACAGGCTTTTCAACCGGAAAGACAACAGAGATGAGCATTCACGACGAGCTCACCGGGAGAATGACTTCTAGTAGAATTGAGAAACATATCTTGAGTTTTTGCTTAGATTTTATGCAAGGTCGGAGCTGTTGTATGCAAGATCTAAGTCCCAAGTTCATGGTCTAGCTTTTCTGATGCATACTTTGAGTGAAGTCGTAAAGTGCAGTTTCATTCAATGGGTGATCTATGGAATGGACGTCTTGTTGATCTGGAAAGCCATTCATGGTAAATTGTAGCTGAAGTATGCCAGTAGCGATGTGTGGAATATCTTAGAATAATAGCTGCTCCCATTGCTAATTTTAGCCAATCCCGACCACGAGGCCGATACTATTGTTGTGAAAACTTTTGAGCATGTTTGTCGTTACGCTGGCCGCGGAAGCCGTTCCATATTCACCATCGGGCTAGACGGCGATGACAACGTTGTGTTCGCCTATCTGCCTAAAGTATAGTCGTTGGTATCGTTCGGCGACACAAAATTCGGTTCTTCAAGCTCTTCATCGAGGAACTCTTGTGCTGCAACGTATTCGACGGGTAAGACGCAAATCTAGCCCACGGTGTAGCTCGCTGGGTCTAACATGGCTTTAACTTACAAGTACTACCCGAAAATATCTTCCCACTGCCCCACTAAAACCCGACCCGGTAACCAACCTACGCAGTCTGGCATAGCAGACTAGTCGATATCAATGGACAGAACAAGCAACCAACCACTCCCACGCTCAACAAGAGGATAGAGAGTAGTCTGTGTGGGTGAAGGCTGTCCTCGAACTAATGGCACATCATGAATGAATGAACTTGGTGAGAAACAGTAGTCATAAGGAGACTAGACATTACCTGGAAAATAGGAGGCTATAAGGTGAAGGCAATGAATAATACGCCGAGACTTATGTCCATTTGCTTTTCATTAGATAGATGATGCAGGTAATCTCTCATCGTATTAATAGACATAACGGAAATTTGGATTCTCACGATCCGTAAGATCCTGGAAAGCCAGGTCGTGAGATACTTCACTTGTCGCCCGTTCTTTCGAACGGTTCCTCGCCATGATGATCACACGGGTTAAAATAACAATAGCAATATAGACAGCATAAATTATGACGTGCGTCAAGAAGCCATGCAGATAGCGGGGAGCGTCTCCATCTCGGAAAATCTGGGGCGCAATCAGATTACCAACGGACCAGCCTATAAAGAGCATAGTCATAGTAAAGCTCTTCTTTGATTGTCCAGCAATATTTCGAGTGATGAGTGAGATGATCATGTTGCCTTGCGCCGGGAAGAATTGTGTGCAATAGAACGCTATCAGCATTCCCCCTGCGTTCGATGGAGTCGGGGTCACAACCAGGATGACAATTGTGCCGACAATTGAGGGGATTGTATAGAGCTATTTTTGATAAGTCAGTAAAATATGCAGCTTCGTTGGCACAATGCTTACTATCATCACAAGGCACGTTTGCTGGAATCGCTGGGATGCCCACGCAGATCCAATCATGACTATTATGCTCCAAGCTCCCTGGGCAATATTGAGGAGCTGTGTTTGAAGAAGTGAGAACCCAAACTTTTGTATGATGAGATTGGAGAATACTCCCAGGCCGCCAATAACCAAGTTAGCAACAAGAATGAGCATGACGCAGCACCAAACTAGGGGATCCTTGAGGGCTTCGACCACCTGGTATTTCTTATATTTTTTATTTTCAATGCCCGTCTCGTTGTGTCGAACTCGTTCAACCATCAGACGTTTATCATTTTCGGAAAAGCATTTGGCTGAGAGAGGACTATCGGGAAGGAAAATGCCGATAACGACCGACCAGAGGCACGTAAAGAGACCGAGCACCAGAAACAGCAGTTGCCAATTTTTGATCGGGCCGTTCGTGAAATGGGAGACACCAAAGCCGAGAAGGCCTCCGATCTGAAAGTATTAGCACTTGAGACACAAAGAAATAGGAAACACCACATACAATTAGTTGTACTCCACTCATACAATACCAAATCGAGTTCAAGAGGGATTGTTCTTCTCTCTTGTACCACATTCCCGTCCTGTGGTGGAAATTAGCTCATAAACACTGAATTAAAGGGGATCGAGAATTACACATACACTAGCATCATTGCTGGCTGGACGCAGCTCTCAAAGAATCCTAGCAAAAATCGGACAGCCATGAGAGACGCAAAGTTTGTTGATGCCGCTGAGCACGTTACAACGGCTCCCCAAATGAGAACATTGATAGCGAGTATCTTCGCCACAGGAAATTTCTGTAGAAGCAAGTTTTGAGGATATTCGCCACAGAGGATGCCAATGTATAGGATCGTCCCTAACCATGAATACTGAATCGCATACAATTAGCTAGGTGTACACGGAAATGGCACTAAGTATGGAGGACTCACTTGCTGACCCACGAGGTGGGCATCACTTTTGATACCCATGATGGAGGCATAGTTCAATATGCCTTTGTCTAAAGACTGACAGAAATAGGTGATCACCTGTATGACAAGGACACGACGAGTGATCTTCCAGAAAAGTCGTCGGTCAGTGGCAACATCCATTGTAATCCCAGGGTCAGCCATATAGGGATCTTTCTTCTCGTTGCCATCTTCGCATGTGTTTGTCACATCCAGGTCCGATTTCATCTCCTCATGCTCGACGGTTGTGGCCATTTCGCTTTCTTTGTAGGCCATAATGCGTCAATGAAACAGTAAAAATGGCCTAAGTAGTTTAGGACTCGAGATGAAAAATTAAATTCTAGTATTTGGATGAATCCAGCTATCTATACCTCATATGATTTTCGTGGCATCTCTTAGATTAGCTGACACTTTGCCCACATCTGCCAAACAAAAGAAAACAGACTTTCGTGGAGTTGGCCTTCGGAGGAAGTGCCGGACATTCTCCGACTTAATGCACTAATCCGAATTTGTGCTAAAATCCATATCTCACGCCACTTGACTGGGATCTCCTCTCCGCCAAGAGGATCCTCCTTACTCCGTACACTCTACAGTAATTGAATAGTAATTGATAGGACCTTTGATTGTGACCCATCGGAGTTCCTCCAGCAGTTTCCCCGTGCTCCGTGGATGAGTGTCACGAGATTTTGCACTCAAACACCACCTGGGCACTACGCCAAAAGGAAAGTTCCATTCAGGCTAACGCATGATAAATTGTCATCATTCCTACGAACAATTAATGATGCTTCAGACCCACCATATTCATTTTTCCCTCCCTCTTAACACAAAACCGGTTCAACCTCAACTATGGTATCTGCCCCGTTGATTCAAACATATGATAGTCCTCGGGATATTGTGATCAATCAAGATTTCATCATTCATGTGCAGCCAAAAGCAGAAGACACCGAAAACCCATGGTCTCAAGTTGCAGCATACGCCGTTGACGTGGCGAACGCGAGCATCACCTGCAATGACTTCGATTATCACTCCATCGCGGTGGCGTCCTTTGACTTCAATGGACCTGTGAGGGTCAGGGTCGAATATATGCCAGGCTCAGTCGACTTGGCAGCGATCCGGCCAGCCTCACGAGGCATCAACACAGAGTTGCGAGATAACGTTATCACGTTCACTTTGGATCGCGCTGAAGATTTGATGCTCGAACTGAATGGCAACAAGTGGAAAGCCCTCCACTTGCTCACAAACACGATTGATCCAGACGCCCCGAGCGAAGATACCAAAGACATCTGGTACTTTGGACCAGGCGTAAATCAAGGATCGGCGTACTCGATGATCACCGACGGGGTCAATCTTATGGTACCGTCAGGTACAACCGTGTACATTGCTGGTGGGGCTTTTATCACTTTCCGGCTGAATTTCGTTGGTGTCACCGACAGTGCTGTGCGAGGACACGGCTTCATACTCGGTCCAAATGGTGGATATGTCCATCGAGAACATGGTGGCGCAATACATATGAGCCAAGCGAGCAGTATTCATGTAGAAGGTGTCACGTCCTTGGGAGCAAACGGATTTAGTCTCTCTGCAGGAGAATGCAAGAATGTGCATGTCAATCGATATCGCTCATTCTCATCTTCTGGCAATGGAGATGGAGTGGATTTCTTCTGTTCGTCCGATATCATGATCGAAAATTGCTTTTTGCGCAACTCTGACGACACCATTGCGCTCTATTCTCACCGCTGGGACTGGTATGGTAATTCAAGAAACATCACTATCCAAAATTGTATTTTGCTCCCCGATATAGCCCACGCGATAATGATGGGTACACATGGCAATCCCGAAAATCCAGAGACAATCAGCAATGTCACGATCTGGAACATTGATATCTTGGATCAAGAAGAGAACCAGTTGTGGTACCAAGGATGTATCGCTATCAATGCTGCCGATTCAAACTTAATCCAAGATATCCATGTAGAGGATGTCCGAGTGGAAAGGATCACCCGCGGCCAACTTTTCAATATCCGAGTGATGCAGAATGAGATGTGGACTACTGCTCCTGGGCGAGGGATTCGAAATGTCACTTTCAAAAACGTGTCTTTGTGCACGCGTGACTCCGGAACCATAAACCCATCGCTAATTTTGGGCTATAATGAGGCTCAACGGGTTGAAAATGTTACTTTTGAGAACCTCAAGATCGACGACAAGGTGATACATGACCAAATGGAGAAGCCCAGATGGTACATGGTCTTGGATTTTGTTCCTTTGTTTGTCAATGAGCACGTCAAGAACGTCAAATTCATTATATCATAAATTATGGCTTGGTGCTATTGGTGCTAGTATACGAATACGACCAATGACAGGCTCCGGGACACATATTGAGTGTGTTCCTTTAAATATCCATTGCAAAGGGGATTTTTCCCTTTATAGGCTTAATTAGTATGTAGATGCCACACAAGCTGGCTTCAATCAGTCAGTAAGTGGGTGCTGTAAAAATGAGCAAGCTAGTACTCCCATGCCCCTTTTTATCTGAGATATTGCTCAAGAAAAAGAGGCACTTGATGTGCTGTTCGATCCTTCTTGGACGTTCGACGTCCATGAAATCTTGAACATTTCCTATCTTATCGATATAATCAAGGCTCGTCAAGGATATTATTGAAGCCCAAGTAGAACAATTTAGCCTTAACATCCCATACATAGAAAAGATTTCAGTCATTCGTAGTTGATTCGTTGGCACCAATTTCCTGGGTCAATGCCTGCACATTCGTCAGAGATCTAAACGCGTCCTGTCTTGCATACTAAGAGCCGCTCTACTTGATATGTCAGATACTACAATTCCCCGGAGCCGGTTGCCTAGTCTCTATGAGGCGGGTGAATTCCCGGGGCAATCCCCGGTACCAAGATTCACCCCAGAAGGACATGATTGTTCATAAGAACCAACAAACCACGAGCATGAAGGACCAGTGTCTGACTTCATTGTTTCATTGTTTCAAATTTCTAAATTTTGTCATTTTTCTCGCCGAGGATTTGATATAAAGCTTACTCTGGTGCATCGACGTCTTTCCGCTCGGATCATTTCGAAAATGCCTCTAGAAAACAACGCCATTATTGTATATTTGAACCCAATACTTTCCTCGCATACAGTCTTGCTAAAATATTTACAAGGAACACATTTCAAATCGGATCAGTCCAGAACCGTGGGAATTCAATGGCGTGAATGGTTTCAAGAGCGCAGTTCAGACCTCGGCAGAGCGGCTGACGAAGGCACTTTTCTCAGAGTCTGTCGAGGCGAAGCTATGGATTGTGGCTGCTCACGCATTGGAAAGCGTAAGCATACCGCCTAGCAACGCTACCAAGAAATCAAATCTGACCTATGTTTAGTCCAACCCGCCCGTGCTCTATCCGGAATATACCGACGAAAGAGGCAATTATGTCTACCGAACCCTTGATTTTTGGACATCAGGCTTCTTTCCGGGGTCCATGTATCTTCTACTCGAGCGATCGATTCTTTATAATCGAAATGCATGTCTACCTAAACCTGTCAACAACAACCCCGAGATAAGACCTCACCCACTCCAACTCGAGCACCTATGTCGGTGGTGGACGACCAATCTTCATCAAAACGCACTGAAGCGTGATACACATGATGTCGGGTTTATGATTGCACCGTGGGCTATGAAAGCCTGGGAGCTGAAGCGGGACCCAGCTGCGTTCGGCAGTTTGGTCATGGCTGCGCACTCCCTTGCGAGTCGGTTCAACACAGTTACGCAGTGTTTGCGCAGCTGGGACGTCTGCATTACCAATAGGTACAAATTCACAGATCCATCATTGGATTTTTTGGTGATTATTGATAACATGTTAAACCTTGATCTCCTTTTCTGGGCTGCAAAGGAGACTTCAAATTTCGCTCTATATGACATTGCGCTGGCGCATGCGCGTACGACACAAAAACACCATATTCGGAAAGATAACAGTACCTTCCATGTCGTGAACCTTGACGTGGAGACTGGCAATGTCAAATCTCGATTTACAAACCAGGGCTATAGTGATGACAGTTGCTGGGCTCGAGGACAGGCATGGGGGATTTTGGGGTTCATGCAGACCTTCCATTGGACTCAGGACCTTTCGTTCATGAACCTAGCCAAGGACCTGGCAGACTACTTTATCGCGCATTTGCCGGCCGATGGCGTGCCGTACTGGGATTTCAATGCACCAGTGACAGAAGCGTGTCCCCGCGATACGTCTGCAGCTATGATCGCCGCTTGTGGCATGCTTCTCATTTACAAAGAGCTTATGGGTAGCCAAGAGGCGGACCACTACCTCTGTCAATCGGTAAAGCTAGTCAACAACGTTGTTGACAAGTTCCTGGGTCGTGAAACCATTCGGTTTGAGGCTAAGCCCCTTGTATCGCAAGTTTCAGTCTATCCAAATGACTGTATCCATGAGCAAACCGGGGACGGCTTCGATATTCTACAAGTTGTGCATGATAATAGCACGACGTCAAAAGCCAGTCAGACTATTTTGGGCGGAGCCACCATCAACAACTATGAGTTTGCGCCGAGAAGGTGGTCAAATCATGGGCTGGTTTATGCGGACTATTACTTTTTGCTTTATGGCAACATGATTCTCGAGATGGGGCTTGGCTCTTCTATTGCGTAATGATAATGCAGCAGAAGAATGGAATCGGAGATGCCCTTCACAATCGTCATCATTCATAACGTAAATCTGCTAGAAGATACAGAAGAATCCCTGGTTACACATGGAAAGGTCGTCTGCACAAAGTATGCTTTTTATCGCCCTCGTATACACCTAAGAAGACATCAAAAATGACATAAAAAAAGAACATCGGAGGGTTCTTACATATAACACCGCTACTACCATATTCGTCCAAATAGATCAGATTATTAAAGTATTAGATTGTCAAAGACAGGGGCCACATAAGCGGCCGACTATTCTTGTATATTTGATTGAAGGACACAAGTATGTTGGTATTAGAACTTTCGCCCATTGACGTTGTCGGCCGTCGGGAAATCCCTTGAGCCCTTGTCTGGCTCTTGGCTCCCAACATGTACTGCACCATAGCGACTTATCCTCTGACCAGGATTAGGGGTAGGATTAAAAACTTGCGCCAGGTCCGCTTGGAGACTAGTGATGTCATTTCCAAATGCAGCATTGGCATCCTGCCACATACCAAGACGCGGATCTTGTGACTGCATATTCAATTGGGCGTTCCCGTCATAAACGTCAGATTGTCCATACACGGAGAGCGGGTCTGATGCTGAGAAAATAGGAAAGCCTTGCTGGAAAGATGGTGGGAGTGGTGGAAAAGCCAGGCTAAATGGATCCAGACCATATGGCTCTTGGGGGGAGTGTCTTCTCATGTCTCCAGCATGAGGCTCGCCATTGGAAGCTCCGGGCTTGTGTATACCAGGCTGAAATGGCGAGGTGCCGGTAGGAAGTTGCGCTGGAGGTTGCTCCTTACTTTCGTCCCAATATGCAGTTTGCCTGATATCTAGACTCGGGCGACGGGCAGCACTAGAGTCATTTTGGGCATCCGAGAGTCGCTTTGCGAAAGTCGAGGCGAGGTTGTCGCCTATTGAACCTATAGTCTCGTTTCTCCCGGTCCATCGCTGAGAGATCTCGAGAAGGCTGACAATCAAGGTATCGAGAGCAGATGGAACAATGACTTGGTTGTATCTTGCATGTGCTAGGAGCATTCTCCCGGCAATAAAAAGACAAAAAGAAAACTGAGGGTTGGTAAAGATGGGTGATAATGAGAGGAACTGTTGCCCAATAGTAGCGATCTCAGATGCAGCCTCTAGACATGTTTCTGCAGATGAGGTAGATGGCAGCTTGATTGAGCAATTATTCCAGTGGGGGGTGGATAGGCAATTGCTTGGTGCAATAGAATGACAGCGGTATTATGCGTGATATGCGCCAGTGTCAGGTTCGGGTCCATGACCCCGTCCGAATTAAGCACGGATGCCTCTCGCCATCTCCGGGGCAGGTACAGTTTCCACCTAGAGGTTATCATGATGTTAGTAGGCCAGACGCGCACATTGAAGCTACAGAACGAACTGGATGAGCCGCAGATCCAACTCTTTGAATTTCATCATCCAAATCCGAGCTTTCTCAGCATCTGCAACAATGAACGCATGGTCGAGGAAAAAGTTTGTGACCAGCGTAAGTGATTCGGTAGCCTCAATATTGTACGCAAATCCACCTATTGAGAGATCATCATCTGAGTTTATCGACCCTCCACTACCGCTTAGAAGTGATGAGGTTGTTGCGGTGTCCTTCGAATCTGAGATGCCGAAAAAAGGCGCGCAAACCTCTCTCTCCTTCTCCCAGACCGCTCCCTCACAGGGAAGGCGGCGTTTCAAATCGGCGCTACCCAGACTTACCTCCCGACCTGTGGATACACTACAGAAGCGATCCATCAAAAACACAGCCCAAAAGATTCGCCGACGCTCCTCCGCTTCGCTCCAAGACCTCGACGGAGGCAGGAAAACCATACGCCTAATCAACGACTCGCCCGAATTGTTTGAACGGTATAAAACGTCTTCCTCAACGCCGAGTTGAAGTTGATTTACCGCACCGATAGTACTGCCGACGATAGACCATGACGAAGGTCCGCGTCCTCGCTCAATCTGCAAAATGGAAGGAATTAGTTGACCAGGGGGGTCAAATAGTCATTTTATGCGGCTCACTGTTTCAAACGCAATGATGATCAATGCCTGCAAGTGCTCGACCGAGTAACAATCGGTGCTGGCTAGTATGACTCTTTTTCTGCTCTGCTCAGCGACAGATGCCTTCGTTTCTGTATCACACAATTCTTTGCTTTGGGAGAAACGTACACATACAGCGATAATTGCGTGAAGGATGCAAGAAACACGGGGACGCTCATCTAGAGATTGCATACGCTCCCAAAACCTTGTCACGTGGAGAATCGGTATCCAAGGGTGTATATTGATAAAATAGAAGCCAACCAGCTCCGTCATGATCTCGGTCGAGAGAAGACCGTCGGTATTGCCATCCATGCTGACTGGGACGAAGGGTGTGGGAGTTGCCGCGCAGCGTCGTCTTTTTGTTGAACGCGAAGCTGCCTCCATACTCTCGTGTGCTTGTTCCTCGTCCCTCTGATCTACTGACGATAATGTGTGAAGCAAAGCAGACTTGAGATCATCTCGTCGCCGAGCCAGATCTTCAATATTGTTAGGTCGATCGCTAGACACTGATAGAGCCCCATTCGGATACATCGTCTTCCACATCTGTTGCCAGAGCAATTCCTGACCGAGGAACATATTCTCAAGTGTCTCAATGCGGCGATAAAGTTGGTCCATTGCGCCAGTGCGGAGGCCAGGCTTCATGCGACGCTCATCATAGACGCACTCAGCGCCGGAGCGGGTGCATTCTACACAAGGTTGGGTCCGGCTGCAGCGCGATTTTTTTCTTCGGCAAAGCTGGCAAGCAGGTAGATCCTCGTGGAACTTTGATGCATCCTGTGGCTCTTGGCCATTGGCCTCGCTCTCGGTATGGCTCGACGTGGGTGGCATTGGGAGTCTCTCAGGTCCACCATTTATGCTTGTAATATCGACAAATAGCGCAGATGGAGACTGCTACGGCATCAAGCGACCTATTGTTTGAGGACTCGACTTCATGATGAAATGGTGGGGTATGATGAACGCAACCACAGGAAAGACACGTGTTCTCGGCTAAAGAAGAAACCCCATGGGGAAAGTAAGCTTCCAACCTTACCTAGGTAGGAAGTTGTGCACCACCCGAGGAGCGGAGCAACGGACAACCTTACTCCGAGGAAATTTCTCGCGCTATCATAGCCTCCTTACTGTGGCAGGTTATCAAAGCAGGAACAAGGGACAGTCTCATACTTGTGCCTGATCTCATTTGAAACTGAAATTATTCAAATGGGCAGAGCCCAGTCGCTTGGATTAACTGGACTGAGTGTTTATGTTCCCGGTTGGCGTCGTCTTTACGCCAAATCATTGTTTATTCCTTATCGGAATCATTCCTAGCGAGAAACATGTTTTCAAATGCGCCTAGTTACGGTATCAATTGTTCTCAAAGAAAACAGCTGGATAACAAGACATAAGAAGCTATAAAGAAAATGGCATTATTGTACTACTTTCGCTTCCCGTGTACTGCAACCAAGCTCATTGAAGAGTATGGATAGATATGATTCGAATACAGGCCGGCCAATATGTATAATATATAGTGCTCCTTGAAAAATTTCTGAAATAACTTAAAAGGGAAGCAAACTACATACTACCAAATATCATAATCTGGGATATTCTCCTCGAAATATGTCTCCACAACTTCGGTGAAGCCCACGTCATGTCCATTATAAGGCCATGGCTCCCCGCCTCCACTGGCAAACAGCGCAAAGGAATTGCCTTCGAAAACAAGGTAGTTGGCTGGTGCAAATGCTTGCCATGAGGAACTAATTGTTGCAAGATATGTAGGTGTCAAATGAGGGTGAAGACTGTAGCCAAGCTGGTAGTCCAGCGGAGTCGCGCGAATGTGGAGGGTCAATCCAGAGATAGAAGTTTGATTTAAGGGAATTTGTTTTGATAGGGCTGTGCAATTTTTCAGTAGGGTAGTATAGAGACACAAGCCTGTTGCATTGACGCAGCCAGTAACCCCGATGTCTTGATGTTGAAACTCGGACAAATAGGCGGATATTCCAACAGTCATCTTGGGACCATACAAGCCTTGTATCGCAGATAGGGTTGCCGAGAATGTCATGTTGAGACTCTTTTGTTTCCGGAGAAGAGCAGCAGGCGTATCGCGGTCACTAAGACCATATACGTTGGGTTTGAACGTGAGCCCGTGCCCATCAAGGGCAAAATTAGACGTGTAAGGGGTACGCAGTTGGTACCAGCTGGGATGCAATACTGACGAGGTAAACTCATCGTGGAATGTGGCTGGAACGAGATGCTGGTGAACATCGGATGGCCCAAACGATTTGCTGAGCATGATGGGCTCCTCGTTATTCAAAATCGGCCACCCTTCTTGGCTCCATTTGACGGGAGTCAGAAAAGTCTCTCTTCCAAGTGGAGATGAGCCTTTAATCTTCCTCCGTGCGAGGAAGGCTGCATACCAGTCGCCTCCTGGCGTCTCGACCAGAGTTGAATGCCCTGTGGACTGGACGGTCAAATTATCATATCCATATGCACCGTTAAATAGTAAAGGGTTATTTGGATTAGGTTCCCATGGCCCGGTAGGGGAGCCGCTTCTCGCGATTGTCGTGCGATGAAGGTCATCCGTGCCTCCTTCAGCAATCATGAGATAGTAGAAACCCAGCCGGTAGAACATTTTTGGGCCTTCGGGACGCGAGTTGATATTGTGTGTGAGTGTACCGTTCCAGAGAGAGTGATAGCTGTCGATACACTTTCCAGTGATTAAACTGATTTCACACTGATAGATCCCCCAAATCCGGTCCTCATTGTTATTGGGCGCCATCAGATTCAAATAAGTCTTTTTGCTCTGAGGATCGTGGAAAAGCGAAGGGTCAATTCCCCATGGCTCAGCCCAGGTCAAGTCAGACCACTCCACTAGGTCAACCGAGGAAGCAAAGTAGATCCTCGGCCACACTTTTGCTACTGGATCATAAGTCCAGCGGGTCATGCACGCAATGTAGAATGTGCCATCAATATAAGAAAGTGTGGGTGCCCACGACCCAGCCCCAGTAGGAACGCCAAAAAGATGCTGTGATTGTGGATCCGCAAAGGCGTGCGAGATTAGCTCCCAGTTTCCGAGATCGGTGCTTTTGTAAATGGGCGTGCTCGGAAAATATTCGAAAGAAGAGGTCGCAACGTAATAGCTATCTCCAACTCGGAGGACTGATGGATCAGGGTTCCAACCTGAGATAATCGGATTTCGGATTGCAGTCGCTAAAGCAAAAAGCCAGCTATAGAGGAGCATAACTAGTAGAGTAGTCATCATCTTGTTCCCTTAAATGGCAATCCAAGTCGCAGGATCTAGTCTATAAGACATTGGGATACGTTCTCGGATTCTCTCCGGTCTATTCCCCGGCGGGCCATATGGCGGGTTTTTTTCCGAGCACCAACCCTATAATAGATCAGAGAAATTGATCTGAGCTGACTCTTCTTGTTACAATTTGAGATTACTCCAGGTCTCAGGTGCAGCGCCATGGGCATTCTCAAAGCAATCAATGTGGAAGCCTTGCTTTGGCTATTATGCGACTTGGTGATCGATATTCTTCTAGCTTCGTTACGGGGAGGTCAAAGGTGGGCTCGCCGTCCGAAGTTAAGAGTGGCCGTTTCTGGCCGGTCATTTTCGGCAGCAATTCCACAGGTCCTCGGATCTCATATGTTTCTATGTATAACCGGGGACAGACTACTTATGTTTATTACCAATTCCATGGTAAGTCCGTACTTAGATCAGCAGATGCCTTAGATGATACTTAGAATATCTACATAACCCGAGGAGGTCACTGAAACAAAACTATAGAACATGAGCCATTTGTAATCTTTGTTTGCGTAGTTGAATCTTGATACAGTTCAGACCCTCATAGTCGGAAATCCGATGGAGATTCAACAGGCGTGCAATTTGCATGGCCTCGACACTTAATATTTATGGTTCCGGAGCTGCAAAAAATGCAGCGAAGAAGAGGTACAGAACGGCAAATTTTTGAGAGTTGAGCTCGTCAAATAGGAGGATGTTCTCAGATCCATCACTTTTTTGTTGCAAAAGTCCTTGGTTGAGCAACAACGCTGAGCAAGGGCTACCTATGTGCAGCCTGAGGCAGAAACATCACGTGAACATGACTAACCCCCGCACAGGGGCCAATCAGAGGGCGACCCCCGTAGAACCTCACCCATTGTGGTCTTTCTTGCTTCGAATCTTTGTTTTAGTCTCTTCACATATCTTGCACTTCTACAGCTATTCCCATCTTCTCCAGACTTTCCCACCTAATTATTGTGTGTTGAAATCTGGGCGTGCACTCAAGGCACCTTTTCCTCTCTGTGCTTCTTGTCGCGGAAAGACCTAGTGCATGCCGCCTCGTCATATCCACAAAAACACCCGTCCCTTCTTCCCACTCTTCCACAGGAAATCCTCTTTCCACCACTGCTTCTATCGTGGTGATCACCGAGTGTCGAACCCTTTGATTGATCCGGGTCCAGAGGGGTTTTAAAGTCTTTTTTCTAATCTCTTCTCCACCTCTTTTTTCCTTCTTTTTTCTCTTCCCCCCCCCCCACATCCTTCATTTCTTTGCACATCATGGACGCCCGTCAGGTGTTGCAGAGTACCCTCGCGCCAGATGCGGCCGAGCGTAGCAATGCCGAACAGCAACTCGCCCACGCTGCGGAGGTTGACTTCGTATGTGTCTCCTTACCCCCCTTCGTCCTGCCACGAGTCATGAAAGATTTCCCCAGGATCCCAAATGCTGATACTTCTGTCGCCCGATAGGCTGCCTACCTCATCACCCTCGGTCAGGAACTCGCCAACGAGAGCAGCCCCGCTCACATCCGTGTCGCTGCCGGTATCGCTTTGAAGAACGCTTTCACTTTCCGGGATCAAGCCAAGTTGCGCGAGGTGCAGCTCCGATGGGCCCAGAGCATCAACGCCGAGACTAAGACACAGGTCAAAGAGCTTGCGCTCAAAACCCTGCAGTCACCCGATGCTCGCGCTGGAAATGCTGCCGCCACACTGATTGTTTCCATCGCTGCTATCGAGTTGCCGCGTGGTGAGTGGCCTGAGTTGATGGGCATTCTTGTCCAAAATGTCGCCAGTGGAAACGACGCACTGAAGCAGTCATCTCTCACTGCCATCGGTTACATTTGCGAGTCACAAGATCCCGATCTCCGCGCCAGCTTGACACAACACTCCAATGCTATCCTTACTGCGGTCGTCCAGGGTGCTCGGCGCGAGGAGCCGAACATGGATGTCCGTTATGCTGCTATCGCCGCTCTCAGTGATGCTGTCGATTTCGTGCGAACCAACATGGACAACGAGGGAGAGCGCAACTACATTATGCAGGTCGTCTGCGAGGCCACCCAGGCCGATGAGGTCCGTGTACAGGCTGCCGCATTCGGCTGCTTGAACCGCATCATGGGATCCTACTACGAGAAGATGCGCTTCTACATGGAGAAGGCTCTGTTTGGCCTGAGTATTATGGGCATGAAGAGCGAGGAGGAGGAAGTCTCCAAGCTGGCTATTGAGTTCTGGTGTACTGTCTGCGAGGAGGAGATTGCCATTGAGGATGACAACGCTGAGGTATGTAACACAAGACCGAGTGGTTTTGACCCTGTACTGACGTTATTTTTCTCATAGGCTCAGCAAGAGGGTGTTGAGGCTCGTCCTTTCTTCGGATTTGCTCGCGTCGCTACTCGTGAGGTTGTTCCCGTCTTGCTGCAATCTATGTGCCGACAGGACGAGGATGCTGGTGATGATGAGTACAATGTCTCTCGTGCTGCCTACCAGGCTATGCAGCTTTACGCCCAATGTGTGCAGGGTGATGTCATTCAGCCCGTTGTGACTTTTGTCGAGGAGAACATCCGCAACGAGGACTGGCACCGTCGTGATGCCGCTGTCGCTGCTTTCGGCGCTATCATGGAAGGCCCCGACGCCAGTCTTCTGGAGCCCCTGATCAAACAGGCCTTGTCTGTTTTGCTTGGCATGATGGAAGATAGCTCCATCTCCGTCCGGGATTCCACTGCCTACGCCCTGGGTCGCGTGTGCGACTGCTGCCCTGAGGTTCTCGACCCCGAGGTCCACCTTCAACCGCTTATCTCGTGCCTGTTCAACGGCCTCGCCAACTCACCCAAGATCGCCAGCTCCTGCTGCTGGGCTCTTATGAACGTCGCAGACCGATTCGCCGGTGACGATGGCTCGCAGACTAACCCTCTGTCGAAGCACTTTGAGGACAGTGTGAAGTCCCTACTGACCGTGACCGAGCGGTATGTTTCCCTGAGTGATATCCCTTCGATTCCTTTGATCTAACGCCCGTACAGACAAGACGCCGATAACCAGCTCCGTACCGCTGGATACGAAGTTCTCAACTCCTTTGTTATGAACTCTGCCAATGACAGCCTGCCCATGGTTGCAACCCTCTCAGATGTTATTATCCAGCGTCTTGAGCACACTATTCCCATGCAGCAGCAAGTCGTTAGCGCCGAAGACCGCATTCTTCTCGAGGAGATGCAGACTAGCTTGATCAGTGTCATTCTGGCCATCGTCCAGCGCTTCGAGGTCGAGATCAAGCCTCAGGCTGACCGTATTATGAGCGTGCTGCTTCAGGTCCTGACTACGCTTGGCGCCAAGTCGAGCGTGCCGGATGTCATCTTTGCCACCGTTGGTGCTATTGCCAGTGCTCTTGAGGATGATTTCATCAAGTACATGGAGTCATTCAGCCCATTCCTGTATAACGCCCTGGGCAACCAGGAAGAGCCAGGTCTCTGCTCTATGGCCATCGGCTTGGTCAGTGACATTGCTCGTGCTTTGAACGAGAAGGTCCAGCCTTACTGTGACACCTTTATGAACCTCCTGCTCAAGACTCTCCAGGTAAGATTGTTTCTCTCAGATATACCGAGGTTGATGCCCAATGCTAATTTCCCAAACAGACTTCCACCAACCAGCTCAAGCCTGCGATTCTTGAGACCTTCGGCGATATTGCCCAGGCCATCGGAACCAACTTCGATACGTACTTGGCGGTCGTTGGCCAGGTTCTCCAGCAAGCCTCCAGCGTGACCACCAGCTCCGACCTCCCATACGACATGGTGGATTACATTGTTTCTCTCCGCGAAGGCATCATGGATGCTTGGGGTGGTATTCTTCTGTCCTACAAGGGCACTCCTTCGAGTAAGTTGCTCTTCGCTCTCCACAAAGATACGATCTCAGCATGCTAACTAGATCGCAGTCACCCAACTCCAGCCTTTCATCGAATCTATCTTCCAGCTTCTTCACATTATCTCCCAGGAGAGCAACCGCAGCGAAGGTCTGATGCGGTCTGCCATGGGTGTTATTGGGTATGTCTTGGCCGCTTCTAGTTTCAATTGCCTTTACTAACTATTCACTAGTGATCTTGCTGATGCCTTCCCCAACGGCGAACTCGCTGCCTACTTCCGCAACGACTGGGTCACCTCTCTCGTGAGAGAGACTCGCACTACTAGACAGTACAGCGAGCGCACAATTGAGACTGCTCGCTGGACCCGTGAGCAGGTCAAGCGCCAAATCAACATGGGCGCTGGTATGGCGTAAAGCCGTCACCATGTCTCACATGGTTGATTACCAGTGCTTCTGGTCCGATTCCGTCTTCCAAAGCATCTGCCACTCACATCGGGCCTGCTGGCCTCAATGCCACAGGTCCTAGGGCTGCTTGAGCCCACACCCAATTGGTGCTCCTGATGTGTGCAGGGTAGCTGTTCCGTACTCGATGTTATCGAACCCGAGCGCTTGGCTATCAGCCTCAAATCTCTCTCCTCTTTATTTCCCAGCACAGGATTCCCCTCCCATCACTCCCTTTGGTCATGAACTCTGTTCCCCAAAACCCTTTGCTGGTGCTCAATTATCTGATGACACACGTTCGAATGAGTTACCCTTCCCAATTCCTGTATGGCCCTGTCTGAGTTTCCTTTTTCTTCTTGATACAACCCTTTTCACCTTTCCCAATCCCCCTTTCTATGTTGTTTTTAATTAGACAAGACCCCCCCTCCCTCGCATCTTATAGCATTGCGACTCATGTAGCCCAAGAATTCATGTATCCCCTCTCCCACTACTGTGCTCCCCATTCATGTATCCCTTCCCCTCATGTCACCCCCTCCAGAAAAGAGTCATTGTCATGAAAAAGCTGTCCCTGATTTCGTCTCCCTTCCTCGTATACGCCGATATTTGCCCACAACCATGCTATCACGCTGGAAAACCATGTATAGAACCACCCATCTGAACTTTGCCCACAGATGGAATAAGTGAATGACTTGCTGATGAGTTAGTAGTAGTAGAAGTAAAGATGTTTGTATCATTATTTATTTCGATGTTTTAATGGTGATTTTTCGTTTTACCTTTGGAGCCCTCATTGTTTTGCTGCTATAGTTAGAGCCATGGAGTTGCAGCTACGCTGTAACTGCGACAAGAAAATAGTTGATGCCTTAACTAGTTGATGCCTTAGTTAAGGCACCAATCTGTGAATGATTATCGGCACGTGATTAATGCGATAAGGGCTACATCGAGCCCCAACCCTAGCCGCGCACCACCCGAAAACCAAACTTCCACCGATCGTCGTTTTCTTCCGCTTCATCCATCGACGACCATCTCTCGAGGTATGTGTTATGCCCTCCCCCAACAACAGCCTCTCAGCTAGTCTGGGGATGCAATCATCTTGTCTAGATTGCTTCCATGTGAATTATAGATAATTCTCAGGGAATCGCGATCCAGGAAGCCAAGATGATACGCATCTCCCAACTCGGCACGGGCTGAAGAACTCCTTGCAATGCAAAAAAGGGGCACTCTTTGCGCTCGAAGACTAGTGGTGGCTGACTTGAATCGCTCTCGTCGAACAGATACCTCATAATCTTTACTTTTAAACGTTACGATTTGAGAATCTCGATTCTACTAAACCGCCAAAATGGTCAAGACCTCCGTCCTCAACGATGCGCTTAACGCCATGAACAACGCCGAGAAGGCTGGCAAGCGCCAGGTTCTCATCCGTCCTTCCTCCAAGGTCATCGTCAAGTTCCTTGCTGTCATGCAGAAGCACGGTACGTGAATTTTGAAATTTTCGTTTTTTTTTACTTTTTTTCTTGCGTTTTCTTTTTTCATTGCTTTTTTTTTCTATTCCCTGTCTTGAGAATATTTGTCCCACCCATTCGGGCTGATAACTAGGCGGCCGGTCTCAAACAACCTACGACGTCTGCCTTTTAAGTGTCCGATATATTAATTTGCGAAGATCTTACACGTTTCCAAAGCGCTGTTATGGCTTTTTCAGTATTTGACGACTTTTAAATCTTCACAACATACTGACTCTTTCTTTCTCAGGCTACATTGGCGAGTTCGAGGAGGTCGATGACCACCGCTCCGGCAAGATTGTCATCCAGCTCAACGGCCGGTACGTTTTCACAATTATATCCACCAGTCCAAATGGAACATCAAGCTAACGTTCATATCTCCAGTCTCAACAAGTGTGGTGTCATCAACCCCCGCTACCCCGTCCAGCTCCGTGACCTCGAGAAGTGGGCTACCCAGCTCCTTCCTTCCCGTCAGTTCGGTTACGTTGTCCTGACCACCTCCGCTGGTATCATGGACCACGAGGAGGCTCGCCGCAAGCACGTTGCTGGCAAGCTCCTCGGCTTCTTCTACTAGATGGAGTCGTTCTAAAAAAGAATTGAGAAAAGTTCTTGCTTTGACTGGTTATGCATGGCGTTGGTTTTACTAGGCTGGACCTTGGAATGTAATCTGGACTTTGTAGCTGTGAACAAAATACCCCCTGTTCCGCACTTTTGATGGTTTGCAGAGTACATGGTTCGCTCGTATATCAATGCTAGATGATTCTGGTCTGCAGTACTGTTTGTACCATTCACACCCTTTTTTTGCTTCTCTCGTAGTCTGGCTCGGACCGAGGTATACTTTCACCGCCCTTGGTATACGTGTATTCTGCCTTCCCCCGCAACAACAGCAAGGCCAGGCAGTGCCAGTACATAGTTGAACAACTCAAGTATTCATACGCCATGCCTTTGGACACGATATATCTGACCCGTCATGGGGTATGTACTCTATACACATCCATGTGGGCTTGTAGACCTAACTATGACAGCACCGCCTCAACTGGACCATTGACTTCCGCACGGGCACATACAGGTCCCAATTCCCCACGCCGACAGGGAACCCAGCAGACCCTGCGCTGACCTCGCACGGCGTGCATCAGTCACACGAGCTCGCGAAACACATTGTCGACCCTCAATTCCACCCGAAGCCATTCCGTGTCTACTCGAGTCCCTTCTACCGCTGCCTTCAAACAATCCAGCCGTCTGTTGAAGAGCTGAAGAGAATATCAGCCGAGTGTGGAAAGAGCCAGCAAAATGGCGAGCTTGTGTCAATTGATCGGCATGCGGAGTTTGATGTACGAATTGAGAATGGGCTAGGGTAAGTAGTGTACCCTCTCCTTCTACTCATACTTCCTTCTACCCTACCCAATCAATCCAACCGTTTCGCTTTCCCGTCCTGAACAAAAGAAGCACCTTACAAGCAGCTCATGACCAGGAAAGCTAATTGGAATCTAGAGAATGGTTCGGCGCAACAGACTTCTTCGACCACCCGGCCCACCCAACCCCCGAAATAATGTCCACCCACTTCCCAACCCTCCTCAGAGAAGCCACCCAAGCCTACAAACCCTTACTCATCCCCTCAAGACGTGGTGAGACCATCACCCAACTCCACAACCGCCTGGCAACAGCCCTGGAAGGCATAATCGCAGACATCGACGCAGAAGTCTCCGCCCTGGAAGCAGATCTACCACTAGACCAAATAACCAGCAAGTCCGTCCTGATCTGCGCGCATGCTGCACCCCTCATTGCCATGGGACGGGCTCTTACGGGCTGCATGCCAGATGATAGTTCCGAAGAGGACTTTAATGTTTTCACGGCTGGGTTGAGTACTTTTAAAAGGAGGGGGGCTTCTTCTACTGCTAGTGCTAGGCAGAGCGATGATCAGGACGCAAATTCGAGCGAGAGGCCGCTTGCTGAGGGTACGACGTTCATTCGTGCGTCGGGATCCCCGCCGCAGTGGAGGAATGGGCGTGGTGTTGGCGGAGGATGGGATTGTGTTGCGAATGGAGATTGCAGCTTTTTGAGTGGTGGTGCTGAGCGCGGATGGTGAGTGGATTCCTTTCTTTTCTCTCTCCCTTTGGTATTGAGAGAAGATATTAATAAGACTCCGGCAGGCACTTTGATGGCGAAGAATCCTTCAATACGGGTCCTATGGCTCCGTCTTCCGAGCCACCTGCGAATGTAGATGTCGCGAAGTTGTGAGTTGATGATTGGCGCAATCAACTGGGACAATTGCTTGTGGTGAATATAACGAGGGTATCATTGCATCTTTCTGAGGTCATCAAGTACTGGCGACTCGGAAACAATGACCAGAAACCGGTAAGTTGAGCTATCACAGGTTGAGTTGTTATGGCCTATCACTGCAATGCTCAACTGATGCCTCGCAGAATGGCTCTTGTTCTCAACGAGCTTGTGCTAGCCGTATAAGAGAAAGGAAACCTAGACTAAAAATAAGATTTCTTGCTAGATGCCTAGGATTATATATAATGTACATAACAGGAGCATATAGTCCAAAGCAATATGGACAATTGACTTGAACAAGGGGTGGATCGCCTTACTACTTGATCTTGTGGACATGGATATATTCCAGTTATGGGCATCACTTTGGCCCACTTTGAGTTCAATTGTAGAAACTAGATGAAAGGCGCTACCGCTAATAAAGAAATAAAAAAATATACCCCCGGGAGCGGTGTAGATCAGTTCCCTGCTGGACCATGTCCAGACTGTGCATGCGCGGCAGAGACCTCCTCCAATTCAGTCCCTGCATTCCCCGCGCCCTCCGCCACACCTGCGTGAGCCCGTTCGTGCTCCTGGCGCTCCCGCTCCCGCTCCCGTACCTGCTCCTGCTCCTGACGATCCCGCGCCTGACGCTCCTGCTCAGCCAAGAAAGCTTGGTCTGCCGCAGTGCGAGCCTGGACATGCCGCTCACCGAGACCGGGAACTAGGCTTGCAAAAAGAAAAACAAGGGCTCGCTCCGTGCGGCGTATCTGGTCCCAAACATTGAACTCCGCAGCAGCGTCATTGGCTCCAGTTTGAGTGGCTCGATCTGCCGGGCCACCGGCATGGGTGAGGCCCTCGAGATGGCGTTGGAGGGGCCTAATAATCGTTGTCGCAAACTGCCGTGGAACATCGGTCTCAGAAAAGAATGTGACCAGCAAGGCAATGCTGACAAAGATGTAACGCCTCCAGGTGCCAGGGGCGCTGATAAGGTAGCAGAAGAGCCACAAACGGGTGAACAGCCAGATGCGGCGGATGTGTCGTGCCATACCGGCGTGCTCGACATTGTTGCCTTCGCGCTGTTGGTTGTGCATTGCTTGGCGGAGAGCGTTCTGGACTATCGCTGCGTTCTGGTTGGGTGCGTTCTGGTCGGGTGCTTGGGGTGCACGAGGTGCGCCGGTAGCGCCGGGTTCGTTAGCAAGGGCTGTATTGGGCGAAACCGCCCGCTGTGTTGTGGATCGGGATACCAAGTGGTTTTGTGAGACAAAACCACCGTGACCATCTCCCCCTGGCGAGGACAGCATGAAGAACTGCATGGAGCTGGAGCCAGGTTGGAGCGTGTTTGTGGTGTGGGAAGCGGTGAGGGTCTGAGCTAAAACGGTCTGCGAATGCTCTTGCTGCATAAATTCCATTAGACGGGCGCGTTGTTGAGCATCAAGAATACGAGCAACCAGTTCCGCAGCACCGGGTAGAGGAAGTTGTCTCGCATATTGTGCATCTTGAATTTCAAGAAGCTGGTTCCGCGTATGAATGATATTCTCCATGGATGGCATGATACGTCGGTCCAGTTGTCTCTCAATCTCCTCGATGTGACGTTGTAAAGTGATAAGACGCCGAGAGAATTGTGCTCCATCGGCTTCCGGTGCATTTGTAGTTGCTGAGTGTCGGTTAGATGAAGAGGCGTTGACGTATTGATTGAATGTAACGCGCGGAGAAGCTGGAGTGGCACTCATTGTCCTGGGAATGCTAGAGAACGAGGGCAGGCTATCTGTAGTTTCCGAAGGATCAGGGTTGGAGTCCTCAAACAAGGTGTGAGAGGAAGTGGAAGCTTGAGCAGAATTCCCAAGAGGCGAATCTTGCGACATCTCGGAGACAGGGTGTGCTTTTGTGTGTGTTGGCTCAGGTGGCAACACAAGGTGCATACTATGAATACCTTCCTGCAAAAGGAGTCCCATTCAATTAGGACAAAAAGTCATATGGCGCGGGTTGGGAACAAGTTACATACCTCCATAGATGAGACTACTGCTCTGAGTGTTGCGTCATCGACAGTTAGGGGTTTTCCTCGGTAGATGAGCCTCTGGTGTGACGCTTGAGGATTATTTGGAAAGGACCGTTCGATCCGGCCTTTGACCTGTGCGATTGTGGAGGAGAGTGGAATGTTCTCGAGTGTAAACCGGCTTGGAGGGGGTAGAGACTGGCAAAGTATGTGAAGCGTGATTGTGCTCGGTGTCTCTCCCTCTACCATGGGCTGGGATGATGAACCTGTCGCCATCGGTTCAGAACTGTAGTTGTTTGCAAGCTAAAAAGCCTATATGGAGCTGATCTAGTTGATATCTGGCATCAATCGATCGATAAGCGATGTTGACGTTATAGTGCCCTCTGCGAGACTCTATAGCAGATAGGAAGGAAGCGGGGAGAACGGTGCAAGTTGGGGAAGATGCAAAGAGTCACAATCACAGAAATGCTCATTTATAATGAAATATATTTGGATATACAAAGTAGAAAGAAAGACGGACCGTTGCATATCCACGTGCAATTCTGCCGGGCGGTCAATCGGCAACAACATGTTTACCCATTCCGGAAAAAAACGCTCTGGGCTTAGGGGTCGATTTAGCGCTCCAGGCCGATGGATTAAACATTATGGCCAAGCGCCTTTTTACTTCCTCTCCTCTCCTTCACTGCCCTTCCGCTGCCCCTCGGATCGGGGCTGCGTCGATGGAGGTTCTTTCGTTCCGGGCCACGGCCCGCCATAAAGCCAGCCTCCGGCATTTTTCGTCTAAATCATGGAGACAATATCAAAAGGACAATAACTCTGAAAACAACAGAGGAGGATTTGGCTCAAGGCTAGGTTTCGCTCTACGCAATACCAAAGTCGAATGGTATCCTATCCCAGTCGGACTCGGAATCGGTTTGCTAGGGTTGCTGTCTTTCTACAAGTCACAACGTGCGGAACGGGATCGGCTGGCTCGCGATGCAGCCGGCGATGAATGGGAAGATGGAAAACGGCCCCCTCGTCGTCCGAGGATCAGCCTGTCAGGCCCATGGCATGTTCAGATCATGTCCACTCTGCCCCTGAAGGCCATGTCGCGTCTATGGGGTCGCTTCAACGAAATCGAACTTCCTTACTACCTCCGCGTTCCTGGATTCAAACTCTATTCCTGGGCCTTTGGTGTCAACCTCGAGGAGGTTGCCGAGCCCGACCTACACACCTACCCGAATCTGGCGGCATTCTTCTACCGTAAGCTGAAGCCTGGCGTTCGACCATTGGACCCCGACCCTCGTGCTCTTCTGGCTCCCTCCGACGGCCGGATCTTACAATTTGGAATGATCGAGCGGGGCGAGGTTGAACAAGTCAAGGGAATGACATACAGTCTGGATGCCCTCCTAGGATCAGCCACGCCTGCGCACGCCGACCACACCAAGCGGCTCACGGACCAGGGCCGGAAAGAAACCCAAAGGGATGTTGAGAACATGGCTGCGCATGAAGAATTCGCGCGCATGAACGGGATTTCTTACACTCTCCCGAGCCTTCTTTCAGGAGACCCCGGTGTTCCCAAACGTCGTGCTTCATTGGATGCTTCAACCGCATCCAAAGCAACATCGGAACTCCAGGTGCAAGAGGACCTGGCTCGTGGCGATGGGACACCATGGTACGCGCCGAAAACAGCAGCCAACCATGCCTTGTTCTATGTTGTGATCTATCTAGCACCCGGTGACTACCACCGTTTCCACTCCCCCGCTCCCTGGGTGGTCGAGAGCCGCCGCCACTTTGCTGGCGAGCTATACTCGGTTTCACCGTATTTGCAGAAGCATCTACCCGGTCTATTCACTCTCAACGAGCGAGTTGCACTCCTCGGCCGATGGCGGTGGGGTTTCTTCAGTTACACGCCGGTCGGAGCTACCAACGTAGGCTCCATTAAAATCAACTTTGACTCGGAGCTGCGCACGAACAGCCTGTTGACTGATACCGCTGCGGACTTGGCAGCAGCCTTGGCTTCCAAGCGCGGTGAGCAATATCCCGGTTTTGTTGAGGCGACTTATCGCCACGCCAGCCGGACACTTGACGGACATCCACTGCAACGTGGAGAGGAGATGGGCGGGTTCCAACTTGGCAGTTCGATTGTACTTGTGTTCGAGGCTCCGCTTGGAACTCGCAAGTCCGTTGATGCCGGCTGGCCGGAAGATGCCCCGAACGATGGGTGGACTTGGAGTATTGAGAAGGGCCAGCGCATCAAGGTAGGGGAAAAATTGGGCTTTGTGGGTGAGGCGTAAAGTGCATGATGTTGCACAGCCCGGTGCACAGCCGACAGCAGTAGCTTGTTGGGGATATTTTGACCTACATGTTTTGTAGGTCTGTTGTTGCATTATACCAGTCCTTTTCTCCATGTCAGGGCCTTGAGCATTTAGTTTAATCACATTACCTGTTTTTAATTTCGTCAACCATTGAAGTATATCAATGTGCATGTTTCCTAATCCGGCCATCAGCACAGACCAGGTCTTGGCGTGATGCCATCGCCTCCCAAACCTTGGAATGCGTCATTGCTGATTTCAAGGTCTCGCGAGGTCTTACTACCCTGCTATTACGTTGTACAAGATGTACTACCTAGCCCTGGTTATGTAGTAAAGTAATATAACCCAGAAATAGTAGTAGAGGTGGCGTTTAAATAACAAGCATTGCGCCATTCATATGCAGCTTAATGCAATGTAAAAAGATAAGCCAACAGACCTCCACCAAGGAGCTATCAACGTGGGCGAGACTGCCAAGCTTCCATATCTAAATCAAGGCGAATTCTCTCCTTTTTACCTTCTTCACTTCCTGCTTCCCATCTATAATCTTTTCTTGACTGATGGCCATCTTTAACTTGCCCCGATCATTTCAAAATGTCAATGCTATTGCCCAGGCCCCAATAGGCGCCAACGGCTTCTTCATAAGCGCCCATGAAAGCCATCCCCCATTCTTTCAATTAGTGCTGCTCGTCTTTTCAGCTGTGCTGGAAGTTGTCTGCGTCAGCTTCCCTGGTTATATTGCCGCCCGTCAGGGCATTTTTGATGCCGATGCCCAGAAGCTGGTAGCAAACCTCAATGTGACTCTGTTCACCCCCTGCCTCAGTATGGATTCCTTGCTCTCGCCATGCGGTATTTCTATGACATAGCTGATTCCTGTCAACAGTTTTTACCAAATTGGGGTCACAATTAACCGCTGAAAAGGTGACGGACTTGGCTATCATCCCGGTCATTTTTATTGTCCAGACTTTCGTCTCATACTTCTGTTCCTTCGTTGTCGCAAAATGTTGCCGCTTCAAGAAGCGGCAGTCGAATTTCGTGGCTGCCATGGCGGTATGTGGTGGGCCCTGACATTTGAGAGAGTCGAATATCTAGTTCTAACGACCCCTTCTCTGTAGGTCTTTGGCAATTCAAACTCTCTCCCGATATCTCTCGTCATATCGCTTTCGCAGACCCTCAAAGGCCTCCACTGGGACCAGCTCCCAAACGACAACGATGACGAAGTCGCCGCACGCGGCATTCTATACCTGCTTATCTTCCAGCAGCTAGGACAACTTGTGCGCTGGAGTTGGGGATACCACATTCTCTTAGCGCCTAAGGACCGGTACCTCGAGGAGGCCGACGGCGAAGAGAGTGGCCAGTCAATCATCGAGCAGGGCCAGGCGCGGTATAGCGACAACCCGGACCAGACAGATCCAGACGAACCGCTAGTCAGAACACGCAGCTCAGACGATCTACACCATGACCACCACGCAACACACACCGACCGCCGCTTCCAATCCGGCGACCAAACACCCGTGTCAACGCGAGCTTATTCCTACTCGAAGCTGTCTTCCGCCCATTCAGACGACCTCGACTCAGACGATACACCCTCAGTAATTGGACCACCACCTACCGGCCCCTTCCTGCCCCGCCAAAGCTCCCAAGGCGACATCCTCCAATTCCCAGATGTCGAAATCACCGCGCGGGAAGCTCAAGAAGCCGAGAAAACGCGTTTCCAGCGCTGCAAAGCGTGTCTGCGCAAATCGCGAGACCGCCTGAGCCAATGGCGAGAAAAGAAGACTAACGCCCTCCACGCACGCCTCCCACCAAAGGTCCAAAAGGCCCTCGCATCAACCACGCTCGGACTGCGCCGCTTCCTCCATGGCTTATGGGACTTCATGAACCCGCCGCTGTGGGCAATGCTAGTATCAATCGTCGTCGCCTCCGTACCAACGCTCCAGCGCCTCTTCTTCGACGACGGCACCTTCGTTCGCAACTCAGTCACCCGCGCCATCGAGCAGAACGGACAGGTCGCGGTGCCGCTGATCCTGGTCGTGCTTGGCGCGAACCTCGCGCGCAATACAATCCCCGAAGAGGCGCTGGCGGACATGGAACATCCCCGCGACGAACGCAAGCTTATAATCGCTTCACTTGTTGCGCGCATGCTTCTTCCCACTATTATCATGGCTCCAATTTTGGCGCTCATGGCCAAGTTTGTGCCGATTAGCATCCTCGATGACCCGATTTTCATTATTGTCTGCTTCCTGCTTACGGGTGCGCCCTCGGCGTTGCAGTTGGCGCAGATCTGTCAGATCAATAACGTTTATGTTAGCGCTATGTCGAAACTCTTGTTCCAGAGTTATGTTGTCTGGTAAGTCCTTATCCCTCCTATCTATAGAGAACAGACACTCCCTGGTCGTCAATCTCAAGCAGTGATCATTGCTAACATGGCTTTCTTTTCAGGATCCTCCCCTCGACCCTCGTGCTTGTCATGTGCGCTTTGGAGGTCGTCGAGTGGGCCGCCTCTTCGTAGACTATTTGCTTTGCGCCTAACCTGAACAACGAAGCTAGTTTTTTCTCTCTTGTCTTGTTTTTTTTTCTTTCGGGGTTTCTGTATTCACTCTGTTTGGACATTCTTGTAATTACCCATTCCTTTTTCTCTTTGGGGGAATTGGCGTTACCTAAGGCATCATTCCTTGTGCACGGATTGTACTTTCTCAACCCATGGACCTATGGTGTTTCCTATTTCTATGGAATAATGTATCTTTCTTTGCTACGGCGTTTGTTGGGACAACTCCCTTGATGAGGACCTGTATGATAAAAACGATTAATCATACAACTGACTACATATGTACATCTACACCTTAAATTCTTGACACATGCATGAGAAAGCACCCCGCATCAACACAGCAATCCACTCCCATATCCACAAGAAATCTAAACCCACCAAACCGCCATCAAAATGGCAAAGTCAACATCAGATATCTTCATGAGCATAAAACCCGAGCACATGCAAAACATAGCCTCAGGGTCCAAAAACCACGAATACCGCAGCTATCTTCTCCCGCCAAGCATCCAGCACATCTGGTTCTACACCACCAGCCCTATCAAACGAATCGAATACGTTGCCCGTATCTCTCCGGGTAAAATCCCCGGAGAAGTTCCTGACAACGGAGGTATCGGCAATGCGGAGTTCAATGCCGGGTTGAAAGATTCCAAGTACGGATATGAGATTCTCACGCTGTGGAGGTTGAAGATGCCCGTTAGCTTGGAGAAGGCCCTTGGTGAGGGGTTCTTGAAGGGTGCACCGCAGAAGTATTGTTGGGTTTCTTTGTGTTTCTTGGAGAGGTTTCTGTTGGATGAGCAGGATTTATTGTTTTCAAGGACGGTGGATGGTGTGCAGTTTAGGGAGGATGAAGTTCAGTAGAATAGACTGAATTTGGCGAGTTAAGCATCTACTTCTGCTTCTTTTAGGAAGTTCCACGCTTAGGAAACTTGTACGCTTAACTTCACTTGAAAAGCTATATGTCCATTTGTTTCTGACCCCTAGCTTGGATACTCATCTCCAAAGGAAGCTATTAGTGCGTCTCTCTGCGGCTTTTAATTCGGATAGTGGTGTAGAAACTGAGATATACATCTAAAGAGTTTATTAAATAACATGCAAGTAGCCAGGCAACGACACAACTCCATCAGTCAGTTCACTCTCCTCGAATTATATTTAGGTCGTAACCCGTCCGCAGACTAAACAGCCGTAGCAGGGACAATTGAAGACCGACCCATGGCAGCATAGGCATTCACCCATCCAGCTTGAATCTAAGCCCAGAGGAAAGAAACCAATTGCTGCAGACTGTCCTTTCGCAACAGTTCAAGCTTATTTGGACCTGGCATCATTGTCAACTAGGCCAGTTCCCGGTTGACCGCCACTAGAGTCCTCGAGCACACCGTATCCAGCCAAGTGTCGAACTGGGTCATTCGACGTACGACCGCAGACCATTATGTAGCTCTTGGTACAGAAGCGGGGACTCATAGACATCAATTCCGTGAAACCTGGCGTTTAGACCGCAGGCAATGGAAATCCGCGCATGTTGTATAGCAGTGGTCCATGAGATGGCCACTTTGGCGATTTAGGGACGTAGTGGCACTGGTGCCTAGGATTCAGATTGGTTCAAGTACCCATCGACCGCTTCCGTAGGGCTTTTGTTAGAAAGCCGACTCTGGTAGATAGACTTCATCTTCTACAGGGCTTCTACAATAGAAATCCCAGGGTTCTCTCTCTGGTCATCTTGCACACGGGCGTACCTTCAAGTTCACGTTAGCAGAGTCAACATTGAACAGATGCTCCATCAAACTTACTCCAAGAAAAGTCGAAACATGTAAACGTCTATATCATCATTTCTGATCGTCCTGCTCGCCCAAGATTGGCCCTCTTCACCGATGGATCGAGCAATCTGCTGACCTTCAGGATCTTCCTCGAAAAACCGTATCAACTCAGGAATCTCATTCCCGTCTTTGTTAATCGGCACGTAGTGAACCCATGGGACTAAAACATCCTCATGCCACTCCCGAAAGAAGGTCAGCTTGAATGGAACACTCTTGCTGCGCATGAAGGCGTAAAACCTCCCACTGTAAGCGTGACCATCCATATCTAACAGATACCGGTATTTCCAGGCCTCGTTCGCAGGGTCTGGTTCCGCGATATCGTCGAAAAACACTTGCTCGTCATGGCAGTCCTCGTCACAATCCACGATCTCTATAAAATGGGCATTGAAGTATCCGTCGATCTGGGATCGATTTGCTATTTGGACATCCCAGCCTTCACTGCGGCCCGAAATACAGCTTGAATCGCTCTTTGGGTGCATGAGATACTGGGGCGATTGTGGATGAGTCAGGTTTCCGATGATACGCTGACGTTGCAGGTTATGCCAGGTGCCGTTCCGACTATGTCCTCCAGTGGTTTTTCCGCGCCAGTATAGCTGGTGTTTCTTGTTCTCCCATTCAACTGAGCTTTCTGCATCGAACTTTGACATGCCTTCGTAATAATACGGCGAAGGAACTGCGATGTCCTGGAATGAAGACGGACGGGACATCGAAAACATCGGGACCAGCTCATTTGTCACCTTGAAAGAGTTTGGGTGATCAAAAACTCCCAGCCGATGACGCAGCGACGGGCTGTTGCACATGTCACTAGCGGCAGTTTGGTTAAATATAAAGCCCAAAGGACCCACTGCGTAAGCACTTGAGTTGTCTGGCGCGTTACTATCCAGCGCCCTGGCAGGCGTGTCTAGTGGGCATGAAAGCCGCGAGTAGAGCCAGGTCTCTTGACGCTCGATGTTGTTGAATCTGGTCGTCGAGACCGGCACTGGTGGGATAGGGTCATGCACATCGCCCGGCGAAAATATGTTCAACAACGACAAGTTACCATTCAGCCGAGCGTGAGCTGCATAGCCTTTAGTGATCAGCATGTGCAGCTCCTCGTGCGGAACTACCACTCGCGGTTCGTCGTGTACATTGAATTCCATGTTCATGTCCGGTAACCATTGTGAGAACTTGTCAAGAATCTTCATTGTTGCATCTCTCTGGAATCCCCCCTGGCCATTACCCAAATGGATAGCTCTACCGTCGCGAATGGCAATGCCCATGACATGATTATGATACCCAAGATCCTCTCTCACACGAGAACGAATCGTACTAGGTGCAAGTCCCCAGAAAGGTAGCAAAGTATGATATATCGTATCGAATTCATCGATCAAGACCGTGTTTCGCGACATCGCAAACGCATACCACTCATCGAAGTGGGGAGGCGGTGGCATCTTATATCGTCGTCGATATTCCGCCACTGCTTCGTCCAATGACTTTGACTGGTGCCCCAATGTTTTGTTAAGAACCTGCTTGGCATCATAGACAAGCCGAGCGACTGGATGTTGGCAGGCACGTTCGTCGGTGGGAGTCAAATAAAGCAGCGGATTCGAGAACATATACCAAAGAACAAGTATAGCCGCTATTGCCAGCCCAGGGATAGTAAAGGTTCTCTTGGTATTTTGGGAGTAATAGTACTGAGACTTCTGTCGAGCCCCTTGAAGGAGCTGGTATTGCTGTTCCCTCCATGTCCCTGAACGAATGGCTTCAACCATAGTCAAGACGCCAAGTTGCAGTGATTGCACCCAAGATCGAACGCAACGAACCGGCTGCATCTTGAGGGAGTACTATAGCCAATTGTAAAGATGCGCAATATCTCCGCAATTAAAGATGCATGAAAAAAATAAAATAAAGGAGAAATTATAGCCGCGGAACGCGAAAACGCGAACTTGGGCCATTGGGGCCGGTGGGTGGGCCCGGTGACCGGGGATCGACTCGGCCATCTGAGAATGACCAGGATGTTCGGAGAAAAAGTACAATGGAGCCGCTAGGAAGTTGGGCCTCATTGAAATTTTCATGGCATGTCTCAACGGTCCTTGAATCCTTCCAAGGGTCAGAGCCGTGGGGGCTTCAAATGACAATGTTGTCCGAGGTCACCTCAGGGCTGCCCCAGACTACATATCAAGCAAAGAGCCGCCATTTGAGGCTCCGGGGATTGTCGATATCGTCCCAAATTTGACCGGCTTGGACACGAGACCTCTTTCTCGTCAATTAGAATTCTTTGCGGGGTACGGCTTACTCCGTGGCTGGTTAGCTCTTTTCCAATAAACTGTGCGCCATTTCCCTCCCGTTGCCCCTGATCGTCCCTCATCTCGGATGATCTCCACTTCGGGCCTGAAGTTGGTTTGGCAAAATTTTACAAAATTGATTCAAAATTGGAATAAAGATAATTGCCAACATAAATCTTCACGTACTGAAGAGCTTCAGCAGTCAGAAATGTGCCTAATCCAGAAAAATCCGGATATATCACAACACTCGTCGCTCCATAACAGTTAATATGTATAACTCACAAAAGAATCCAGAACAGATGAGAAATTAGGCTCTGGAGTGTAAGTGCTAACAAGTTGGCTAATTCCAAGGCCAAATATAGTCAATACATCTCAAAAAGCAGGACATAATTCTCCGCTGCCAGCATGCGCAGCCAATCCCGCCGGGTCGCCCTGCACATCAATCAGCATGGCCATACCCGTCGCCGAATGCCAGAGCATATGGCAATGAAAAAGCCAAACGCCGGGGTTATCCGCTCGGAAACGGAGAACAGCATACCCGCGACTTGGGATCTGGACTGTGTCACGCAAAGCAGCCCGGGATGTGTTGTATAGACCGGAATTATAACCAGTGTTTGGGTTCTGCGCGTCATCTGTGTCATTTTCCAACGTATCTGAGTCAGATTCTAGGTGCGGTGGGATTTTATCGACAAAGGGATTGTAAGAGCCCCAGCCAAATTCGGCTTGGTAAACTGCGAGTATGTAGAAGTGGTGCCCGTGCTGGAGTGGATATCAATTAATGGATTGTCCTCAATGGGTAGGGGAGGGGCCTTCGTACCAGGTGGAAGGGATGGGACCCTTCATCTAGATTGTTGATTACCAGGTCTATCCATACAGGCTCCGGCCCCGTGGTTATTGCGAATTGGTTTGGGTCCCATTTAGCTCGTGGTATGGAGGCCAATGGAACGGGTGGATCTTGCTGGGGCTTCCAGGTAGTTTGATTGAAGTAACCAAATGGCTTGTTGGAATATCGGGCCATCTTTTGGATCTTGGTGTACACCACATGCGTTTGTTGCGCGGTGGGAGGAATGGAACGGAGAATAGAGGGGGCAGATGGTGTTTCTCCGATATTGAGATGGTGGGCCTTGAGTGGAGGCCCCTGGAGGGCATCGGAACGGTAGGTGATGGGGAAGGTTTGATCTGGCGTTAATGCGGGGTTGGCGTACTTGAAGGAACTGGCAAGACATTAGCAAGGACCGGTGATGCTCGGCGAGTCTGTTCATACTCTTGATCTAATTGAACCCTTATGTGTGACTGATTTCCCGAGATCTGAGATAATGGCCGAAGAACAAAGTCCATGCGTTGCCCGGGGAGAGTATACCGATGGAATTTATATTTGTCTCGTTGGAGCGTGCCACATCGACACTATCTACCTGAAGCAGGTCCAGGAGATGGTTGTCGAAAACGAGACTCAGCCCGGCTAGAGCTCTGTCAACTGGTCAGCTGATAACTAATTTGGCTTCGATCATCTTGTGACATACCCGGTGTTGACCACGCGAATTCGATATATCTCGTGAGGATCGAGTTCGATAAATGAATTATTCACCGGCTGATCAATGCAGTCCACCGGCCTAGCAGGCACCGCCATCATGCAGTCAAAATACCCAACTCCATTAATGAGCATGGAATCAGGAACAGGCTAATACCAGTGTCAGACAACACTCTCCAGCGTTTGGGGCCACACTTCGGAACTCACCTCATTTCCAAAATTCCCTGGGTCCATATACCATGCAAGAACATCACCCGCAGGGCGATGGTACCAGTCCCCGATGAGAAGCAAAAGTTCTCCGTCATAAGTGTAACGGTGGAGATCATCGCGCCTCCGGGGTACTAAGCCCCGAGGGGTCGACTTGGAAGCTGGTGCATGGACGACTAGCCCACCATAAAGGCCATCCGCCTGCGAGACCCCCGAATGGGCATGGTACCAAAAAGTACCACTCTGGTCGGACGGAATTGTCAAATTGTAAACAAAATGTGCCCCAGAAGCCACGGGACACTGTGAAATCCCCACTGCACCATCCATGGCATCTATGTGAATTAGTGCCAATGCTTTTAATCGAGATCTGACAAAGACAGATACTTACTAGCCACATGAAGGCCATGCCAATGGATAGTAATCAACTCATCAGGCAAGGCGTTGGTAACAGTAATGATTAAGGTGTCACCAGAGCGGACCTCCACCGTCGGTCCAGGGAACAGGCCTAGTTCAATATCCTCCGGTCAGATCGACAACCGTCATACCGGTGGGTTCCTTGTACTGACCGTTAATGAGATAGATCCGCTTTAATACACCATCTGGTCTGCGAGATTCCGAGGTCACACGCCAATCCAAATATTGAGTGGTCGGCGCCCGGTACACATGATCCTCCGGGTGAAGCTCTATTCGCGGTCGAGCAGTGATGTCCTCTTCTTTCTGAATATTTTGATGATGTCGCCCAGGTAAAATCAAGGGTACGAGAAAAATAGGTGACTGGAGAGAGTATACCAAACCGATCAATAAACATGCAGCCAATGAGCAGCCAAGGATCGGCCATGGCCGCTGTGACAGCCCCAGCATTGGTCGAGGGGCCAATTGTTCTGGACTCGGGACAGTTTTTTACCCCGACCGTACTGCCTGTGCAATGTGTGGCAACAACTAAGAGGATTATAGCTCATTTAAATCTGAGCATATCAGATACATACACAAGATCGAGTACTATGTGAGTGCCAGAGGAAAGAACATTCAGCGCTATGACCTCATGCCACCCTACCCCCTACCCTTGCTGCCAAAGGATCAACGCGATGTGACCTTGCAGAAATAAATGAAACACACGTGCGCCTCTTGATCAATCAGAGCAAGGGCAAAATAGTTAGTTATTGAATGTAATGTCCAAGCGCATCTATACCATACATCCTGAGTGAATAAGACATGTGCTAAAGTACCTGTGGCACCCTGGACTACGCCAAAACCTTGGAAGTATACAAGATCCCGAGGTCGTTCCTGCCGAAAGTATGTTCCTGTTTGAGCATGATCGACCGTGGAACAGAATTTCACGTGGAGACACCCGCATATCAGATTGGATATACCTCGACTTTTACGGACTTGCATTATTCCACTGTGCATGATCGACGCCATGCTTCACCAAGAATGTCAGCCCATCCCTTTATTTCAATCCCCATATTCCGATTCGTTCTTTCCTTGAACGGTCTGGAGCTGTCATGAGGGAGCAACACCTGCAGATGTAACGAAGACCCAAAGTTTGTGGGGGCCGTCCATAAGTAAAGATATCTACTCAAATAGTACTACTCCATTTCTTAGTTTTCTTGGCTCTCTGCATGCCTCTCTGGGGGTACATAAGTAGTGGACTCTTCTCTCAGTCGAATTTTGTCTCTTCATTCATTTCTGAAATTATCAAATCATGGCTTTCAAGTTGCTGGTGTGTATCGCTGTCGCGATATCTCTGGGAACCGGGCCCGTTTCTGGTGGATCTCTAAACGACATCGAGCATGTCGTCATCTTCATGCAGGAGAATCGCTCGTGGGACACGGTACGTTTTGCTTGCGCTATGAAACATTTACACCATACTCACCAAATCGCAGTATTTTGGGACTATGCCTGGAGTCCGGGGCTTCAATGATCCCAATGTTCAGGTCAACTCCGACGGAAACTCGGTCTGGCATCAGTAAGTGACGGGCACAGGAGCTCTAAGGGAAGGGTTTGGTTCTGATATTCTTTGTTAGACTAGTCGAGCCGGCCCAGTCGAGCAAGACCAAGACCTTGTTACCCTGGTATCTTGGATATCAAGGTGGCGACTGGCATGATGCGATTCAGTGCATGGTCGCGGGTAGCAACGGCTACAAAGAGAACCAGCAGTCTCTAAACAACGGGTTGAACAACCACTGGGTGATTAATAACACACCCTGGAGCTGGGGCTACTTGAAACGGCAAGATATTCCAGTTCAATTTGCTATTGCCGAAGGTTGGACATCGGGAGACATGTATCAGGTGCGTGGCCAGAGTTGATACCAAAGAAATTGGAGACTGATCTGCAAACAGGAAAGCCAAATCACTGCGACGAATCCCAATCGAGTTACTTTGGTCAGCGGCTCCATCAATGTTCCGGGTAGTCCCCAGGGCAAGGACCAGGGAGGTGTATATATTGACAACAATGAGGTACCAGGTATGTATCATCAGCTATATCTTCTATCTATCTTCCTATCACTCCAGGCGATTATGTTTTTAGCTGTTTCATGATTTGACGAAAATCATACAGGCTGTGATGACCACGGTATCAACTGCTACCCACTCAAGTGGAAGACCGTCTATGACTTTTACGAAGAGGCAGGAGTCTCTTGGCAACTCTTCCAAGACACAAACAACTTCGACGATAACCCCCTGGCTTGGTTCCAGCAATTTCAAACTGCCCCAAAAAATAGCCCTCTGGCCAAGAAGGGTATGTCATTTGTTGGCCTCGATTCCTTCTACCAGGCCGCCGCCAACGGCACATTGCCCGAGGTCAGTTTCATTGTTGGCCCGACCGAGCTGTCTGAGCACCCGCCATACATGCCAAAGGATGGAGGCTGGCTCCAGAAGAAGATCGTCGACGCCGTCACCAGTAGCCCGAAGTATAACTCGACGCTTCTGATGATCAGCTTTGATGAGACTGGTGGCTTTGGCGACCATGTCACCCCCTTCCATTCCCCTAAAAACACCCCAGGAGAATGGATGCAGGACCCTCTGGGTGTGTTCTCGGATATCTTTGTGGGGCCTGGTTTCCGAGTACCATTCTATATGATCTCTCCCTGGACCCGAGGAAACCGCGTGTTCACTGAGCGGGCAGATCATAACTCTCAGATTCTCTTCGTTGAGGAATGGCTGACAGCACGGGGACACAAAAATATCACAACCGATCAGATGGTTTCGTGGAGACGCAAACACATGTCTAATTTAGTCAACGCTCTTGATTTGGACAATCCAGACTACTCTCTCCCCAATCTTCCAGATGCTGGGACCGTGGATACTAACGGAAAGGGCGGGTATACTGGTACATCTAACTGCCAGTCTCGTCACAAGCAGACACGTCCTGATGTTCCATATGGAAACCAGAGCAACGAAACGGATGTCAATACCCTGTGGTTCGAAGAGGGTTTCAAAGAGGTGATCGGCTACCTCACCGAAGGCCGATACCTAGTCTTTGAGAAAAATGGAGCAGCCATCACAAATCCGGCCAAAGGCAACAGGCTTGCATCCAGCCATACAAGCCCTCAACATAACGATAAATCCCAGCGTTGGGTAATCCACTACAACGACGACGAAGAAAGCCATACATTTACCATCTCCAGCGCACTGGATGGCCGATGGGTCGGTCCCGGTGGTGCTTTGCTTCCCAAAGGCCAGAGTGCAAATGCAGCTCAAGTGCATTTCACCTTCTTAGGTAGTGGCCTTGGCTATACCATGCAGTTTGTGGAGCAAGGGCATTACATTGATATTGACAAGCACGGAAAGTTGAATTCTGGAGGTGGGCAGGCTAAACCTATCAGTGGCTACAAGGTCTTCAGTGTCTCCTTCCGGGATTAGATGATTAGATGTTGATTTGATGACGTTACGGAACCGTGCATGGTTATGCCGAGGCTGGTGCCTGAGAACCAAGTTATTTATAGTATCTTAGCAACAAGGCTTGGGTTCTTCTCGTCGGCCAGGAGCCTGAAACCCAACTCAATATACATATGCTCCAATTTGCTTGTGCTGTCGTACTTGGTAAAGACACAGTAGCGACATAACTATGATTGCATGCATGGATTAGATCATAGCCCTCTTCAACCAAGTTCTAAATCGAGCTCAAGTGATCTATGCACGAATAACCGTAAATGGCCCAGCAGCGTTAAACAAGGAGGGCATCTGCATAATATTGGTTAGCCCCTGAAATCAAATAAAAGCCAAGATAAACACAGCCCGAAAGCACATAATCCCACCCCCAAAAAAAGCAAAACTGAAAAAGAAAGAAACGTACCTGTGGCGCCGTCGAGAGAGATGTCCCAACCCTCAAATACCAAAGCGAGCCATCCTTGACTTGGGGCAAGCTCTTCGGGATAGTGATATCAACAACTCCCGCCTTCTCCTTAATACCATCCGTAATCTTGATAGTCTGGTCGAAGGAGATAGTATCTAGCTTTCGCACGGGGTTATTGTACAGCCAAACGCTGTAGTCGTCGCCGGGGTACTGGCTCAATGGGTCTGGGCAACGTCCCGTGGGCTTGCGGTCGAAGCGGACACGCACGGTTTGGCCAGCGGAAACGGTTGAGTTGTCGGGAATGCCTTGGTAGACGTTTACGCAGGCGTAGTCGCGTTTACCCCAGGCTAAATCATTGAAAAGAAGAAATTGTTAGCTTGAAACATTGCAGATGAGTATATAATTGCATACGCTGGTTCTTGTCGAACAAGGCGGTGCTGGTTCCCACCAGGGAAGCGACGATTGCTGTAGTAAACTTCATCGTGTGGAATTGTGGTGATTCAATGGTAGGCAAGAGGAAGAATTGTAGATGTAATATGTTCAACGTCAATAAGTTCGTGAGAATTTGGGCTTTATAAGTAAAATAAGAGACTACTATATTTTGCCTGCAATATCGTGCCACCGACGACACCCCCTAATTATAGCTTCGGGCTCTGAAGCCTCGGTCTGTGAGATCTGAGTGATCATGTTTCACTCGGTCTCTCCACATGGATTCGAATTAAAATCCCGATTGCTTGGCGTGAAGAGTGATCGGCGTAGCCGATCTCGATCCGGGGACGCGAGCTATGGAATGTGTGCAGTCTCGTATATTGTACGGGGTACTCCGTATAGTGGCGTACATTCTGTGCTCAGCCGAGCCTCTATTCATAGAATATTGCCTCTTGGTTTATTTGCCTAAGGGATGTCCGTCTCGTTCTTCTTCAATTATCCCTTGCTTTATGCTCAAGGGACAACATCTATCTATAGATTTTCATATCCTTAGTTGCTCTTTATACCTTATTATTGAGCTTGTCTAATCCATACTGTATATGGCTATTTGGATGTCTCGGGAAAAAAACCCTTAACAATAATGACCATGCAGATAAATAGTCGTGTGACAGCCCCGAGTATTGATTTGCCTTTTCAGCTCAATGCATCTGTTTCTCAGCTTGTCTTTTCGTCTCTTCACCGTTCGAATACTCTAGCAATTTTACCTGACACCTGGGCAGAAGCACTTGGCTGCATTAAATGTCTCATAATACGTCCAGCCATCACCCTTCATGAGAATTTTTGATGTTGTCAAAGAGCGCGTTCTTATAAAATCATGTATTACACATGAGGCTTCACATTTGAGTGGATTGCATGATAACCAATATAAACGTTGACCTACTGGATTTTATGTTCTTGCTATTTTCACTCGCATCCTCATTCCATCCACTGGCTTCGAGGTAATCTCCAGTGTCTGAACTTTGTTAGCAAACGCATATCACTTCTAGCTCTGCAGGTAGGTAGTCCTGTTGAGTACTTACGTTATACAGCTCTGACTGGACTTCGTATTGTCCGTTTTCTTTTTCAATCGGCGCACCTGATTCATCCCGCTTAGTTGACCCAAGTCCTACCTTCTCCCAATCATATCGCCGTGTCGCACATGCGAGGATCACAAGTGCTTCGATGTTCGCCAGCTCTTGTCCAATGCAGTTGCGCGGACCACGCTCAAAAGGCCGCCAAGCACTCGCCGGTATAGTGGAGCCTGTTTCCAACCAGCGTTGGGGAATAAACTGATCGCTTTTGTCACCATATACGGCTTGGTCACGCTGTATGATACTCTGGCAGTTGTAGAGCATAAAACCATCCAGGCATATATCTTGACCATTCGGTAGTCGAACACTCAATCCAGTGTTTGGGGTGGAAAATCGCGCTGTCGCAGCTGGTGGATATAGACGAAGAATTTCCTTAATAACGGCGGAGGTATAGATCATTCTTTGGAGAACATTCTCTCCATGTTCTAATAGTTGATCTCGGATATGGATTGGGTCCGAGTTGGGACCAAAGATCTCATCCAGTTCCATGCAAACACGGTGCAAAACATGCGGGGTCCGAGCTAGTTCGTAGAATGTCCATTGTAGCAAGATGCTTGTTGTATCATGGCCAGCGAATAGGAAAGTCTTGAGTTGATCGCAGGTCCGGTCTAGAACTTCAGGCGTTAATTCATGTGTTTCGACTAGACTTAGACCAAGAACACTGCGAGACGGATTTTGTGAAGTTGACTGCCCCTCAAATTGTTCCTTGATATGCGCTTTGATGTGCGCACCAAGCTGACGAGAAAGAAGCTTTCGCTGGAGGGGGAGTAAAAATTTCCATCCGCGGTAGCCGGAACGATACGTTGAGCCTAGTTTGCGGAAGAGTCGAACGATTGGACTTTGGTGCTCTTCTCCGAGTTGAGCATCCAGATCAATATCCATGGTGACCGCGCCGATAATGTCAAACGTCAAATTTGTACATAGTTCATCCAGTGCGAACTCCTCGCCAGTGCCGGCATAGTGATCAAGCTTCGTCAAGAAAAGCTGTGTCTTTTCCAGAATGCATGGCATCAGATTGATGAGATGCTTATGGGCAAATCCCGGGTTGAACTGTTTGCGAAGGCTTTTCCACTCTTCATTCTAGACTCCGGTTAGTATAAGATATATGTACCTCGATCAACCTCCCAACCTACCTCTGAAAGAACAATGGAGAGTCGGCCCATCATGTCACTATACCAGCGAGATATGTGTGACTTGGGAGGACTGTACTGAAACAGCTTCGAGCTTTTCGATATTTGCTCTGCAACATCATGATCGCAGATCACGCACATGGGATGGCTCACTGGTCGCAAATCGACAACAAATAACGCAGGCTTACCGAGACAATCGTACATGGCTTTCAGGATTTTGTCTAGCAACTACAGTCAGTTTTAGTTTACAAGCTTAAATGTGCCTCACCCGACCGATGTGTATATTTGGTGGGTTTGTCTTCACGAGTTTGTCGATCGTGGACAAATGGCCCCATAGTAGCGATGGTGGAAGCTGGGGCAACCAGGCATATTGTTTCGTTCGGTAATATATGACTTTTTTCCAAAGATAGAAAAGGAGAAGCGGGAGAAGTGGGATGATCGTAGTAACTAGAGTCCAGGCCATTGTTGATAGGAGCAAATACTCGTGATAGAAGCTCTGCGGGTCAATACCTGTGAACACTAGGATCGGGTTTTAGTTTGAGCGAGGTGACACCTCGCTTAAATTGTGATGTGCAGTTGGCATGATAGTACTTTGTATGAAGACTACTGTCTAGGTACTGTCGGCAATTGTTAACTTACCGTAATAAGAGTAGTCGGCCTCTTCCCTTCAAAGACATACTTTAATAATCTGATTTATCCGCACATGTGGCTTAAGATGATAACTATTAGGGAAGGTATATGTAATATAATACTCCAATGTTTTTTTTTGGTTGTTCTTTTTAAATATTTTTTCCTTCGTGGTGTTACAGGTAGAAAAACAATAATTGGCTATAGAAGCATAGCAACGACTCTAAGATGTCAATATTCGTAACGAACCTTGGAAGGTGGAAGGAAGAAAGACTTTTCCACATACATATATGTATGTGGACTTCTAGTACCAAGCAAATGTGCAAAACACTCATATATTTCTACGACCAGCTTGATGAATTCCCTTCGTTCTTCTTATTTGCTACCAGATAGAATCGATTACTATATCCATGAACAGAACGAGGTAAGGGGCATTTTAGGCATCGCTCTTGCCATTTTGGGATTAGCATTATTACCGACAATGCTAGATATAAGAAGAGACGGTTACCTGTGCATCCATGCACTGCCTTTTACCTCGAGTTCTCTTCTCCAGAAATTCCTGTGCTCAAAGATCCAAAATATACTACCTTTCCAAACACCCGAACGTGTGTAAGGATAAAGAGTTCTGTCCCATCTGCAAGGGAGACAGCGCCGCTAGAAACATATGTTGAAGATAATGGTGGAAGTATCCATGGATGTATTGCTATGATTTATTCCTCAGTACTGATATCTTTGCATATAATTGTCTTTGCATATAATTGTCTTTGCATGGAGACAGCCAAATTTAGGAACAATACCGTAGACCAATTAATACGGTAAATTACCAAGCTTCCCCTCTCCCACACCTCCCATCCAACCTCCAACCTCCTCAACTTCTTCTTTATGTCAGTGCTAGTGCTCCTAACAGCAGTCTGTCTGAGACTCTGAAAATGCCGATTTTCCAGCGTTTACATGTTATATTATGTACGGAGGTACTCTGTACTGGTTAACATGCTCCACCAATGTTCCCAGGACTAGACCGGAGCCGAGACCAAAGAAAAGCTTCCTTTGGCGCCAGCCCATCTCCCACATGCGACAAATTGAAAGCCATGAGCGACATATACCTATGTTATTGATCCATATCGATCAAGCGGTTTCCTAACATTACGATGTTTCCTCTGCAACTGGTTCTGATAGCGAGAAAGTTATGGCCACAAATATCCCTAAAACGCCATCGAGTACGCGGTGCGACCTCCCGGATATTCCGAAGCCTTATTATGAACCTTGAAGGGGTTATCCCCACCTGGATCACCTCTAAGAGCTGGGCCATTGGAAGTGCGATAAGTAAAACCAGGAACCAGAGACGGCCTTGTGTGCCCGATTAGCCAGGCACCACCCGAAACGGTCACCTGAGCGATAAGCATCCTTTTTTTTTTCGCCACTTTTTTTTTGTGGAATATTCTCCCATCAGAAGACTAGATTGCCTAGGACTTCTTTTGGTCTTGGTGCTCTACGCTTACTCTGGAGGTTCCTTTAGCACACAATATCCCCAGATTTCGTCATTTTTGGATCTGTGGGTAGCATTCTAGGGACCACATCCGACTAACTGGGACGTTTCCGTTCGCTTGTCCGTGGGTTTTTGAGGGGTCCAATTATTTTTCCCCCACCTCGGTCTCCCCTTTTTGTCTTAAAGAATCATTTCGACCGGGCACTTTTTTTTGGCTGGAAATAGCCTTCGCAACTGGTCGCGTGCTCAAAGAGATAAGCCCTTGAGCCTCCGTATCTTGCCTTTCACGTGGAGATACCATTCTTCAAAAACCACAGGTAGGGCCTCCCCATCTCCTTTCCAGCACGTTCCTTGTGCGACCCTCGTGTAGATAAGGAATCCACTGTATCGCTCTGTGTTCTTCCATATAAGTACACGTTGTCCCCTTTGTAATTCCGTCTCGGAGGCGACTCAACTCTCGCCCCAGCACCTCACTCGAATTATTCGTCTTTTCTTAATCCCAACCATACTAATACTAATTCCCAACAGATTCATCCAATACGGCAAAGGGCTTGGATATCAACTCTTTGACCAAGGCCTTGCACGCAAGTGGAACCGTTGTCGGCTCCCCGCCAGACGGAACACATCTGAAACAGTACCGGGCTTACATGTCCCAAAAGCCCATTACGCAACCATCATTCACCATGCCTTCTCTGGAGGATCACTCGATTCTCAAGAATCGCGAGGACCAAGCGCAATCCAGACCCGAGGAAGATCCCCAGGGTCTATTCCACCAAGTATTCGAATGGCTTCATCATGAGAAAGCCAGACGACAGAATCGTAAAGCACGCAAAGCCGAAGCAACCTCCCATGCAACAAACGAAAATGAGCCAACTGAAGAAGATGGCGTTTTAGAAAGACCCAGCTCGGACACCTCAAACACCTCGGAGAACACCTTTTCCCTGGATAAACTGGAAAAAATCCTCCTCCAATATGCGACTGCCCGGCCTAGAAGTGCAATGGGTTTGCTCCACAAACAACCTGTTAAACGGCAATCTCGACATCGTCTTAGAGGCCTACGAAGAGGCTCGGCATCCGAGTCCGAACTCACAGATGTCGACGGGGCCCCGCCAAGCGTGGAAGCTTTCCTTGACAATACAAAGACGCTTGCCTACACAGGTGGCGCTGCAGTAGAAGAGAACACCGACTCCAGTGCGAGTGTGAAACAAGCAAAGGATGCAGAGGCTTGGCTGGTTTTCAAGACCGAGATCGTGCGTCTTGTGCACACTTTGCAACTGAAGGGCTGGCGCAGGGTTCCCGCGGATTTGGCAGCAGAGATTGAAGTGGTTAGGCTCAGCGGTGCTCTCACAAACGCCGTGTATGTAGTTGGACCACCAAAGAATCTGCCTCCTCCGAAGACCGATAGCAACACTCTGGTTTCAAGGAAGCCCCCACCGTAAGCAACGAATTTCGTTTCTCACTTTGAAGACACATCTAATTGGATTTACAGGAAACTTCTCTTGCGTATCTACGGTCCTCAAGTCGACCATCTAATCGACCGAGAGAATGAGCTGCAAATTCTTCGTCGCCTCGGAAGGAAGAACATTGGCCCACGCATTCTCGGAACGTTCCGTAATGGCCGATTCGAAGAGTACTTTGAGGCTCGCCCACTCACTCCCAAGGAGCTGCGGATGCCCGAAACAGCGAGGCAGGTTGCCAAGCGGATGAGAGAATTGCACGATGGCGTTGAACTACTTGAAGAAGAACGCGAAGGCGGACCTATGATCTTCAAGAACTGGGATAAATGGGTGGACCGTTGCGAGCAAGTGATGACCTGGCTGGATAAAGAAATCCAATCCCCTCAAAATGAAGCCAAAGCTGCATTGGAACCATGGCGTCGCCGCGGCTATGTTTGCGGCGTAACGTGGGACGTGTTCCGCAAAGCCGTGGAGAACTACCGGCTTTGGCTGGTTGCCAGCTCTGGTGGAACTGCCGAGATCAAGCGACAGTTAGTGTTTGCGCACAATGATGTAAGTTTCCATCTCTTGCACCTTCCTTAATATGTTATTGACGTGTTGTCCAGACTCAATATGGCAATCTACTTCGCATGGAGCCGGCCACGGAGTCACCGCTACTTTTGCCTGCAAATGAACACAAGCAGCTGATCGTCATCGACTTTGAGTACTCTTCGGCCAATACACGTGGACTCGAGTTCGCCAACCACTTTGTAAGTCCACTGACCCAATCGCCAATCTAAATAGATGCTAACTGCAACAGACCGAGTGGTGCTACAACTACCACGACGAAGAACGCTCATGGGCTTGCAACAACCGCAACTACCCAACATCGGAGCAGCAGTACCATTTCGTGTCGAACTACCTTACCCACCGACCTTCCGGCGCCGGTGGACCTATTTCACCTCTGTCCTCGCCGACCATTCGCGCTCGCGCTCCTGTTGCGATTGCACCATTGGACTTGGACGAGGTTTCAGATAGACCTAGCTCTCGGCTTTCACAGAATGAGCAGTCTAAAGAGGCTGAACTTGACACTGAGGTGCGGACACTCATGCAGCAGACCCGGATGTGGCGGGCGATGAACTCCGCGCAGTGGGTAGCTTGGGGTATCGTCCAGGCCAAGGTGCCTGGCATGGAAGAAGGCATTGCCGAGATGCTTGCTGCTCGCAACGGGCCAAGCGAAATCGGCAATGGCGATGACACTAAGACGCCGACTGTGGATGCGGATGTCGACGAAGAAGATGACGGGGACTTTGACTATCTTGCTTACGCGCAGGACCGAGTCATGTTCTTCTGGGGTGATCTGCTGTCACTGAATTTGATCAAACCAGAGGAACTGCCTGCGCCTCTATTGGAGCACATCAAGTCGCGGCTTCTCGCATACTAAGGATTGGATGGAGAACTAACGATAATCTTGAGGACGGAGACTTGCTCATACACATTATCATGGTTTACAATGCGGACGCCATTACATAGCTAGCACTGCATCAAATCGGTGATTTATCACAACTACATGTATCTACTACACTTTAACTAGCGTTGGGGTTTCAACATCATCATCGAATACCATATCTTGCCTGATTTCATTTCATTTCGATCATTTTCATCATCTCACAAAGGGTATCTGAAATGCCATTGTAGAAAAATCAGAAATACAAAAAAGAACCCATTGACGCCCAGCCCTCTATCGGCGCATCTCAAGCTTCTTCCTCGTCTCCCTCCTAGCACTCTCAACCCACTCCTCATAAGCCTTCCCCTGAGGATCCTTCTCCTTAACCCCAACAACCCCCTTCATGACCTCCCCAATAAACCCAACAAAATTACACCGTCTGAGCGTATTCTCCCACTGCCACGCAGCCCTCTTTCTCTCCTCCCTCTCAAGCGTCTCCACATCCCCAATCTCCCTCGCCCTCCCCCTCGGATCCCTCACAACAGCCATAAGATTGAAATGCGTCTCCTCAGGCGGGTATCGCGCAATGCGCCTCTGCAAAACCTCAATAACCTTCTCAGGGAAATCCCCAGTCGCACACGCCCCATGGCTAATAGGATGCGGCTGCAGTCCATCAAGCTCATACAACGTCCCATTGACAGGCGTATACGCAATGAAGTGGTAAACATCCGCGCCCTTCTCATCGTCCTGCGGACGCGCCGTCTCATCAGCGAATGGGCTCGCTCGCGCAAAGCTGTTGTGCGCGCTCCGGATCGCTTCCGAGTTCGAGAGCGCTTCGCCGCGCAGCTCCGCCGGGAAGCCCGTTGTGAAGTCTTTGAAGGAGCGTAGCTCCTCGCCGAGCTCGATTGGTGGCTGCGGCGCGGGCGGGTTGTCGTGGTTGAGGATTACGGAGAGGATGGCTTGGGTGCCGCAGGCGTTTTGGATTGTCTGTGCGGCGAAGAAGAGGTTGTCTGTGGCGGTTTGGTCGTAGGTTCCGTCGAGGGGGCTTCGGCGCGTGCGCCAGAGGCTTCGCGTGTCCATTTGAAGAGGAAGATTACGCCGTAGACTGGGCTGTTTGGGGGTGTTGGGGTTAGCTTTGGTTATGGGTATTTTCTTTGGGGGTTTGGATGTGGTGCAATTGCGGATTTTGGGACGTCTTGGTGCTTACCCTAGTGACCGTATTGTGTCTGCATCTAGGGAGATGAGCTCTTCGAATTGGGTGTCTTTAACTCCGAGTGTCTCGATCAGAGAGGTGAAGAGACCCTAGCTTGTGTTAGTGTGCTGGTTGGATAGATTGTGGGGGTGATAATACCTCATCTGACTCGATGGTGCTCCAGCCACCTACATCAGCCATTTTGACTGTCTGTGATGGATGCAGAGGGCGATTGAATGGAAGATGTTGTGTTGTCGATATCGAGGTTGCTTTCTTCCCCAAACGGGAATGCGGTTATGTCATTGTCACGTGAAGCCGAAGTGATAGCCTCAAGTCACGTGCGTCTCCACTATAAAGTATGTAGAGAAGGTTGCTTTGATTTTCTATAGCATATTGGGGACAGCATTGAAGAAGCAATTATAAAACTGTGATTATATTGAAGTTTAAGGGAAAGAATGGATTTTTCATAGTCTCAAGATCTCACTCAGAGCAAAGATGCACCCTAGACGCGGAAGGCCAGAAAGGGGTATGTTGTATACAACATAGGAGTGGTTAGTTATACTCGTTCCTCAATACCAAGTAAATTCACAGAATATATTAGACAGGAAATAAAAAGCAGCACCAGCAGTAAACCCTGCTCTCCCGGGGAGTTAATCAACAGAAAGTAAACGAAGTGAACAGCCGGATATCCCCGATCTTCAAACCAAAAATAGCTCATAGTAGACCCATCACTAGATGCAATCAAAATTTTCCGATTCCGACTACATACAAACTAAGTGGCATTGACCATCTGTTAGTGCAAGGACCAAGACGAAGAGTGCTATCGAAGACGCGAATAGCGAATAGTCAATATCCCCATTCAATCTCCACCTCCGACAACAATACGAAGGTTTGCTCACAAAATACTGTATAAGAAGGAAGAGCTCTAAGATCTGGTATGCAATCAACAGAAGGAAAGAAGATAAATATAGAAAACACGAGGTGTAGGCGACGATCGTTTCCTCAATTTCCCTGTAGTGAAGATCCAACCGTAATGGTAGTGATATACCCGTGCCTAGGTGGACAATGGAAAGATTATTAATAATAACATGTGAACCAACGACCCAATACATCCTAACAAACCCCAGAGCTGAGTGAAGAAAGAAAAAAGATCAACCCATCTACCAAAAATAGACAACACTCGGCGTATAGGGCTGCAGCCCCTGCAAAAGACGATGTCATACTACGTTGTAGATGCAGGAAGTACGGAGTACTACTCCGTACCTATGTAAGAGTTTGACCTCGGATTCCAGCAACCGCCCTAGTCCCCAACCACCTTAAATCGCTTATATATTACCCTCGATATCCGGACCCCCAAATCCTCCGCGAAACCAAATCGGTGCTAGCTTCGGGGGTTTGCTACCCCATTCGGACAGATCTAGAGAAGCGGCCGAATACGAGGTCTGGAGAAATGTGGCCGGTCTGGTACCAATCAAAGTGATGGATCTGTAGTCTAAATTCCCTTAATATGTGTCCCGTGCTTTTGGGTTGCTTCATCTTGTCTATTCTTAGGATGGGGTCTGTGACGATGGGGTTGTGTGGTACCTGTCGATCGGTGTGCGTGAGGTGCAGGTGCATTCTTCGGTTAGAGAGAATGTGGGGAGGGGCTTCTATCTTTAGATATAGGGATGTTACGGAGGTGAGATAATGGTCTTTCGTTCATTGGCGGGGATCAAGGTCTGCTTATGAGATGGCTGGATGGCTATAGTTCCCAATAACGATTAGGCACATTACTCAACGCACATAGAAACACTCCCGAGTCAGATTAACAGAGGATTTGATAAAATCAGGGTATATATATCAATATCAAAATATCAGTTTGAGTCAATTCCCCCCAGCTTGCAACTGCAACCGAGTATGAAATCGGACACAAGACCACACATCAACGCTCATGCTCAACCAAAACAAGGTCCGCATAGATAAGAAAAGAGTCGAGTGGTAAAACCGAAGCACTCGCGTATAATGATCAAAAAACCACATGTTCTCCAGGTCCAATTCCCAGTAGAACACAACTCCGTAGCCTCCATATTTTCAGAAAATGAGAGAGATTATATCTTCCAATTCCTTCCTGGTACCCAATAGCCAGAACTCGACTGACCAACCCTGTTCGGGGTGGTAGTCCAAAATTTCCCATATTTTTGTCGATTTTTGTCTCTTTTTCTGGTATAGATAAACCAAGCACAGCCTGACAATCAAGTCCAAAGTGAAGTGGGAGCAGCCAAGCCCGGCATTTCAAACGGATGTGTCTGGGGATAAACCTCCATATTAAGACCGAGTGTGCCATCCGCGCGCGGCAAATCGGCGCACAGCACATCGCCACCATATGGCGGTGTGTAAGCCGCTGAATGAGGAATGGAAGAATGGTGAGAATGGGCATGGCCATGACCCATATCTGAGAGACCGAGGTGTACGTCGTGGTTATCAAGGAGCTGCGGGGAGGGCGGGTATAGGGAATGCGAGATTGTGGCGGATGCATAGCCGTCTTGGAGGGGGAAAGCAGAAGCAGAGTTCGCAATAGTGACAGCAGGAGGGGAATGCAGGGGCGGGGTATAAGCGGCGTAAGAAGTTGAGGCGGAAGCAGGTGAGGAAGAGGTGACGAGTGGGTACTCGTGCATATTATGGTGGAAAGGGCTGGGTGGGCCAGGGGAGTAGTGGTCGACTGATGAACGGGGGGACCAGGGGAGGTGGAGGCGGCTGCGATAACGGGCGACGATGCCGCGGGGCAGGTCCATGAGTTCCAGGGATAGACGCAGCTCGGTGTTGAAGGGGTCCGCAGCGTTGTGGGTGGCTATTATGCGGTACATCTCTTCGATGGGACCGATGAATAGGGCGCCTAGATATGCGCCGCCTAGCTCTGGGAAGAAACGGTCGAGAGAGATGCCGACGGCGAAGAATTGGGCTAGGATTGGGATGGCGCTGCTGTCTGATTCGCTGCTTCGGAGCATGGATGGTGGGAGCCAGAAGAGCCAGCGGCGGAGGGTTTGGATGCTCTCGAATGATTGTTCGGTCGTTTGGTTGGGGAAGTCATCACGGAATTGCTGGGTGAATTCGATAAGTTCTCCTAGGCGTTGAGAGTGCTCAAGGTTGTGGGAAATGCGTTTCTGTGTCATTCGTAGGGTCTGGATCGTTTGGTCCAGATGTACCATGTCTTCGTCGAGGGGTTGATAGACTCCGGCCATTGAAAGATCCGTCGTGCTCAGTGCTCGTTGCTTTTCTATCAACTGTGCAATATCTGACTCTTGCTTCCAATATGGATGCATGGATTCTAGGACGCTGGAGATTCCGTGTTGCAAAGATGCCCAACTTTGACTGTTCTGGTGTCAGTTGGGGGGATTTCCAAGGAGCTGAATCTATAGCACTCACTGGTCTGTCGACTGCCATGATAAAAGGACAGAAGCTGCAAGGATTGCATCGCAGTTCTCCTTCGAGAAGGACCCCAAAGCGGTCTGCAGTCCCTGGAGAGCGGTGACCTTATGACGGAAAGCCAGCTGCCTAGTCTCCTGGTCTCGCGTAAGAAAAGCAAGATGGAACGCCGAAAAGCTCAAGATAGAGCTCATAACGAAGTCGCTGCCCAGCGAAATAGCCAGAAAACTATAGAATGCCACCCGTCAGTAAATACCTCCAACCCAACAAAAGGCTAGAGTACTCACTTGGGCATCTTCTGCGCCCACACAGTGCAACCACTTAACCCCCGACGATGCAAGTCGATAGAAAGCCCAATGATGTGGTGAATCAAGCGCAAATCAGTCCTTGACAAGCCAGACCATCCGGATCGCGGACACTGCAAGAGCTCCGGATACGGAGGCACGCCAGTGCGATACCAATTGTCTATTTCTGTTTCGATCTCTGGCGAAACGAGGAGGTCAGGACCGCGGGGCGGCGCGGGGGGACTACCACTTTGAGTTGGAGCGGCATCCTGGTAGTCACAGCGGCAGTTGTGCTTTGTGCAATTGCGACTAGATGGAATTAGTAGGGGTATACTGATGTGGATTGAAGAACATACCATTGTGGGAAGGTCTCATCACATCGAATGTGTCTCCTCTTGCATGTTTTGCAGCCGTTACGGGATTTGGTGTGGCTCTTGCGTGGTGGACCGCCGCCAGGACCGACCATTTTGGCCTTTGAAGACTGCGGAGAAATAACTGGGATTGGAGTCAAGGACTCCACAGGTGAATGTTGTGGGAGAGTTGATGATGGGCACGTATGCCCTGTAGTTATAGAGAAATGAGGGAAGCTCTAGTCCAAAAGTCTCCAAAAATAACTTTGGGGGCCGTTGAAGATCGAAAAACAAGTTGAATTAAGCACGTGGAGAATACGAGCCCAGCCTTGGAGATCTTAAAAGGTGAAGATTAAGAGAGAAGAGAGATATAAAAGGGGAAGTAGAGTAGAAGGGAGAAAATCACTACAGTTCTGGAGAGTCAGGCGCAAGATATGATCTGACTTAAATTTCACTTTCTTCCATTTTCTCTTTAATATTATTATTCTTCATTTTTCATTTCCCACTGGCGATCGAGATTTTGAGCCTCTGGGTACAGGGGGGAAGTAAGCCAAGGAAAAAAAGTATAAAAAAAACAGAATAAAACAATAATATAATAATAACAAAATAAGTTAAAGAAATACAGGGAAAATGAGGGAAAATAAGAAAGAAAAAGAAAAGAAAAAATAAACCCAAATAAGACCGTCTAAAATAGCACTCGCTCATTTCAGGTGGGCCACATGGGTAGCTTATATAGCTGCCTTCATAGGTTAGGTTATCCACTAGGCGCATGTGAGCCCATGTTCTCTAACAGTCTATCTTGCACTTCCATGTGGAGATTATTTTCTTTTTTAAAAGGCTAAGATCTACCCATGTACGTAGGTTGGTAAGAACCATCTAGCCCCAATGGTTTCTATGGTTCTGGTTCTACAGAGAACGGAGAACGGAGAACGGAGAACGGAGTACCCTATTGCTTATAGGGGATTTAACAGAAGGCAAACCAAAAGAAAAGGGTCCACGTGTGAATTCAAGCTGATTCATTTAAGTGTTCATCCTTTTTTTTTTGCTTTTTCTTTTCTTTTTCTAAATCTCATCCCGCGTTCCAGAGAACATGATTCTAGCCAAAAGTATGTATCTGCGCAGGGGCCTATGAACAACCCCCAGACTTCAAAAATGATAGAATAGAACAATAAGGGAAATATAGTAACCCGATCGACCCTTTGGCCTCGCAAGGCTTTCGATCTGGAGACCCTGGATTGTGGGGTCGCTGTCAAGGGACACCGTTAACCCCGTTGGGAAAGAAGAGGAGTCAATCCTTGCGCTATTTCAGACGCCTTCTCAGACGCACTGGGAGTGGCTCTCTGGCTCTTCCTCTCTCGCTAAGAATCAAGCTTAGCCTGACAGGCGGAAGTCGGCCGTTTCTACCCGCCTATGAGTCAGATGGGAGATTAAACGCTGAACTCGGTAATCGCAACCGAATGAACTCAGGGAAAACAGTCAACTGTTTAGGTATTGAGAAAAGAAAAAAGAAAAAGAAAAGAAAGGAATCCCAGATTCTTACACCACTTGGAACCTGGGGATTGGAGGCAACGTGTGAACGTTTAGTCCGCAACCAGGGGTGTAAGACCAATCTCTCGGGATCACCGCATCCACATCTCGACTCTTTTTTTTTTCCTTTTGCGCATCCCTTATCCTGACACTCTAGAGTAACCGACCTATTGCGATCATTTCCGCAGGCAGGAACCACCCTATCTCCTTCTCCGGTGAAGTTACCACTGGGCTGGAACCTAGGGAAACCATGTCTGGTGAGCCTGAAAGTGTACGACGTCAATAAGCCCGAAACGGGAAATGAACCCCTGATGGTCTAGTCTCTAGGTGTACAGGGATCGGAGATTGTTGTGAGATCAGTTCCAGCGTCCGAATGATCATCCACAAAAAGAGAGAGTCCAGGGTACTTCGTAGAATGGGCCTTGTTCCAGCAGGGTCCAGGGGCTGAGTCCAGCACAGAACGGTAGGAATCTTGAAAGGCAAAATGGCTGTTCACTGTTCGCTTGGGATAGCATCATGCACTCTAGCCCAAACGGGGTGGTAATTTAAGGCCAAGTCAGCATCTGAGTATGTATATCTACCTCCGAATCTACAGGTCCCCTGAAACTGTAGAAGTGTAATATGCATATTTATGTGACACCGCCAGATTGGGCCTGGAGACCACGTTTTCTGGGGATCAGACGTGGAACAAGATGCGTGTCTAATGTCGGTGTGTGCCACCTTCTGATCTGGACGGATCCCTCTGTCCTACCATATTTTACGATGTACTGCAGTCATGACGATGATTACTTCAAAGGATGATTTAGCTCGCCACACGTGGCACCATAGTCGCACAAAGATGATGATTATATCAGCATTCTCCCTAATCTCCTATGTTTGACAGGTTTGACAGTTTGACATGGTTTCAGAGCCAAATACGCTGCCTTCCTTTTAAGGCGTCTGAGGAATGCTGTGCGGGTCGGAAATGTTCGGGTGACACTAATTTTCTCCGCAGATGTGAAGGAACACAAAATCAGAAGTGTCCAATCAGCAACGATTAGTCTCGCTTGTCGCAACATCAGGCCAAACGTGGTATAGATTGGGGGCCAAAAGTCCCGGGTGGATTACTTTTTGACTCTCAACTTTCGTCTTTATTTTTTTATTTTTTTTTAAGTCTAGCCTTTTTTGCGTCACATATCGCCGGAATTGACGGGAGGTGCTTAGCGATATATAGTTTCCAAGGTTTACTCGTCTACCTCCGCGGGGTACCCTTTCCTAGTCTAACTTCACATACTATCCCCGTGATCTTGAAACTGTCAGCCATGGTAAGCAGATTGACCCAACAACCTTGGTATCCAAAAGTACTCTCCAACCAAAAATGAAATAAGAATCATGGAGTCCCCCAGTTCTACCGCTAACTCAGAAACACAGCCCGTGGAAACGCGGTACGCTAACCAACTCTATTTCGCCAAGACTTAGGCTATCCTGGACTTGTGTGGGGACTGGGTGATTTTCTCTTGTAGATCATAGATCAACCTATGAACTACGATACTGTTGGGCATAATGGTCGAATCGAATGGGTCATTAGATCATCTGCAAGAATCCAAACTGTACATATTTACACATTTACACATTTACTTAAATGTCTCTCTGCACCGCAATCTAAAGGCTTTAGATGTGTAAAGCTCAGCCCTTAAAAGAGCCAGGATACCTCGAAGTTTAACGTCCAGATTTACAAATGAAAAGTCTGTTCTTTAGGAAAGGAGGCATAGCCATGTGAAACAGAGAGATCGACGGCAATCTTGAATCTCCGTGCTCCGTACTCCGTACTAGTAAGTACTTACCGTGGACCTAGCCCTAAAGGTATAACATCCCAACCAAATAGAGTCCTTAGCGTCAACTCTGTTCTCCAAGCCACCGCCATCGTATCATCTTTGTTATACTCATTGCCCGACTGCTGAAATTAATTCCCGACACTTGATTCGTGTGAATGTGCGGCTGACAGCACGTCCTGCATGAGATCACTATGACCTTCCAGTTGGGTACAGATCACACTCTATTTTAGACAGACCGCCTAACACTCTAGCAAGGAATCTTACATTCCTCCGCGGCATATCTTACATGGGTGTGCTGTATACAATCAACTCCTACGCCGGGTGTAATAATGAGAAAACCATGATGGCAGAGCCACCCACTTCCGCGATTCCAAATGGCCACAGTAGACATCTACACCATATCGATGTCATTAGAGGCAACAAATCTATGCCGGACATTCCTTCATATCATGAGTCTCACTTTCGGTTTTCTTCCTCTCTTCTCTTTCTCATAATGCAGCATTGCACAACCTGACTGTTCTCGCGTGCCGGGGCCACAGACAACAGACAACTTGCATATATCACATCCATCCTTTAACATTTCTCATTGGTTGATTTATTCATACCTTACGAGGTTTGAAGAACAAGTGCCCGTAATATACTGCGCCTGATATTCCTCCAGTCCAACACGCCAAGATGGGCTTCCATAGATCATCCAGGGGCATCAATCTCAAGGATAAGCACATCCTCGCTGCTTACTGCCAGCGACCCTCCGGGGAAATTGAATATTCAGAGCTGGATCTGAATGAATTTCTTGGGGTAAACAAGGGTAAGGACAATCCAAGTTCTATGTTCTATTCCCTGCGGCGTTTCCCTCAATAGCTAGTATACTTCCCAGCACCACTGAAACTAAACCCATATTCTGATTTTCCGCATCTGATCAGAAATTAACATTATCATACAAATCTAGGACAATTGGCCTGGGGCTCCCACGACTTCTCGAAAAGTTCACGCGATGTTGACTTCAAGCTAGAAGGCCCCGAAAATGATCCCATGCTGCACGCGCAACTCGATGATGGCCAAGGAAACGTCCAAGAGAGCCAGGTGAACCTGGGACATTGCATCAAAAATGAGGATGGTCATTTGAGGTTCATGGAATGTTTCTAGTGGGAGGATCAGTGTTCCCTACTTCCTGTTTCATATCTCTCAAAAAGTGATTTAGAGAAATAAAACCATTGATTTGGACTATTAGTTTCCTACCATTTTCGTAGTAGTGTCAACCTTCCTAATATCCATGATGCAGGTAGGTCTCAGGTCTGAAGTCTAAGGCAAGAGTACCACAGACGTGGACAAGATAACACCACAGAGAACATTGCGGCTGAGGCTGAAAATAAATCCCGGAAGACAAAGTCCACTGCCAAAGCCTATAGTATAGCCCCAAACCTACTAAACCCATTTCAAGCCCCCTGAGAGCATTATACGTACGAAGTATAGCCCGAAATAAAGCCCAGTTCGTAAGGTACCTGTTTAGGGTACGGATTAGAGCATCAATCAGCCCCCTGAACCCAACCCAGAATCCTCACCGAAAGAGCCAACAAGAACAACGGGAGTGAGTACGTCTTCAAATCCACAAGTCCACAATAGCCCCAGTCATCCCATCTCTGCAAGCCGCAAAAGGCATAGCCCGGGTCCTCTAGAGCGAAAAGCGAAAAAGAATATAACCCGACGCACGCCTCAGGGCCCTCCAAGGGCGCACTACAAAGCACTATGAACCAGGCGCCCGGTACGCTACCTGTAGGTACATTGCACCCTGCGTCAACGTCTGTCATCGACACATGGCTTTTTAATCACAGGGTGAGATAGGGTGGAGTCGATAGGATACATTGCGGGCGCCCGGGTTCGTGAAAAATAGTAGTTAAGGGAAAGGCTCGCGTCTTGGTATTTCGGGCGGTTTTTATCTGAGCGGCCAATCGGTGGGGAGAAGGCGTTGGCTGGGGGCTTTCGCTGCCGATGAGTTAATTATAACGCGCCAGTTAGGCGAGAGCCGGGACTTTGGTTGGGTTTATATTACTGGTTCTCTTTCTATTTCGGTTTCCATTACTCCGTCCTCTGTCCTCCGGCTATCTTACTACGAACGAATGTGGTAGGCTTGTGTTGAACTGGGGCTTAGGGCATTGATGGGTTATGGCGGTTAGTACGGAGTAGAGAGACAGGGGATGTCGCGCTTGATTCTTCCCTGTAGTTTGGTGATGTATGTGATACGTATGGATCTGCTGCTAGGTTATCAATGGCAGGTGACTACAGAGTACTCCGTACTTACCATGCATGCTGTCTGCATCGACGATCCAAAAATAAATCTGCAGCTGTTCGGATATTGCTAGGGCCCTGCTGATCTTAATCTTGCCTTGCTTTTTCTCCATCCACTACTGGTCCAAGGTTTAGCGAGTCGATCTTGGTATGTGTAGTTGATTTCCCGGGGCTAGGTAGTGCTTGGATAGTATGTGTCAGACACGGACGGGTCCACGGGTGCGAGGGAGAGATGTGGACGGAATAGGTGTGACATGCCCTGGCACTAGCATGCAACCTACTTGTCCAGTTTTGTTTTTTTCCAGGGGCAGATAGGAGTGCTAAGATAAAAATTCCCAGGTAACTGGTGTATTTAGCTGGAGGTAGCAATACTTGGGTTGTGTATACTACGCAAACGGATATGACGAATAAAGAGGCTAGGAAGACGATTCAACACCCATCAAGGACATCCCCGATGGACCCTAATAATGGTGCTTGCTAGCAATTGTTACAATCTTACCACCAAAGGATATTTATTGTAGTCAGTGCGACAGCATGTTTGACCTCACCCATACTATATATATCCTGAATATAGCGGCGTGGGGATGGAACGTTTCAACAAGATGCATCTGAAACAATTAAAGCAGGGTATTGGCCTGTTCAAAAACAGCAGCATGCTAAAACTCTACTACTACATTTCAGGCTTTCATACGTGTTGTTTGGGATCTCCATTGACGAGGAAGATCTATCTATCTAGGTATCTATCTAAAGGGGATATGAATATGCCACGCAAAAAAACCCCCGAACCAGCGCTGAGAAGAAAAAAAAAAGCAACCTATGAGCCAACCCTGACTTGATGATGACTATGCACAATGAATGCAAAATAATAATCAAGAAGAAAGCAAAGTCAACGAAATAGAAATCATAAAGGGTCATGTGTGCCCATGTTGCGATCATGAGATGTAACGTAAAAAAACAGCTAAGTCGCAGATGCTCCTTCCCATGATTTTGCCCTCCCTTTTCTCCCTCCTCTTTCTATTAACGTGAAATTCCGGCCGCTGACCCCCTATGTACCGATCCCCCCTCGTCTCCCTCCCCTCCAACCTAAGTCCTGCCCGATTTGAGACAGGAGTGGGCATAAACCGACATCCCGGTAATCGAGGTTTAAGCAAAGATAACCAAGTTCCCTACTTAGACCTGGTACACGGTGCGTAGTGTCTGGGCCACAGCCGGGGGTAGTTGGCCAAGGAAGTTGCTGAAGTCAGGGATCAAGGTCTTATATCCCTGGAGGACCTATAATTATATATCTTGATTAGTGGGATGTTACTAAAAACCAAGAAGAAATGATCTTACCTGCTGGAAGGATACCTGGATATCCCGGTACTCTTCCTGTGCCAGCGAGCGGGCGGGGAACGAGGCAATTGCCTGGAAGTAGTCGAGCAGACTCGACTCCATGGCCTGCGGGTTCTTCATCACCACCTGGTTGAACCCAAGGAAGGCGGAAGCCTTCTCACGCGTGAAATCAATCTTGTCCATTGACTTTAGGAAAGGTCCGGAACACTCGCTCAAATGGGGCGCAATCTGGTCCGCGCAGCAGAATCCCAGTCGTCCCAGCGCCATCGCGGCGTTTTCGTTCACCGAATCGATAATTTCCTCATTAGTGATAATCGTAAAGAGTCCTTGGTACAGTTGCTCCGCATAGGGCGAAAGCGCGGCATTCTCGTGGACGGCGATCTCGCCGCATGACCAACAGGCGTTGTTCAAAACACTGAAGCCCGTATGACGGTCGTCATCGCGAATCAGGTCCAAGTCAAGCTGTTTAATCAAAACCGGGGCAAGGCTCGGAAGGAAGGGCTCCAACTGAGGGAAGATGCTGATCGCGCAGTCTCCCAGCAAAGCGTATGTTGATTGACGGACTTCATAGTTATCATCCTCCATACAGTAGCGAAGGAGCTCGAAGAAAGATGGCTGTGAAGTACTCACGAGCTCGCCGCTCTTTTGTGGGTCGATGGCCTGAATGATTGCACTAAGGAGGTCAATGCTAGTAACAAGGAAGTCCTTGTCCGGTTCGTCAGCCGCGGCGTGTGTCGGTTGAATAGAAGCTTGCAAGTTTCCGTAAATGATCTTCATGCAGCGACCAAAGAGAGGCGGCGCGAATTGGGCAAAGGCATCGCCATAGGCTGCAGAGATATATCCGAGGCATTCAAGCAATGGGAAGAGCTCTCGGGAATCATCGGAAATGTAGTTATAGCGACCGATGAGGGCAGGCATCAAGATCTCGATTAGATGCGGCCTCGCCAGCTCACTCATAACACATTCGGCGAGCGTCTGCACGCAATCATAAAGGATGTACATGTTTCGGTCCTTGTACTTATTGAAGCACGCCACAAACTGGCGCAAGATAGGCTCACAGTAGGGCGCCAGGTTATCTTCCGACTTCTCCTCCAGGCTAGCGAACGCTGATGCGGCAGCTTCTTGAACCTTCTTGTTGTTGTCCAACATGCGATGAAGTATACCTTCCATCATGGGCTCAAAGAATTGGGCTTTCTGAGCCGGGTCGCGGAGATGGGCTGCCCAGCCGGAATAACGTGCCAAGCACCAGCAAGTGATTTGTCGCACAACAGGCTGGTCATCATTGAGGAGTGATATGAGGTAAGGGACCAATTCTGGGAGATGCGGAGTGATAGCATCCATACAGCCATCCGCCACTGCACCTAATGTAAGAACAGCGGCCTCTCGGTTCGGCCACTGCTCATGGCGTAGAGTTTCCATCAGATACGGCAGAAGGATTTCAAAGACAGGACGGTGGTAAACAGTGGAGAAAACATCGAGCGCAGCAGCAGAGCACTTGCGCAAAGTCCAGTTACCCGAGGGGTCATCTCCGAATTCTGAGTCCTCGATTTCACCTTCGCTTAAGTCATCCTCACCCTCCTCTGTCTGTTGCTCGAGGGCGAGGGCGGATTCCGGTTGTTCACCTGTCTTGGACATGTTCAGACGATCACCCTTCGATTTGGCAAACTGTGGCTTTAGATCCTCAGCACGGTCCTCGGCGTCGGCGTCATCTTGCTCGTCCATCAGTCGAGCCACTTCCTCCTCGTCGTAGATCATGTTTTGCAGAAGAACCGGGATGATCTTGTGCATGTATGGAGCCAATTCGGCCTGCAATCGCTCTTGCTCTCCAGCACCGATCCAAAACTCGGCGGCGTCAAGTGCAAGCTCTGGGTCGTCCTGTGATTGCTGCTGCATAATGATGTAGCTGACCAATCCTTCCATATGCGGGGCCAACTTTTCCGGCGCAGTCTCCACGAGTTGGGAGAACGACTGGCACACCATTTGCCGGACTCTGGTGTTTTCATCCCCGGCAATTCTGAACAATTGCGAAAGAAATTGGTCGAGCGAGTCCACCAATGCCTGGGGTCTGAATGGCAAAAAAACGTGGATGGCATTGAGAGAAGCAATCCGAATGCGTGAACTTTCGACCGTAATGAATTGCAACAAGCTGGGGATGATGATATCCAGGGGACGTTGGCCCTGATAGTCACGGTCCAGAACCTTGCGGTTGTCCTCACAGACCTTGCACAATGTATCCATTGCAGCTTCCCTAGCCGGCATGGGGACATCCCCGTTGGCATTAGCGACAGTAGTTAACAGCTCATTGACAATCTCAGGCCAGGCCAAGAGGCCTCCGTGAAGCACCATTGCAGTAATAATGTTACCGGCAGCTCTTGAGACATTGCGGTCGGTGTCGCGCAGGGTAACCAAAGCCGCAGATTTGACGAAGGCCAGGCTTTGAGGGGAGATCGTGCTGTAAGCAAGGGCAATCTTCGTCTTGACGTTCACGGCGGCGGCAAATCGGACAGTAGGGTATTCATTCTCGTTAATTCCTGCCAGGGGAGCAGCTTGCGGATTGGAAAAGATGTAGGTGATGTAATTGACGTAATCAGGAGAAGAGGTCGCTTGTGCGAGCATCTATTAACAAAAAAAAACCAAGGTTAGTTTCCATCTTGGGGTAGTGTATGTGCGGCGGCCGCAGTCGAGAAGAAGCTCAATAGGACCAAAAAAAAAGGGAAAGACATTACCTGTTCAGCCTCTGCTCGGGCTGGAAGGTTAGCTCCATTGAGCGAATCGCGAAGGTAGCGAGCCAGCTGCCTCAATGGCTCTTGCTGAGGTTGCCAATTCATCTTGTCCTGGTGAAGAGACTCGATGCGACAGAGGTAAGTCGAAAGTGCGAGTAGCACAGGAGCCCCGCCGAAAATGTGGGAACGGGCCCCCTTCGTTTCCCCAGATCAAGGAAACAAGGCCGAAATTCCGATCCGCTAAGGCAGATCCAGAAATGAGACGGAAAGTAATTGGCCAAAGCAATTTTGCATGAATAAGGTCGGAATCAAATAAAGTTGTCGGGGACGACCTCAGACTGAGGGGTGTATGTGCTGTGGGCAGAAAAAAGGGACTGCTGAAGATGGTAGGCGGTCAGTCTCTTGGGAGTAGAAGTCCAAGAAGGCAAAGAAAAGATAGTCTGCATTTCACGGTATATTTATCTGCAGAATATAATAAGCCCTATGAGAATAGTAGTGGATGGGCTTGAATGTTGGGTGAAGTTGAAGAAGATTGAAGTTTGGAACATGTAGAAAAGAAGTCATGATGGAAAGTAATCGCGGGGGGACTACCGCAAAAACATGCCAAATCTACATAAGAGTGACTTGGTATCTCTATCTCTTATCTCTTACGATCAGTTTACCTATGTAAGTATCTCGCTGTGCCTTTCAACATTTGAAGGTTTACCAGCTAGTCCACCTGGGCATGGGTGCTTAGAACAGTAATAATCTCAATGTCTAAGATGCTATAGCATCATCTATGGATATTGCTACTCTTGAATCCCCTTAGAAGCATTACAATTTATTCTATTGACAAATGTTAACCCCATACCATTTCGAGATTGGTGACAGTTACGAAACACACACCAATAGTACTATGATATGATGCCAAGGAATATATGGAAAAAGACACCCGAAGAAATGCCAGTGACGCAACAGCCAAGTTATAACCTGAGAGCGGAAGCCATGTAAACGAAAGGGGCAGAAGTGCAAGCAACCTCGCAACTCACTCAATATCGCAGGTCCAATCACGCCCAAACCATCTTCTTAAGATCATAAACCAGATATTCCAACCACCCGGTCCTCTTCTTAGCATCCGCCAAAGAGATGATATCACACTGTTCAACCACAGAGACCGCCTCAACATTCCGACCCTGACCCGCAAGCATCGCCCGCTCGATATCCAAACAGACCGAGCGAATGCGATCCACCTCCCGAACAGTCCCAGCGCTGGGCCCAAGCCGCGGACTAGCCACCGGGTTCGACAGCGGCAGGCCCTTGAATGCGACGAACCGTGTCGTCGCACGCTTGTTACCCCGTAGCCAGGAAACGAGGTCCCATTCGCTGTTGGCGCTGGCGGTAGTCTCGAGCGTGCTGAGATCAACATCGCTCTGCAGGGACCGAGTATTCACACGGAGGGTGTTTGTGTCGCCGTCACGGTAGACTATAACAAGACCGACATTGGTCGCCTCGTTGGCTTGGCTATCTGTCAATATGGATGTGATGTATGTACCATAGTGGATGCGCGAGATGGAGCGGAGGTCGATGCGCTCAAAAGACAGGACTTTGTTAGTCTCCCAGTCGAAGCGACAGCTGTAGACTGCGGCGTCGGTCAGGAGAAGAACTGATTCTTCAAAGGGCAGGGTGCGAAGGGTGTTGGGTTGGCGGGGTGTCAGCATGGTCCAGCCGCCTAGGAATTCTTCAGATGGGCTACTGATAACGATATTGCAACTGGTGTCAATGGCGTTCTGGCGGAGTTTTTGGACTGAGATTCCTGGATCGGTCGTCTGGAGCTGAATGGCGAACTCGTCGAAGACGTGGGTTGAGACGTTGCCTAGGAGGTAGTCGATACAGGCTTGAGAGAAGAAGTCATTTACGATGTTGTTGTAGTAGCGGGAGAGTGTCAGCCCAAAGTCATTGAGGGCGCCTCTATAGTCTCGCTTGCGTGTACGGGTATAATCCCCCTTCAGGGCTGCGGTTGATGAATACTGCTTGGAGATGGCATCGCCATTGTCTGCCCAGAGCGTATTGAACCATTGAGTGGAAGAATCACCACCTATGTCAATGTCAATGCCTTCATTTTCCAGTTGACGCTCGAGGGCCCATTGGCCAAATGCACACTGGGCAACACCAGTGCGGTCGAGACAATCCATGCAATTGGTTCTGATGATGCCCTTTTGGGTCTGCAGGATATCGTTGTCTGCGACGATGGTGTAGCAAAATTCATTAAGTGTATCTTTCAGTCGGTCGACCAGGCGAGATACATTTTCAAACTTCATGCCCCGGCACTCGCGATGGAAGTCAAACCATTCAAGTTTCAATGGCTTACCATCGATCCCACCGGCGGCATTAAAGGATTCTGTATATCGCTCGTATTGCTCTCCTAGCTTCAACTCACCGGCTAGCTTGTCGATAAGAGAAACAGCTTGTATATTTCCATACCGTCGACTGAACTCTCGGAAGTGTCTACCGAAGGCAAGAAGATTTGTGTCCGCAGAGTGATGGAGTGCTGGAACTGGCTTCAAGGCATATGGCGACTGAGAGAAATAGAGAGGGATGGAACCCCGGACTTGCAAATATGAGTACGCAGGGTGAGACGGGGTCCATTCCGGAACCGAGAGAATCTGCTCGGTTTCGACTGTGTTGGCTGTATTGCCCTCATCGTCGACACCACGGCGCAGGTAACGAAGACCTGGTCGCTTGACAGAGCGTCGAGAGACGAGAGTCAAAAGATAATCGCGTTTGCTAGCATTAGTCTCAACGGCTTCGGCCTCGTGTTTTTCACCGAGAATTCGGCCTTCCGCGAGTTCCACTGAGTCCTTCGAAGGTTGTTTCCTTTCAGCACCAGCGATTGTGAACTCTCGTTGGCCGACAAAGCCTTGAATCAATGGCAGAACGAAGCCATGAGCCCCATGATCAATGAATTTGTTCATCAAATGTCTATTCCAAAAATACTGCCAACGAGTCAGCAAGCAAATCTTCACAGAAAACATACTACGACCTCGGGAACCCTCAGTTCGCGCTTACCAAAGGATCCACAACTTTGTGGAGGGGAAGCTGATCTTTCCGGGCTTCCTGCGTATGTAAAGAGCGCGTAAGGTCATAATCATATGCAAAGAAAAAGTTATGCGAAGCAAACAAAAGTTTGGTATATCGTAGCAGTTTTGGCAGCAACTCCGCAGCCTGGCCAGATTTAGGCCGTTCAGGCTCGCTCTGAGCCCCAGCGTCTTCAGACAGAGCCTCATCCACAGTTTCATGCTTTGCCTCACTGGCATCACCCGAAGGGCTGGAAGCTTCGTCAAAGGGAGACTCTGGCACATCCTGCTCTAGAGCTCCGGGTCTGGGCAAGCCCAGATTTTTGCGCGATAGCCAATTGGCTGCAAATCTGCCGAAGCGGACTTTCTTTGCTATCACGTCTTCTGCGATACTGCCGACGCTGGTGCCGCGGACATGAGATGTATCACGAGTAGGTGATGCGGGCACGCTGCCGATCTCCGCCTCCGCCTCGGCTCTGTCGGTCTCATTATCGGGGAGGTCATCTTCGTCGGAGGACGATTCGATGGTGACTTCCTCCTGCGATGATTCTTTCCTAGCTTGTGTGATTGCGCGGGAAGCATCTGCTTGGGATGAGACAGGAATAATAGCGACGTTGGTTATGGCGTAGATCGGGCGGCCTTGGATCTGCGCTACTTGCTGGCGCTGTGTGATGGAAACGAGAAATGAGTATGAAGCGACAGATAAGAGACCTGCAGCAGCAACGCCCTGGGATTAGTTTCTTATTTCAATTTCCGCTCAGTTTATCAACGTACCTACGAGACCGTAGGCCTCCAGGGCGTCCTTTCCGTCGACGGGCTCCGAGGCGCCAGCGGGCAAAGCAGTGATTTTGTTCGTCTTATAGTCGATGCGGATGGATGAAGCCTCATTGTTGCTACCGGCAATATGCCGTGGTCCGCTGGCCTGAGCATGTAGGATCAGGCCGTCGACTGCGGCGACAATGGCCAATTTGCGCAATAAAGCGGGCATCGCGCAAGTTCCCCGCGTTCGAAGGGAACAAAGATCACACAGCGGCCCCAAGGTTGACGTCTATAGACCCCTCGCAAAGGTGGCCACAGGCATTCAATAGAAAATTTTAAAGATGTTGAAACTGAAATTAAAAAAGCAAGAATCTCGGATGGGCATGTTCCATAAACAGCTGACCTGCAAATACATCATCGGCCCAGCCCCACCCAGATACGTCGCAGTCTATTCTGCAGAAAATCCAACTTGAACTATATACAAGCATCTCGTCACGCCAGATCACCGATAGAGGAAAAAAAAGAAAAGAAAACAGAAAAAAAAGACATCAAATCCCAACCATCCAGAGAAACCCAGAGTCATATCCAGTCGTTCATACAGACATGTCCAGTGCCTGATGAGTTCGCCCGAGTTTCAATGCAACTCTAGCATTTTCGAGGAACAGTAAAAATACAAGTGGAGATCAAGCCCGTGGAAGGGAAGCTTGCCAGCAGTCGAGTGTGTGTAGAGAGGAAGGAGAATCATTTCAGAGACCTTGTTATAAGGCGAGGATTGCAATCAGACTATGAGACACTTGCGATCAGATCTGACTGTTCTGCTTGGTGTGCATTGCAGTCTGTGCTTCGGTCTGCGGGAAAGTTGGACCTGGCCCCCCATCACTTGCTTCGGTCAAGGTGTTCATGCCGATCCCGTTTTCCGCATCGTATGCGTGGATGAGGCCCTCGCGGTCGCTGGCTCCATTGAAATATGCACTCGAGGAGCTTCGGCGGGACTGCATTGAGCGACGGGTCTGGAAGCTCGTCAGACCGTCTGTTGGCACTCCATCCTCGTCAAGTTTTGAATTCACCATGCTGTGTCCATCAGGGTCATGTCGCGAGAGGTTGAGGAGGTACACGCCGGTGAAAATGATAAGGAATCCACAAAGTAGAGATATGGTGTTGACGGCGTCGGTGGTGTTGAATCCCTTGAAAAGAATGAAGGAGGCACAGAGGGTCGCGGTTGTGAAGGTAACATAGTAAAGTGGGTTCACGCTGTTGAAAGAATCATGTTAGCCTCGCATATTTGTATCGATTGATGTTTACACTCACATCGAAGTCGAGAAAGAGTTCAATGCCTTGTTGAAGTAGTTCATCTGCGTCAAAATGCAGAATCCGGTCACAATGGCAAAGACGTAGGTGGATGCGTGGACGAATTGGTTGTTGCCCCCAATGGTCAATTTCACTGCAATACCAAAGGCCTTGACGGACATGACGGAAACAGATCCAACAGTGGAGCAAATCGAGATGTAGATGAGCGGGTTCTTCTTGCCATAGACGGGCGCAACCCGGTAGATCATCAGAGTCGAGAAGACCGCAACTGCGATACAGTAAAAAAGGAACCCTAGTCGCAAAGTCAGCGGTGGTTCTCGGGCGCCGGACACCGATTAAGTCTTCGTACCTGGCTGAACCGCATATCCAAGAATTTCATCGACAGTCTCGACCTGCTTGTCTGGAGGCGCATGTAGAACGATGACGACCGACCCCAGCAAGCACAGCGCACAGCCCAATTTTCCTAATACACCAAGTATCTCGTTGAGGAAGTACGAACTCAGGACCGCACTGTGTCATGTCAGCTATGGGATTATGATCGCCATTGAGGAGAGATCCCTACCCGATCAGAACACTCAGCGCACCCAGGGGCGTAACCAGGATGGCAGGCGCAAATGCGTACGCAGCAAAGTTGGCGACTTCACCAAGAGCCACTATGAACCTGTTAGCATCTCCGAATGTCAAATCTGGCAATTGGTTTCCGTACGTGTCACTATACCACCCCACCACACGGGACTCTTCAAGTATGAGAATCCTTCGCCCTCAAACCCATGTCGTTCGGAGGCGTGCATCAAGCCCTGTATTTAGACGGATTAGCGACTTCGCTCCGATAATGATTGCTTTGGACCGAATCGCCGCGGTGTTTGTCCAGCGCACCCCGGATCCAAGTGCTCGTTTCCCCGGAAGATTCGTGGCACACCAACCTTTTTGGTGATAACGAAACTCGTACCGATAGCCATGGTCGATACAATGGCTAGAATAAGCCCGACATATCTATAAGGGCGCAGCGCGCAACCATGTTAGAACTGTCCACCTTGCCCTCGGGGGGGTAATTCGGAGGGATTTGGGAGAGACATACTTATCTGGAAGCATTTTGACGTGATTCCTATCTTAGGAGCCGGGAGCTCCTACTGTCGAAAGACCTCCAGTGCCGGCAATGCGTCGGGGAATGAGCGAGAGACTCAGGTGAGCGAAGGAAGGGGTGGTAGGCCAAGGACGAGGGACTAGGGGGAAGCAAAGGGAGCGAATGAGGACAAAACAGAAAAACGAGCCAGCCCGAAATTTCTGATGAGTAAGGAGGAGGATGTGAAGAAGATAGGTTGATGGCCAGAAGCCAGAAGCCAGAGAGAGATGTGCCTGCGTGCGGTGGGGTTCCGTTTCAAGCCCGATCGGGGGACGCGTAAGAGCACAACGGGGCTAGACGTCTTATGAGGCTTGGGAGGCTTTCAAGTCCCGAGGTGTTTTGGGTGCTTTAGGTAATTTTAATCTTAATTTCTCTTTGTAGATGGTTTTATACTCATAAATATGCATAATGTAGAACTAGAAATAGAATAGGTGGCCATAACTCATGTATTATTTCTTGCATTATTTATATCCTACAAGTACATATACAACACTCTCATGTGTCACTGATGTCTATTTTGGTCACAATTCTGGATGTCTATGTACCTAATAGGTAGTAAGTACTATTGGTATCCTTCATCAAAATAAAAAGCCAAATGGACCCTGAAATGAGGCCAAGACCGGCGTTTCAGCTCCCTCCGAATGCGGCGTGGGTTTCTATACTTAGCCTGGAATCCCCAGAGACTCCAATTTGGATCCACTGCATGACATTACCTTGTGTGGCTGAATTAATATAAAATGAATATAGAACTACATAGTAAAGTACCATAGTTATAGACTGTAGTTACATATACAAGCACATGTACCTGCAAAGAGCATACATCTATTCTACAATATCCCGATCCCCGCTATCCCCGGAATGTTTCTCCTTTGTGCCCCATAATACAAGCGAAATTAGACACTTCAAATCTGGGGATGTGAGATCAGATATACTGATTCTTCTTAATTTATAAGTTGAAAATCAGAAGTTGAGACATGTTTGGAAGTACTTAGATAGCATACATCTGGAGAAGCATGTGGGGGGTAAAGATTCATTGGTAGAATACTACAAACACGTGGACTAACCCATCGCGCCGATACGCCAGATCCCAAGGGAAATGTATTGGAAAACACGCAGCCCAAACGGGCACCCATCAACACCGAACAAAGATTTTGGCCAAAGGCCGACAGTGGTATCTTGAATCGCAATAGCAGGGGAAGAGTCAAACGATAAAATAAGAAGAAAACGCAAGAATAGATGATGGGCAATTGAATGTGTCGAGGGTACCTGGGGTTTGATCCAGACGTGGGATGGAAAAATAGAAAGCGCATGCCCCAAGGAAGTTGAAGGCGTGCGCCCGATGAGGAAAGGGGTCGAACATACCTGTTTCTTGTTAGTAGTCAAACGAGACACTGCACTGCGTCCATCGGTCGAGGTCGTTGCTGGCAAGTATGGTTATTAGTATGGCGGAGGGTAACGGGTCGCGTGAAACAAGCCATCAAGGGTCAGACTCGCTGGACACCGGACATGAATATGAGAGATTGTAGAAAATGCCCCAGGAGTAAAAAAGAGTGGGAACGTGGTTTACGAAGAGCGGCGACGTTTGGTGTCAACAGTGGTTTCCACCAGGTCCCAGTCGTCTTCATCTTCGCGAGACCGTTTGGCAGACGAGTTCTGGTTGGTTTGGGGGCCTGTCAAGGAAGGGTCTGTTCCGACCAGCTCTACAGCCTCCGATTCTTCGAAATGGGTGTCATAGTCGCCAAAATGGTTCTCGTCAAACTCGTGATCATGGGCACCCTCATCATCAGCTGCAACAGGAGCATCGAGCTCATCCTCTGGCTCGTCGTAGTCTATGCCCTCGAAGTCATCAAGGGCATCTTTCTCTGTATCTCTCGGGGGAGTCTGCATCAGGTCTACAGTGATTCCAAGTAAATCATCTGCAGGCTCTGGTGTTTGCTCCTTCTTGTCAGAGGGGTCATGCAAGCCGCTGTCAAGCGGCGGTGCCGGCTGGTCATGGGAAGGGTGGTTGGTTTCATCCCGGAGGAGAATTTCCGAGACAACTTCATCTGTCGGCGGGGCATCTAACTCATCTGTGTCCTCTTCATCAAGGACAGACACCTGATCAGCTGGTTCTTGAGCATCAACATCAGCATTTTCACTGCCAGTGATATCTTTTTGGAAAGCCTCTGAATCGTCGACCGAGCCGATGTCTTCATCCTCGTAATATTCCTCGGCTCCCAGATCATCGTTCTCAGGGTCCTCTCCGTAATAGTGCTCGTCGTCGTTTTCATCTGTACCGGGGGCCGCAGCAACGTCCAGAGGGACATGCTGGGTATACTCTTGGATCTCGCTTGCGCTAGGCAGTGCAGCTACCGTGGCAGTAGAGTCACTCTGCCGGCCCTCAGAATCATAGTGCTCTTCGTTCGTATCGCCGTGGCCACGATCGTATTCTTGATCTTGGTCTCTTTCGAGATGGCGAGACACATCAAAGTGATCTGAATCTTTGCTCTCGGGCTGGGCTGGATGAGATTCAGACTCAGCTGCAGCCTCGGCACTCCGCTCACTAGAGGTAGATTTATCCCCATCCTGTGCCAAAATCTCTGGCTGAGCGTCAGAGACAACTTCGGGCTGGACCTGAGACTGTTCGCTATCTAGCGCCTGCTCTTCTTTGGGTCCTGGAGCCGTTTGCACTTCCGTGATTGAAAGCTCTTTTTGGGCCTCATTAGTGTAGTAAACTTCGTCTTCATGCTCCTCAGCTTCATGGGCGCCAAGATCCTCCAAGGAACCTGCCTCGGCTTCATCATATTCATCCCATGAATGAAGTTCGGAATGAAGTTCGGAAAGTTTCTTGCCCTCAATTGCAGCGTCATTGAGATCTGCAATTTCGGCCGGGAACGCACGCTTGGTACTCAGTGTAAGGTAAAGCGCGTCGGGCTCGGTAATACCATCGTTGCGACAAAGTCTAAGGTAAAGATCTAGGATTTGATGCAATGTTATCTGGGATGTATGAAATGAGTCCTGATAGGATGAGTTAGTACATTTGCCGGTGGGGGACAACTGAGAAGGTACTTACCTCTGTTACTTGGATACCGAGGGTGTCAATATCAATGACCAAGACCTCATTGCCTGACATGGTTCTTTGAAGCACCTGACGCAGAGCCTTGAACATTTGACCAATGTTGTCATAAGCCAATGCTTCATCTTCAATAAAGAATGTATCCGCCAAGTCTCCCTCAAGAGGAGGGAACAGAGCGATCTCGCTGTCCTGGTAGAGAATTTTGACTGGATGAAGAGGTTCATCTATGTATGTGACGTGTTGGAGAGATTCATCCTCATCTTTAACCTGGTGATTTCCTTTAGACACAGGCTGCGCCTCTGGTTGCGCAGCGGCATCAACGTGGGAATCTTCGGTTGGATGTTTGATTTGACTGGTCTCCGGGTCCTCGTTGGGAACTTGCGTTCCCTCAGTCTCGGACACAGAAGATTGTAATATCTCATTAGCCTCTTCACCAAGCTCTGCCTTTTCTTTATGACCGCCGGTTTCGGGACTGACGACGTTTTCAGATGGTTCCTCAGCAAGGTCATCAGAAGCCGTGCCCAGCTGGGCCTGAGTGTCTGGGCCCTCAACTCCGGAAGCCTGAGCATCGTCTTGAACTGGGGCAATTTCCACAGAGCCACTTGAGCCTTGGGGTGCTGCTTCGAGGGGTTCCACAGGTGTGACTGTGACATCCTCCTTAACGGGGCTGACAGCCTCTTCATTGCTGCCCACAGGTTCAAGATGAATGACGGGGGCGGCAATATTGACATCTTCGGCCTGATCAGTTTCAATCATTTCTTCTTCGAATGACTCTTCTTCAAATTGCACATCAATATCGTTGTCTTCATCGGCATAGTTGTCAGCGTCGATCATCGACCCTTCGGAAGGTTCATCGGCCATGTCGGCATCGTAGATCGCGTCATTGTTGAGTTCGTTTGGCTGAGAAGTATTTGTGAATTCATCTGCACCCATCATATCACTGTCCATGTTGGAGACATGGTCCTCCATGAGGTCGATGTCGATGTCAAAATCGTCTGCCTGTCCTTGATAGGGTGAGGCCATCTCCATAGAATCACCCATAGCTGGGACTTCCATTACGGGGTATGCGATCAAGGGAGCTGTTGTCATAGCAAGAAAACGCGTAAAGATGTGCTCTGGGGGTCGTAGGTAGTGATGGAAGGTTCAGCAATGACGTTCCATGAAAGCGGTTGAAATGAAGGTCGAAAGTGAAAGAAAAAAGATCTCTTGGTGATAGCACAGAGCGAAAGGCTATGAGTAATAGCAAGAGAAACGATGAACAGAGTGTTGGTGGGGTGTAATCAACGCGTGGGAAAAAGATGAAGTGAAGAGAAAGTGTCTGGTCGACGACTAAGCGAAAGGAATGCACGGGCCAACCACCGCCGAAGTGAACAGAGTAGCTCCCTACCGCTGCCAACCATCAACATCAGGGCGTACGCTTCTAGTCAACCCTACGCTTCTCTATCCTTTTCTATACTCTTTTCATTAATCACTCTTTTATTGTCATTTGTGTGCCCCTTTTGTACTGTTTTCTCACCATGGTAAGTCCTTGTTCAATCCAATTCGCGGGGGAATTGGACTAATCAACACACAACAGGTTGTTCTCGCAGCGTCGATATGCACCCGTGGAGGTAAAGCGGTCCTCTCGCGCCAGTTCCGGGAGATCTCTCGGTCCCGAATTGAAGCCCTTCTCGCCTCCTTCCCCAAGCTGGCGGACTCCGGAACCCAGCATACTACTGTCGAGCAAGACAACGTGCGCTTCGTGTACCAGCCATTGGACGAGTTGTATATCGTGCTGATCACCAACCGTCAATCGAACATTCTCCAAGACATCGACAGTCTTCATCTCTTTGCGCAAGTCACCACCAGCATCTGCAAGAGCCTAGACGAGCGGGAGATTCTTCGCAATGCCTTTGAGCTCCTGAGTGCGTTCGATGAATTGGTAACTATGGGATACCGGGAGAATCTTTCTCTCTCTCAGATCAAGACCTTCCTGGAAATGGAGAGTCATGAGGAGAGAATCCAGGAAATCATTGAACGAGTATGTTGTGAAATCACCGGCAAGGTTAGTTCATGGCTGACATACATTGATAGAACAAAGAGCTAGAGGCCAGCGAGGAGCGCAAGAGGAAGGCGAAGCAGCTGGAAATGCAACGCAAAGAGGCTGCTCGCACAGGTCGCGCCGCCGCCCCAAGAACTCCATCCTACCCCGCCTATACACCCCCAGCGCGCCCCTCCGTGCCTGACACCTATGATTCATACGAGGCTGAGAAGAAACAGTCCTTTGCCAAGTACGTTTGGTTGATTCTTGATTATTTAACCGTTGCGAAACTGCTGCTGACTGCGTGATAACTAGGCCCATTCCCACTCGCGGCAAGGGCATGCAACTGGGCAAGAAGTCAAAGGCAACGGATATCTACGAGAAGGTCCGGGGTGATATGGGTCCCGAAATCGAAGAGGAGAGCCCATTGGTGGCTCCACAAGCTTCGGCTCCGGTGCATGACATTCCCTCAGCCCGCGAGTCTCTCAGTGCGGACCGGGAGCCCATCCAACTCACAATCGCCGAGACCATCTCAGCCACACTTACTCGGGAGGGAGCCTTGAAGTCTTTCGAGGTTAAGGGTGACATGCAGCTCCGTATCAGTGATCCCTCACTCACCAAACTTCGACTCGACTGCCAGGCTGTTCCCACACATGGCGCACAGTTCCGCACCCACCCTAATGTCGACAAAGCCCTCTTCACCAACTCTTCCGTGATCCAACTGAAGGACACTACCAAGCGCTTCCCCGCCAACAACTCCATCGGTGTCCTCCGGTGGCGTGTTGCCAGCTCAGCTGACAATGCCGATATTCTCCCCATCACATTTACCGTCTGGGTAAACAAGGGCTCTGATTCCACCACCGTGACCGTGGAGTATGAGCTCACGGGCGAGGATAGTCTCCGTGATGTGGTTGTCACTATTCCATATGGCACGACGGAGCCTGCTGTATCTAGCTTTGATGCGGTCTACGAGGTCTCCGGTGACAGTCTGGACTGGAACCTGGGCGCTGTTGATGAGTCGAACGCCTCTGGCAGCTTTGAGTTCGAGGCGATTGATGCTGATGAGAATGAATTCTTCCCGATGAGCGTTCGCTTCACGAAGACCAAGCCTTTCGTGGATGTCGACATCAACAGTGTTTCCCTACTGGAGATGGGGGGTGAGGGTGTTGCGTTCTCGAAGGATGTTCGAAGTGTTGCAGAGAACTTCCTCATTGAGTAAAAATGGGCTGGGCTACTACTGTATAGAGTTCCTAATGATGTTCGGATTGTGGTGTTCTCCAATTGCTTCCAAGATCGTGTTAAGCCAATGCCTCATTTGATTCCTTTTTTAACTTCTTTCTCGTCCTTACAATAATATAACCTCAAAACATACCTGCAGTACATTTTCTTCCGGTAGGTTAGTTATCAGGGGGTTGGGGCCTGACAAACAAGGCCAGTAGGCCCACCATATTGAAGGTTATAATCATCCGGACGTAATGGAACGTCAAGATTATAGGCTCGCAAATTAACTCAATGAAGACGGGGTACACCAAGACAAGACGGGAGACGTTGGTTAGAATTGCCGTCAAGCTTTTCCCCCCTTGGGGCTTATCATCCTCTTTCCGAATGAGGTGTCCTGGCCTGAATGCCAACCAGGGACGAACCAATTCACACAGTCGGTGCCGCCACAGTCTAACGTCAGATTGACTTCGAAGCCCCGGGTCTGGGCCATCTGAACACTATTTACTATTTTGACTGCTGATTCGAAGTCTTCATGTTCTTTCTGCTGAAGATGGCTGGTTCAAGACTACGGAAGTTCAACGTGGTTCATGAGCTCCTTGAAACACACAAATTCAGAGTTTCAAGAACAGCCCTGGGATAAAAGGCGCACATTGCTAACTCTGCATGGGTCGAAGCTTATAATACTCTGTTTGAATCCTATATCACGACCCTTGGTCACTGCGTCGGAGTCCAGAGCTAGTCGGTACTAACAACCGAAAGCTGACCCTGTCAAAAAGATGGATCACCGGGGGAGGTAATCTGATGGTTAAGCCAATACCTCAGGCTCTCTCTGGAGTAATCAGATGTAAGTCCACATAGGCATGTTTGGTTGATGGCAAATAGCGTGATCAATAACCAAAAGAAGTTATTTTGCTCATGAAAACGTTGAACTTTCGCCTCCATGCCCTACAAGGAGACTGAGGCAAACCCTCACACAGCTATTCCTGATTTGGCGAACGGGTGGCCAATGGTGCGCGTTTACTCATTACCCTAAACGAGCATTGGATGTCATCACAGAGTATCTACCGGGCTTGACCAGCTCACGATTCCCAACGGTGCCCGAAACCCGAACCCTTTTCCTTCATCCTTCCCCGATCTATGCTTCTCATGGGTCAAATCCTGGGGTCTTTTATAAAATCCAATGACCTTCCTTCTCGTTTCATATTACTATATTGATTATTTGAATTGACAGGTGTCACGGCAATAAGCAATTGCTGATATTTTCATTTAATATATATCAAAAGCTCTTTGGGACCTACACATTGCCCAAACTCAATTTACTCATCCAAGTAAGTGACGAATGAAGATCACGTAGTTACAACTTCCACTGACATTTAATGAAGAGCTTCAGTGATCTATTATTTTGTGGTTCACAATGAGTAATATTCCATTTCCCTCGTGGAATGAACAACAGAACCTCTTCAATTTATCGTGCGCTGATGCAGACACGTGTAATCAGTTGTCCAGTGTGGTAAGTGTGAAATCATGATCATTCCAATCCAAAAAGGGTTATCTGATAAAGCATCTATAGGATAACCCGGTTTCTCATCTTCAACGAGGTGAATCTGAAGTGGGCACCAAGAAAATGGCCATCCCGCGACTAGCGGAAGGAGCCGAATCTGCCTTCACCTCTCCTGGTAGGTTCCATCGTCGACATGTTCGTCGAGCATGCGAGTCTTGCAGACAACGGAAGACGAAATGCACCGGAGATAAGTCCGGATGCCGCAATTGCCGAGAGGCAGGAATCATCTGCTGCTATACCGATGGCAAAAGGGAGAAGTCCAAACGGTATGCAGAGCCAATATAAAAGTGCACCTGCACTGGCGTTATTGCAAAAGCTGACCACTACAACTAACTAAAAAAAGGCAGTTGGCAAGCTTGTCCGCAAAGGTGAAGGCATATGAAGATGTCATTAGCAAGCTAAGCAATCGTTTTGGCGTGTCTGATGAGCAACTCGTGAATATTGCCTTGGCAGCGGTATGAAGTTTGTTCCATATCTGATAACTATGTTATCTAATACCAACCAGGAATCGGCCCCTGACTTGACATGCCTTGTAGCAACTGGAGAACGGAGAATTTCCTGGCATGCGGGTTCTGAGCCACCGCCCTCCCGAGCGTCATCCGTTAGTCCCCTTGAATCCGGCGACCAAACCGAGGAGGACTTCAACAGAGATGAAACTGCACGAGCAACGGGTTTCATTGGAAAAAGCTCTGAGATCACTTGGCTCCAAAGGCTTAGCAAAGAGGTCAACAGTGAATGTGAGGCCTGGCCTGCAACTCTTCCCAACACAGATGACGATAACGGTCTGCCCTCTCCAACTCTGACGCCTCGACCGGAGAATCCAAGCGAGCCATGGGTAGTGGCTTCCAACTATTACCTTGATGACCTGGACATTCCAACTGCAGATCAAAGTGATATGTATGGAGTCCCATCACGGGAGATGGCAGGTAAAATGCTCAATGCCTATCTGACTTCGGTGCATCCTTCCTTCCCAATTATTGGGGTTTCAACCTTTGTCCCCCAATTCCAGGTCTTTTTCAGTCAACCCTCTCTCAAGCCAGGAAACAAGTGGCTCGCTATACTCAACCTGATCTTTGCCGTTGCCGCTAAATATGGACAATTGACCAACTCGGACTGGAAGGAAGAAGATGATGACCATCAAACGTACTTCTCAAGGGCGCGGGCCTTGAGCTTGGAAGATCAGATTCTCCATCATCCTGACCTACAGCAGTTGCAAGTCGAGGGGCTTACTTCTTTCTATCTGATTGCGTCGGGACATATCAATCGGTAAGTTGACAGCCTAAATATCCTACAATTATATACTCACGACTTTGGTTCATGCAGGGCCTGGAAGCTTTCCGGAAGTGCAGTTAGAGGAGCGCTGGCTCTTGGGTTGCATTTGCGCAACGTGGGTGCGAGCATATCAGACACTTCAAAGGAGATACGCTATCGGGTGTGGTGGTCATTGTATACATTGGATCATCTGCTTACTATCATGACTGGGCGTCCCTCATGTGTCATTGACAGCTCTTGCACTACACCAATGCCTGTTCCTTTTGATGAGAGTGATTTCCAAAAAGAGGAGGTGGCTCGGCTGATAGGCACAGCTGTACTCCGTACATCCAGTGGCTCCGAGCGGATGCCCACTAACAACAGCGCAGAGGACCTAGAATCAACGGCTGATTCTGATTCAAATGATTTGCCTGCTGAGGGCGAGGCAAAAATGAACCGAGCAGAGTATCTCAAGAGTCTTCCGCCTTGCACTTCACTTTACTTCCTGCAGTTGGCCTCCTTGACGAGCATTTCCAAGCGGATGACAGTGAAGCTCTATAGCCCGGAAGCGTTGCAGTCCCCATGGGCAAGCACTGAGTTTACCATCAAGAGCCTGATGCTTGAAATTGATTCATGGCTCATGAACCTCCCTGCTGCATACGATTTTACCTCGACACAGACATCCCAATGCCCCATCAGCCAGCGAATGGGGCTCGCCTTCCTATTCTACAGCACCAAAATCGGAATCACCCGGCCATGTCTCTGTCGTTTAGATCAATCCACTTCTGAGGAAGACAAGACTTACGAGTTCTGCAACAAGACCGCGGCGGAATGTGTCGAGGCTGCATGCCACATGCTTACGCTATTCCCGGATACCCCGGACGCAGTACTGCTATACCGCATGTCGCCATGGTGGTGCACACTACATTACCTGATGCAGGCGGTTACTGTTCTCCTGCTGGAGCTAGCATTCCGGGCTCAGCACGTCCCCGAGAAAGCGACAATGGTCTCCAAAGCTGCAAAGAAAGCCCTGGACTGGCTCTCGACGCTATCAATAACCAACATGGCGTCAGAAAGAGCCTGGAAGCTCTGCGACGGATTCCTCCACCGCTTGGCACCACATATTGGAATCAACGTGAATGATTTCCCTAGCACGGAAGAGTCAGACTCCCTCTTCGATGTCCCTGATACGGCAGGCTCTGCTGCAGTGGCGGAAGAGCCAGCAGCGGATGATGTGGCATTTGACCCGTCCGCAACTGTGCCTGCGGCAGTGGCGGTTGACGCTATCTCCGCCGAGCTGGACTCAATCGCCTGCTCCCCGATGGATCAATCCAACACTCCTCTCGGCATTCCGGAATCCTACGGTCTCGAGGCGCCGGATCTACTCGATCAGTTCATCAAACAGGAGAAGGATCTCTCCGGTCGGAGCTCGTATGATGAATGTTTCCCGTATGACCCAGCCACCGGTCAGATTACGGGCTCTTTCTTCCCACCTGGTCCGAACATGGAACTTGATATGGGGTACTTCTGGGGTGATCCGGTATGCTGAACGGTTGACATCTATGTAGATGGATGAGACAATATGAAAAAAAAAGCAAATAAAAATGGACGCAGAATCAAATTGGAAAATATCTCTGCAGTTATCTGAATTCGGGTTCTTTTCTTCTGTCGCTTCATTTGCATGCCATCAAAAGAAAGAGAGAATTCTACACCTGTCTTCATATAGGCACTATAGAGAAAAGTGATTCTTGTTTCTCTGAACTTCTCCCATTGCACCATACAAGTCACAATTCGATATGAGTGTTCATTGTTCTGTGGAAGGTGGTTATACACTTTCTTGATTGAGGCTTTAATACTTCGTCTATTGGCATCTGAAGAAACATCATACATGGTATTATGCTATGTACACTAATAATATATCTCGATCACTACAATCCAAGTCCATCGTCCACATATACTCCCTACATCCATAGAAGCTCCAATGTTAAGCTTGTCCCCAGAACTAGATCATCGAGAGCCATGTACTCCCCGTGTCTGGATATATGTGCTGGAGCCAGCCGGAATCCACCCCTGGATAGAAAATGCGAAGTCTAGACCGGTCGAAACCTTTTTTTTCTTCTTATTCTCTTGGATCATTCTGTCGTGTTTTCGGACTTGCCGTTAGGGGGCGACGGATTTAGTCATGGTGGTTCTTCACTCATTGTGACGTGAGTACTTGCACGTTGGAAATCAACTGAACTTGGCAACTAGACATGTGCCCTCTTGTCTACTGTGTGTCAACATAGGGAGTGGCCGCCACTGAAGAGTGTACTTGGCCTGGGGCCATACATTGGTAATATATAGAGCCCACCTTTGGCAGCTTTTGAAAAGCAAGACCCAGTTACATGCTATCTCCACTCGATGGCCGGTTCCAGCGTACGAAATGATAGTTCAGGGTTGACTCGCTTATGATCAGGACACAATTCAATAAACTTGTAGAGTTTGGAAATAACAAGCTCCATCATTTCTCAAAATGTCGAAGTCATAATATAGTAGTGAAGTTGTAAATCGGCCCAGGCTCGTATGAAGGGACCACCTCGTGGTTTCTGAAATACATGAATTGCCATATGAATAGCCTAATAATCTATATATGGTAGTTGGAACATCAGCTTGAGCCCGCCGCACTCCAATCCCTCCGAGCAGCAGTAAACAACAGCCGTCCGAGTTCTTCTTGGGGTGTGGAACGGGTGACTTGGTTTTTCGACGGTGCTGAAGGGTAGTACACAGCCGTGACTCTCGCAAAAGAAATATCGACTGTGTGTTTCTTGCGCGTGAAGTCTGCCCACAGCGTCCATTTCGAGGGTCGAGATGGGTCTGAAACAACAGTATCCGAGACTGCGGGGGTGATGCCAAGGAGACCGCGGTCATCCCAGACGAATTTCTCGATGCACTCCAAAGCAGGCATAATTCGGCGTCGCACACCGCAGCCGGTGTGAGCTTCGTCGATTGCATAATCAGGATACTGTTTGACAGAGGCGATGATGGCTGTAATATCAGATGGTGGGCCTGGGGGTTGGTCGTTCCTGGATTCGCTAGCTGTGTGATCACTATCGTTGGGAGCTGAGTCGAAATCCGGGTCTATCAATGTTGATCCTAGAAAGATCGTTCTGGCGCGCATTGAGAAAAATCGGATCATCTGGCCAAGTTGGAAGAGGTCGCATTGGCTCGCGTTGTTGAATCCGCCTCGGCATTGGAATTGACGAGATTGAAAAAGCGTATGTGCAGACGCGGTGAAGGCCGCGCCCAATGTTCTGTTGTTTGCTGCGGACCTTGCGCTGTCGGTTTCCTCCAAACCCCCATAGACTCGAAGAAAATGAGCCTGTAGGTCGGTGATGGTGTTCAATACATATTGACGTCGACAATAGATTTCCTCTGCAGAAAGGAGTTTTAGCTAACGGGAACTGGTTGGGATTCACTCTTCGGAAACCCACCTTCTAACCCATTTGGTAGATATCTCCAGCGCAAAGATTCTTCTTCGGGGCCATCTAGCCCGTTTATCCAGAATCTGGAGCCCACAACCAGCAAGGTATGGGTCATGATTCTAGTCAGTCTTGAATCACCGAGGAAGGCGGATATGAAGGTGATCTGTCGAATCCGGTCTTCCTTCATTGATAGCAAAGCTAAATTAAACCTGACAAGGAGCGCTGGCTTCGACTTGCCATATAAATATCCAATCCTCTGCAGAACATCTTGGACAACACGAGGAGAATTCAATGAGTCGGCAAGGTCGATCATTCTCGCAACAAGGGATGTAGACTGGGTCTTCAACTCATTTTCAAACACGGCTCTTTCGGTTTCATCCAAAGAATCAAGGCATAAAATCCTCAAAAATAACTCGATGGCATCCTCTCCGCAAATGCTAGTAGAGCGGACGCTGGGAAGCCTGACTGTTGGTAACGCATGCTGTGAGGCTGAGTCTGGTGTTTGGGTTTCATTCCAGGCTTGCTTTTGGGCACTGAATTGCCTTCCCTCAGAGAACTTGGTGGGATCCAGTAGTGCTTGGAAATATGGACTGTGGGAGGTAAGACGCTCGCTTGCCACCTGCCATTTCCGCCTGGTCGGTGACGATGAAGAGTCACCGGGAGCGATGTACTCGAGAATCAGGTCCCCATTCGCGGAGAGAACTCTAATGGGTGATTTCTCGTTATGCTCTTGGAGGTCATTTTGACCAGAAAGCCCATTTTGATGGCCTGGGGTTTTGGCTGGGTTCATGGCTGTCGAGTTTCCCGAAGGTCTCTGTGGTTATGATATGGCGTGAAATTGTGGTAGTGAAGGCAAAACATTGGACATAAAATAATCAAGGGGATTCTGTCCAAAAAGTTGTGTTATGTACTGTCATGGTAAAGTACCTTTCAGTCTCAAAATGTGTTCCTCATGAAGATGACGGTTGGTGTTCGATGTCAATGAGGGTAACGGTTTGATAATTAAACACTAATCGGATTCCATGATCAGCTTTACAAAGATAAAGACGAATATTAATGTGTGGAGGACACGAGAGAAGATAGAGCAGGATGTCTATAAAGCTAAAAGCTCTTTCACTGTTGATATTCATGCCCACCTTGGCCCTCTAGGGGTGGAGCCCTGGCGGCGATTCCCACAACATGACTAAGAATGGGCACGTGTCTGTAGCCTGATAATTCAGGATTATTCAGGCGTAAGTTTTCCTTTAACTAGTTAGTTAACTAACTAGAATGGACCTCGGGATTTTTAAATTGTTTTATCTCAGGTTTCTAGATAGAATCCGTGCACAAGTTCGGCCAGTCCTTTATCTGTTCATCAAATTCATTGGTATATGTATAAGACACTTTTGGTGTAAATACCGACACGAGCGAGGCTTGAAAATATTGGCAGGTCGCAAAAAATAAAACAAGACAAGATGGGTGTATAGCATACATACTCAAGTCCAAAGTTGCCAACCTTGAAAAACGAGGCCATCGAAACTCGCCAACGGCCAGCGAGTATGCAGAACAACAAGCGCTATCTGTGTGACATTATACAATAATAACCACTGGAAGGTGTATGATTTTGGGGCCCACTGTTGTTCCCTTTCCAAAACCGGTGGTTTCATGCTCTTGTCGGTTCTTTTCCCGAAGAGCTACCGCTTGCCCGACTATATAGTATAGGTATTGCGCAGTGTATGGAGTTTCAGTGTCAGGGCCAGATGGTGTAATTCCATCAGGCTTGAAGGTATGATCAAACTCAAAGCCGAGGCTAAGAGCAGGTGATACAAGAGAGAATACAGCGAGCGATTTTCGGTCTTCGTTGAGGTAAGGCAAGGTAGCTAGTTTGGCAGCGTCGATGCCTACTTGGGCACTACCGTTGCCATCGAATAAGGCTAATTCAAAAATATCGTTTCCTCGGTGATTCACGAAAAAGGGCTCGTTCGTTGCGAATCCGATGACAAAGTCGGAATTCGCACATGCGGCGACTATCGTACTTTGGCGGAATTCGGGGGTAAATGCGGTTTCAATGGTGCCGGGTAGACAGAGTGCAACGCTGCGGGCCAGTTGCGGGGGAACTGGGACACCGTCATCTGCGTGAAGATGCGCGTGCAGAGTCACAGACTCTGTCGTGACCGAAATGGTTGACGATTTCCGTAATGCCGATCCCGTATTATTCGGACTGAATTCTTTCCAACCGTTGCTTGTTTCCGTGGAGGGTGTAGCGAGTTCCACTTCCTCGCCCGACGAGTAGTTATTCATCTCGGCAGAGATCTCGGTTTGGATTATCTTTGCGGTTGTCGCAACTGCCTCGCGGGCCGCCAGTCTCAGGGTTGGGATCAATATATCATTTTCTTGTTGATTCACTGGAGCTGCAGGGGCCCAAGAGGTGGCCAGATTGGACCATGTCGCCGTTCTCAATGGGCCACTGGTGTAAGACTTCTTGATCAAGTCTGCCAAAGCCTGCCTTGTTTCCAACGGTGCATCCGCTCTGCCCATGAAGTTTACCAGGGGGTTTAGAATCTTGCTTCCTTCCCACAGTAGAAATCTATATTTCCTGGACAAATACTGAAGTTGTTCGATGGTGTCGCTGGACCAGTCGTCGATGACATCGGCTGGAATTTGTAGTATGGCGATGTACGGGCCGATATCTGCGGCCAGCCGCAAGAGTGAAGCCGAGTCAATGTGATTGACAGAGGCGTGGGCGACGACGGGCACCCCATAAGGAAGGGTCTTTTTGGTAGCCGCTAATGTCTGCAGGTAGGCGAGAATTGGGTTTTCGGGGGACCAGTCCCCTGTGGTCGACATTGTGGGCCTTGGAGAAGGGAGATTGAGCGTAGGGTATATCGTATAATGGGAAAAGAGAAGATTACAAGTACAAAAGAGACGAGAAAAGAGAAGTTAGAGAATGTGGGAAGGAAGAGGGGCTGAAATCTCCACTACTAACTAGTGTGATGTCTAATCCCTGCTTCAAATTGGAATTGACCATGCAGAAACCGATAAATAACCCATAATAGCGTTGTAAGTTATCGTTCCGGCCATAGCCCCGCGTGCCGCGTAGGATAACACTAAACTCTCAGTGGAGACTTAGGCCGAGAGCCGGGCGCGTACAGAGATTGTCTCACACTGAATATAAGTACGGAGCACGTACTCGATATGTACTAGTATGTTGTACTTTGTAGAGATGCTAGGGTGGCCTTTGGCCAAAACAGATCTTTGGGGAGGATCTCGGGTTTCGTTTCGACCCGAAGGATCAGACTTTCTGTTCCTGTCAGGCCAATGTGCTTACGGGGCTCGTCTCCATTAATGGAGTCAATATGGGGTCTGACTGCAGATTTTCGTGTTTATATTAAACCGATCGACCGGGTGGCAAACGAGAAACCAGTCTGATAAATGGGCCCCCCAAACTTTGCCCAGGTGGGAATCAGGAAGGAATGCTGAGAAACCCATCGAAGGAGCTAGCAGCTTAGGCTGTTGAGCGGTTTCGCAGTTTAACATAAATCTAGCCTGTTTGGGTATAGTCTACCTATCTATTCCTATCTCGGTATAGCCTGTGTGATGACTTTCACTAACTATATTTGGCTAAGTCAGAAATGATCTACTGGAATACCTATAACTAACTACCTAGGTACTTTGTAGGTACGGAGTACAGTCGAACTATTTTTTGCATGTGGCTACCTAGGTACCTAACAGACTATCAAGTACAAACATTGAAATATATGAACATGCTACATACATCGACGATGACTAGTACTTGATAGTCTCTCGTTTTAATATTCATTCCTAACCACAGCTCCTTTTCAGTCAGCCGCTGCTGATTCACCAGTATGACCTTCCTTCATCATCGCGTAGAGGCTAAACCTTTGACTGCTCCAATGGCATGGTTTTTCTTCCCTTTGTCAAGCGAGATCTCTTGTACTGAGGTGGGCTCTCATGCAGTGTTTGTCGGCTGTCTCTTTCCTTTTTTTTTGCCTCTTTATGAGGGCTGCAAAGCCCTCTTGTTCGTAGTTCTCTCTTCGTGGCCTATTTATTAGCTCTCACAGAGCTATATTAGGTAGCTTCTTGGCGGTGGGTATTCTCTATTTTTTTTTTAGCAATCTATCAGACCAGGTCTTCCTAGTTCCTCTATTCCTACATATAAATGGTTCTAGGTGTACCAAAATCCTTGAGATCTCTGAAATGCAACCGCATTTAGAACCAAGTTAAAATAAGACCTCTTGCTTGTAGACCGCTCCTCCGATATTTGCACTCCCATTCGATCAAGGATTCTTGGATTAAGCAACACCAGGCTGTTAAGAGAAAGCAGAGGCAGTGCTAAACTTTTGATACATCTCATCGACACCAAACTTCTACTTTAGCACAAACTTTTATCCTTACCTACATGTAGGTACATACATAACTACTCTACAATCCTTTATCTTTTTTAATTGAATATCCGCATCCGAGAGACACTCCCACTCCACTCACTGGCTTTTGGCTACAGGAATGAAAAGGTTTTTAAATTTGAATGGGGTTGAATGACCATTCAGCCGATTTCGCTTGCTTTTGCCATTGTCTTCTTCACAGATATGATAGATCAGAATGCTTCAGTCTGGTGTCCATTTGATTTTTAATTGCATCTTGCTATCCTCTGTTGCACAACAGAATTTGATTTGATAAATAATGCTATGTATTTTGGAGATTCTGGCTTGGTGTCCCTTTGCTGTCGCAACAATTCCTGCTTATTATAACCACCATCTTATCGATCTACTACCTAGTGCACTCAGACGCCCTGAGAATGAAAATAGCGCTGAAAAGCAAGCTAAACAGGACACTAGGAGATTATTACTCCGTAGAGAGCAAATAATAACCGTGGGATGCAGCTTAGGTAGCGGCTTAGCAGCTGAGCTAAGCCTGGATCGCGATTTCCTCCCGAGGTCCCTCAGCGCCTCATCAATGCGGCTAAGATATAAAAGCCCCACCGATATGAAATCAGTAAAATATGGAGTTATGTACATAACTACATCCATAGCCTAGTTGCATTTTTGATCTCAAATTAAATAGGGAGTCAACTTCGTACATAGGCTATCAATCCAAATCCGATGTGGATCCTGTTTGAACTTGTGGCCTGATCCAATTGTAAGTTGAGAATTCGAAATTTTCCAAGGCTCCGGGAGCGGGCGGATCCCTGGTTCTCGTTTATTGGTGTCACGCCACGCCTCCCCTGATTAAGTATTATTGTCGCCACGCCTTTCGGTTCTCATCTCCCATCCTACCCTCTTTTCCCCTATTTCCCTTCTCTATCCCCTTTCCGCCAACATGCCTGGGAGAGTTCTGCCGACGTTTACCTCCGCCGAAGTCCAATCTCACAATACCGCCAAGTCATGCTACATCACCTTGGGGCCTAACGTTTACGATGTCACCGATTTCCTCGACGCGCACCCCGGTGGTGGTGATCTAATCCTGGAGTATGCCGGCAAGGATGTGACCGATATCCTGAAGGACGAGATCTCCCACGAACACACCGATGCTGCCTATGAAATTTTGGACGAGTACCACACTGGGTTTGTCTCCAATGTCTCTGCGCCTGGCAAAACTACGACGACAACGACAACTGTCATCGAAACTGTGACTGAGACCGAGTCTGGCCCCGTTTACACAACCACTGGAATGTCGCGGGAGGAGGATCTGTCGATGGACACCGACTATAGCCAGGACTTCAAGACCCATAAGTTCTTGGATTTGAACAAGCCGCTTCTGATGCAGCTGTGGAACAGCAACTTCTCCAAGGAG